TTGTATATTTTTTGTGCTTTTGTTTGTTTTGTAAATGCTTTGTCGATGAAGCTATTTTGGTTTTTTGTACAATAAAGCTTTATTTATTATTATTATTATTACAAGAAAATCATTAAATTTATAAATTAAAATATCACTAAAAGTGACAAAAAACATTTTTATAAGTAAGTATTAAAATTCAACAAGCTTCAGAATATAGAATACACTTTTACAAGTGAACAAAATTTAAAATTGCTTTCTATTATTATTACAGAGAAATAAATCATTTATTATTTATCCTAAGGCAAACACTATTATTGTTTTACAGCTGCAGCAATTTTTTTTGTGTAACTGAAAAACACTGCACTGTCTTTTTAGCATATGGCGACCATAAAGTCAAAGATTAAATGTTTGGATAACAAAGTAAAATTGTATGCACTTTTAATATAATTATTACTTGAGGAAACAATAAAAATATAACGGTAGACGGTCAGAATAAAAATAATTTAATTTTATAGATAAATGGGGACATGGATATTAATTATAAGTTTTCTAAAATATTAAAATATGCATAGCAATAACATAAACTAGAATGGAAATTTATTTCCATAGAAGGAGTGACAAATAACGGTGTTATTGATGATTTCTAAAAATACATAGATATTTTGTATAATAAAATTATTGATTATTATTGTCACAGAAAATAAATGTAGATATACCAAAAAAAATCGGTACAACTCATAACATAAACAAATCTATTTTATATACCGGGTGCGTCTCAAAAGTGGCTCACCTCTATAACTTTTTTATTTTTTTAGATAAAAAATCGAGATTTGGTATATTAGTATATGACATAAATTAGAATTGATTGGCGTATTCAATTGTTTACGGTTACTTCCTGTTTCACCGGAAATGACTCCAACTTTTGATTTTTAAATGGCACCCTCAGTATTTTGTTACATTATTCGATAGAATATGACATTCTGAATAGAATGACATATCATATGTCAATTTTTGACATTAACAAATATGGTTTATTTGTTTGAAATTGCAACATGGCGGTTCATAACGACAATTTGACTCGAAATACCAAGTGTGTGGTACCTAATTATTCGTAAAAAAATGCTTTTCCCAAATATATGCTAATGAGTCACCCTAGGTCCATTTGAAAAAATTAAGATATGATTAAAAATATGATCTGGGCATCTTTTAACTGGCCAGGACAAGACAGTAAAAACATTAGACGATCAAATGTATTTTTCTAAGGATCCTTGATAAAAAATTACTGTTTTTAACACAGTAATGGCACTTTAATTGAAATTTAAAATGCAATTTTATTTTAAGCGAAAATGTCAAAAGTTGACATATTATATGTTATTCTATTCAGTGTGTCATTTTCTATCAAATAATGTAAAAAATACCGAGGGTGTCATTTAAAAATCAAAAATTGTAGTCATTTCCGGTGAAACAGGAATTGGCCGAAAAGAATTAAATACAATCTCGTTTTTTTATCTGAAAAAATAAAAAGTTATAAGGGTGAGCCACTTTTGAAACGCACCCGGTATAGATAAGGTATAAAAAATAGTATACCAAACTTCAGTGGGTGATATTACAAATAAAAATAAAACAAAAATTGCTATACAGGGTGTTTTAAAGAAATATACCATCTTTAGTGAGGAGATTCCTCACGTAAAAATAAGATTTATTTTTTATATCAACATAGGTCCGACATTGTTTTATTTCTTAAAAACAGGGGGGTTAAAGTCTTCATATTTTTTCAATTTATTATAATTTTCTTAAATAAATAATATGAAAAAAGTTCCTATACAAGGGTACATTTTCCGAAGAAGTTACAGCCCTTGAAAGGATAGATAAAATAAGTAATATATTTTTTAATAAAGTTTTAACATCCTAACGTTTTAAGTTTTTATTATTTTTTGATCAGAAATTATCTATTGAAATTTGGCCATTAGGTATTCACTTTTTTAACACCCTGTATACTTTATATTTTTCTTTATACAGAACGTAATATTTTTTAACTATCCATTGCCATTATTTTGCATATTATCTTCTTATAAAACTGTCAACTTTCCCATGAAGAATAAATTTAAATGGTCGGAAAATCAATAAAATGGTCTCAATGACTTTCTCCAATTGTTTACACTCGTATTCCAAACACGTCCAACTAAAATAACTGTTATCGTGTAGTTCATTTTGATGATTTTTTGATCAATGATTGATACACCTAGTAATTGATTTGTCCGACTAGTATACAGGATGTCAAAGAATAAGTACAAAAAAATCAGAAGGTACCTGTGTTTCTTTTTTAAATAAAATCTTCGTTCTAGCTTTGTAATTTTTTTGCAGTGTTTCTTCTTTCCTCAATTCCTCATTTATGTAACCGTTTTTAAAAATGGGCATTAATATGGTAATTTTAGTTAACCCACTACAGGGTGAGTCTAAAATAAGTGCAAATATTTTTATGGGTAGTCTGTTTCGACCCCAATCGCAAGTCTATGAAGGTTTTTTCGCGACAAAATAAATTGAATATTTCGAATCTTTTGAAAAAAAAATTGGATTTTTTTAAATTTTTAGTTAAGAAATAAAATTATACATCAATTAATTATAATGAAACAGCAATTATTACGAAAAATTGATTATTATTGTTATAGCTATTTGTTAAATAATATCGAAAAAGCTATATAGTTCAAAGCACAGCTTATTAAGTACCAGCTCAACCAGCTGGCCTTCTTCGCTTGTTTTTGAGTATCCAGGTTTTTCCTGCCGCTGTGATGTGCTCGTGCACATGCTAGCAGTCAGAGCACCAGGTATTTTTGATAAAGTCAGTCCCACACGATGTGGCAAACACCTTTCAACGTTGAACACATGAACATTTGCAACATCGTGTGGGAGACACACTTGTCAATTGCAGTGTTATCGAAACCTGTGTTGGACGCATCACGTAGGACCGGCTGAAACATAGCTTCAATGGAAGTCAGAATTCGACTTCGTTACATAAGATTAAGCGAATAATTATGTATATTTAGCAAAATATTGTAAGTCATCAGGCTGACAAATGAATAGGCTGTGGTTCAAGGCAAAGGACTAAGGACTAATATTAAGAGAAAAGGATTGAAAAAAATATAATTATGAAATCATAATATAACATGCATTATTGACGACAATAGTATTACACTTCCCAATGTTCACTCAGTAATGAATAAAATTACAGACTTCTGTTACAAGACAATTACAAGATTCTTGTCTGTAAGTAACGCAGTAAGTAACGTAGTTATATTTAAAAATAATTTAATTACTAATTAACGCTTTTTTTCTTTGAAAGAATGTAGATACGAATATGAAGAACTTTATTTTAATAATTTTCTGATGTTTTCTTTAACAGTAAATAACACAAACCCGTTATTTTAAGCTGTTATTTTAAATTAAAACAGTTTCTATTCTTTTTCAGAAATAATAATTTTAACACTAGAATTTCCTGGAACAAATCTGTATAGCAGCATGTATACCGGGTGCTTCAAATTCCACTCTAGCAATTGTTTTCTAGCACTAGTTTAAATTGGGATAAAGTTGCCTGTCGATGAGTCCAATAATAATTCGAAGTAACTAAAGGCCCGTTCTCAGAACTTCATTATGTCGCTGTCTACATTGGTTGACTTTTCAAACAACCAATGAGAATTGTTTAAATTTAAAATTGATAGCTATTTGAATTTGATTGGTTCTTTTGACGTGTCGCTGGCGACACTACGAAGTTCTGAGAACTTCTGTGCTTTAAGGTCGTGTAATTTCCAGAATTATGGCGAAAAAACTGACATTTCCAGATACCTTTCATATTTTTTACAAGCAAATTTTGACAGTTAGAAAAAATATGTATTGTTTATATGTTGTCTGTGATAAGAACCTAAATTTGTTATTTCTTTTTTTAAAAGCTTATTATGACCTCCAATGATACTTACCCAACAAAATGTTGCTTGTTTTTTTATACAAATAACAAAAGTGATCCGTATACTAATATCCCCCAACACATTGCCTCTTATGGGAGTAGTTTATAATATACAGGATGATCCGAACTGTATTCCGGAAACTTCGGCAGCATATTCTGCAGATAAAAATAAGTAAAAAAGTATAAATGTATGTTCTAAAATACTACTTAGTTTCGGAGATACAGGGTGTAGAAGTTTCATTTTTATTTCGATTTTTTCCAAATAATTTCTGAAGTTACGTCAATATTTGGATGAAAATTGATATCTGGGAGTTTTTTGGCATAAGAATTTTGATTTTGATGTCAGTATGACTCCTACTTGTAGAGGGCGTCACCTACATATTTTTAACTGGGATGAAGAATAATAAGTTTTTGTCCTGTATAAAACTACTAAGTAAAAAAATATTTAATATAATTTTTAATTTTTTTTAATTAATCATACATTTTTCTTCGAAAAAATGATGATAAAACAGTTTCAGTTGAACTTTTGGCAAAAAATAACATTCCAAATTTATGATTTTTGTCTAATAACTATTTTACTTATTTTTATCTGCAGAATATGCTGCCGAAGTATCCGAAATATAGTTCGGACTACCCTGTATAGATACATTTTTGAGCAAGTCAGCATTCTATTTGGGAGGTCATAAGCTTCTAAAAATGAATTAAAAAATCTAGGGGTCCGTATTTAAAAAAATAATATTGATGATGGTCGTAGAAAAACGAAAATTCTTAAGTGAGTTTTGATGTCACCAATAATTGAAGCTATATAAAAAAGTTACTTTGAGAATGTATTCTGTAGATTTTTTCTAAATGATAAAATACCCTCGCAAAGAAATAAAAACCAAAACAGGAAATTTTAAGTTTATGTGATATTTCCGGAGATATTCCAGTTTCTGAGCATATTACTGTAAAAGAAATTATATCGCTAAAATGAGTTTTCTTCTAAACTCTTTTGTTTAGAACCATAACTATAAACAATAAACTAAAAAAATTCGAGAAAATACATATTTTATAAACTTACCGCACGATTATAATGGTTTATTCCATACACTAATTGCGATAGATTCCTTTTGCGTTAAAAAGACGTTTTTGACCGTTAAAAAACATCAACAAAGCTCGCAAAGATCGAGGTATCCGCGCGAATCCGGCGACCGGAAACAGAAGACAATCGACAGCGGTGCACGCACCCAAACCGACCACTTCGATGCCGAAGTAGGTGATTAACTCTTCGGCTAGGCTCCATACGTTCTCTATAGCGAACTCTGCAAGAGAAAATGTACCACCACCGCTTGGTTTAAGAGGTCCAATCCACCAAACGCTTAACTAAGTTTACCAAAAATATCATCATATTGAGGTATATTTTACAGTTAATTATATGTTGATGTCCCTTTTGAATATTCCTCCTTTGTGTTCTTACAGGTATGATCCTAAAGGACCTCAACTGCTACCAGGAATCGATTCGTTCTATTTTAAAAACGACAAGAGTAGCTGGTATGGGGTTTGAACCAGGATGAGGCAGGATTATTGCAGCAAAAGCAGGAACTTGTTTCAGCCATCCTGCTTTTGTTGTGTTGCTATGTGTGACGTCACCAATCAGACTTAAACTTGCTGTATCTTAAAAACAGCAAGTGTTGCTGGGATGAAATTTAGAGCAGGATCCCATACAGGACATCAAATCACATTTACGATGTATTTACATTATTAGATGTAGACACAGGGTGACACAATTCCCCCGATGTAAATATGCTACGTTTACACATTGTAGTTCAACACGTATGCACAAAGGTTAAACGTCCGCCTCACAATGTAGCCACAGTACAGCATTTACGTGTATACAAAGTAAGGGATACACAGTGTGCCGTAGGACACACAGTGCTTGTGTATTACGTTTAAACTATGTTTACACATTGCAATTGTGACTAACGCGTGTATACGTATGTATTTTGCTTCGTATATACATCTTGTGCTAGATAAAACTACTTCTTATGAACGAATTTAGGAAATAATACAAGTTTTGATGTCTAACTTTTCGTTCTTTTTAAGAAATATTTATTCAATGATACCAATTATATCTTTTTAGAACGAAAAATAGGAATGCAAAACTTTGTATTTTCCAAAAGTATCTCGATCGTAAGTTCAAGAGAAGTAGCCTTAAAATTGTTCCATTTTTGTTTTGTATTAAATGTACCATTTTTCTTCCATAAAATGGATTAAGTGATTAAAAAATAAAATTCTTATATTTCTTTATATCATGGAACGCAATAGCGCCAATAACACAATAATAATAATTATTTACACTGCAGAAACCAGAAGTAAGAAAACACTGTAAAAGAACAGAATTTGTATCAAACTGTATTAAAAATATAAGTACCTAGTATAACAACATACTAAAATGGTAAACACTGGTATATCGCCACGATTTGGTGGACCTCGTTTAGTCATTTTTTTCTCCTCTTTTCCCTCCAAGCTGTTGGTTTATTAGCATACTCGTTCATCGAGCACTCTGTTGGACTCTGTTGTATTTTATTTCCAGATTAACAATCTCACCCTTAAATTTTATATGAAACTGATCACTGAATATTAAACATATCTATATATTGATCCATCAATAACTTACCGAATATCAGTGTAAGAAGTTCTTTGAAGTGCTTAAATCTTTCTTTCTCTGGTCCATTTAGATTTTTATTATTTCCAAATTAAAAAAAATTACAGTACGTCTGTCCGTTCTGTAGCTACGGGGTATCCATGAGAGGGGAAACGATATTCTCTCGATGTTCTTCGTAAAAAATTAGACGACGCGTCCCATCAATAAAAATTCGACAAATTTGCAAGTAGCCAATAAAATGAGTGGGCGGAGCGATTTGCGGTGACGTACTCGTCAAGTCGACGTATAAAATACATTGCTGTTTATTTAAATATTTTTTGTCCGCATTCCTTTCATAGACACAGATCCAGCAGATGTACTGTATATTGCAGAGCTAACTCAGCTAACCTCTTTATCATTATACGAGAATATTTGGAGTTTTCATTCATTGGAGTCAAAATTTGGTAAATTGGGTATCGAGTAAGGGAAGAGTCGCTGCTATAATATTAATAATACTCTTAGAAAGGTGTAACAAGGTAATTAACAACTTGTACTTACCTTAAAATCTCTTTTAAACTACACACAAACAGAACATTTATATAGAGCTTCCGAATAATAAAACAATAATGGCTGCTAACACATACCACTCCTAGAAAGGAGAAAGGAGAGAGGACACATAAGATACACTTGGTCGGTGTGTCTACGCTGAGGGTGCAGCCACACTATCCTAAAAACGGCGTATCGGCGTAACGGCGTAATGACCTTGAATAGATTTCCAGTAATTCTATTGGCTGAAATTTTTGACAGATGAATTTGACAGATAAAATTTCTGACAGATGAATGTTTCAGCCAATAGAATTACTGGAAATATATTCAAGGTCATTACGCCGTTACGCCGATACGCCGTTTTTAGGATAGTGTGGCTGCACCCTGAGGCTATCCGCGCATGGGCACACCTTCATTTCATGCTATAATGTAGACACAACAGTACACTATTACAAAGTGTCTATATAGATATTTATATTATGTGTATACGTCACATTTTTACAAGGTGTTTACTATATGCACAACTATGATACGAAGTATCACACATACATATGACTTATACATTGTATGTCTCATATACCGACGTCAGATTTCATCATTTTAATAATTATTTGTTACGTTACAAAAAACTCTTTAGAATCTTGAGTGCATACGGTATACAACTAGTAAACATTGTATCACACAATTCTATCAATATAAACCTACGTGTATCTCATATGTATATGTTAGAACTAGATGAACACTTAGGTTCACTTTAACATATGTTGTTTCTCATGTGTCTCCCTTGTAGAAACGTAATTTCATTTGGACGTGCTATATGGGATCCAACAGGAGTATAGCAGCGCAAGCAGGAACCAGTTTTGGCGATCCTGCTTCTCATGTGTTGCCAACTGGGAAGTCAGCAACCAAAATAAAAGTAACTATAGCTCAAAATTGGTAGGTGTGGCTGGGTTGGGATTTGAAGCAGGATAAATCAATACTTGTAGCAGCCCAAGCAGCATCGTATTTTATAATTCCTGCTTTCAATGAATTGCTAACTTTCCCGATCTTAAGGTACCTTCTTGTTGTTTTTAGCCATTTTAGTACCAATGGGTAATTTAGGTGATCCCCAGAGGTGAACTACCCATATTTTTCCTCAACTGCTTTTCAATCCTACTTGTAGGTAATTTAGGCATATGCACTCCTATAGTGATTTCAAACAATTCTTGTGGCTGTTTAGAAACGAGTTCAATGATATCGTGGTTGATTTCTGCAGATCCGGTTCATAAATATAGTAAAGTTTCGGCATTGTAGCGTTTGAGTAAAGTCAGTGCCAGAGGTCAGGGCAGTTAGCGCACATCACAGACAACATTCCCAACACTGAATAACAAAATAAATCAATTACTACCAACCATGTTGTATATTAACACTGTCAAATTTTCATCAAATATCTTTTATAAAGGATCTTTGACAAAGAAATTTGATAGTGTACAGGGTGGGCCAAATTAGACGCTTTTAAAGGGAAACATCCTTTTCTATAGGAGATAGACAAGAACTAATATCGGTGTCTGGAGCTCAATTTTTATCAAAAACATGATGGTGAAAACCGCACATGGAAATGGCTATGGAAAATTTGAAAATTTTGTACTTTTATGAAAACATTTCCAAAGCACTTTTTTACGTAGAATTTAATGGTTTAAGTATAGGTATATTTTTAATAATATTAATAAATTAAGAGTTACCAACAGAAAATTTGATTTTTATATGGGACACCTTGTATATTTTTAATTAATTGAAAATAATTTAAAATTGCCTTTCCAAAAATATAGCCAACTTGATATTTTGCTCGATTCCTCTTCGAAATACAGAGTTTTTAAAAATTCACTCATTTTGAATAAGTACATATACAGGGTGTTTGTACATATACAAATTCGAGGTACGAGCATTGGTATCTCGGAAACCGTAATAGATACAAAGATGGTTAAATTGGGGCAAAGTTGCTCCTTGGGATGTTCACCAACATGCTATCAAAGAAGTTTCAAAAATTTGACTGATTACTGAGCTTTTTCAGAAAAACGGATTTTTTTGAAAATCAATTTTATTTTTTCCTGTCGTTACTTTTTAGAAAATTAAAAAACTAATTGCACATTCTCATAGCCACTTTATTAGGGCTATCTGATAGTATTTTTAGATTTTCAAATTAGCTGATAATTTGTGAGATGCAGAGCTCAACTTGATTTTTTTAAATACGGACCTGCATTTTTTATTTGAGATTTTGAAATAACTCGGTCTCCTGAGTAGAATGATATGCCACACTTAATATTTTTTATGTTTCGGACATTTGAACACAATTTATTTAAACTAATTTTAAGTCCGGCTCTGTTTTTTTCTAATATTAAATCTATTCATCGTTACAATACTGATAATCTTTCAAACTTATAAATGACGTGGGGTAAAACATTAAATACGGAAAATAAAATGCAATAAAATAATAAAAAATGATATAAAATAAATAATATAAATATAATATAAACAATCAAATTATTTCGCCGGAGGAAAATTGGAAATGGTAGAACAATATAATATACCAGCGAGGTTCCTGTCCTCCATAAGAAGAAGATATGTTCAAAGAGCTTTAAACAAGATTGAACAAAAAATAAATTTGTGCATTAGAGAGGGTTGCAACCCTTTCGAACATGTAGAGCATTAGTAACTAGTTTGTAGAAGTTGATTTATTTATAATAACTACGATTAATATTATGCATATTATTAGATCGTACACTGAGATTTCAAATTCATTGAAAAATTGCGAAAAGTTGAAAATAATATCTTTAAATTGCTGACTTGAATATTATTTATTTGAATCTGTCAATTTTTCTCGATTTTCCTTATTCAATTTTAATTAGCGCTGATCAATATTCTTGCGATGAATATAATCAGATTAAATAATTTAAAAAACCAGAGTCGGACTTGAAAATATTTTAAATAATAATTAAATAGTTTTGTTGTTGTTAATGTTAAGGTACCCAAAACTAATGAAAAGTATCAAGTGTGGCATATCATTTTACTCAGGAGACCGAGTTCTTTCAAAACTTCAAATAAAAAATGCAGGTCCGTATTTAAAAAAATTAAGTTGGCCTCTGTATCTCACAAATTATCAGCTAATTTGAAAATCTAAAAATACTATCAGATAGCCGTAATAAAGTGGCTACGAGAATGTGCAATTAGTTTTTTAATTTTCTAAAAAGTAACGACAGGAAAAAATAAAATTGATTTTCAAAAAAATCCGTTTTTCCCAAAAAAACTCAGCAATCCTTGAAATTTTTAAAACTTTTTTGATGGCATCTTGGTGAACATCCCAAGGAGCAACTTTGCCCCAATTTAACCATCTTCGTATCTATTACGGTTTCCGAGATACCAATGCTCGTACCTCGAATTTGTAGCACCCTGTATAGAGGATTCGAACAGCGCCGGTTGTAATGCAAAAAAAATCTAGCTGTAAACAGCAATTAAAACGAAAATAATATTTGCAATGAGAGATGCAGAATTTTATAACAATTTAAACTATACTTATTTAACAATTATTATTATCTAATAACAATAATAATAAATTAATAAATAGCAAACCAAGACATGACATTTTCCTACAGGTATTCGACATGTCGACCGTCTTCTCTTATGGACAGACGGGACCCTTTTTGAACATTTCTCGCGGAATTTATTAACTCAGTGATGGTGAAAGATACCCTCGCATAACCGCTAAGTCTAATTCTAATTCTTGTCTAGATTATACGAGCAATTTAAACTTAAGGACCTTTGTCCTTCCGCAAAGATAAAAAAAATCCATAGGCACCAAGTCCTGTGGCCTCGACGGCCAACGGCTGGAACCTTGGTTAGCTATTCAATTATTTTCGAAATTGGCTGCAAAAATTTGCTGATAGCTTCAGCGTTCTGAAACGGTGCCTCGTCTTGCTGGAAAAAAAGTTCCATTAGTTGCAGATCATCAATAAGGAGTCCAAAGCCAACTAGCTGTCGTGCTACTAGTTAAAGTGACAAACTTTTTAAAATTCTGTATTTTGAAGGGGACTATAACAAAATATCAAGTGTGCTATATTTTTGGAAATGTAATTTTAAGATCTTTTCAGTTAATTAAAAATATACAGGGTGTCCCAAATAAAAAAATCAATTTTTCTGTTGATAACTCGCATAAATTATTAATTTTAGAAAATTATAGTTAAGTAGTGATGTAAACGAAATATCTACCCGTTACAAAGTAACAGGTATTTAACTAATACCCGAAGTAACTGTTCTCTAATACTCAAAATACCTGCTCCAAAATACCCGTTTTGTACATATGCAACACAAAATACTAAAATACCTACATCGATTGGTAGTTTCACAATAGGTTGCAGAAGGTTAGTCTGTGGTAGTTACCATCATGTTTTTGATAAAAATTGAACTCCATCAGGCACCGATATGACTTTTCGTCTATCTCCTATAGAAAACGTGTGTTTCCCTTTAAAAGCGTCCAATTTGAGCCACCCTGTACATCATTAATGTCCTTGACCTTCCAAAGTTTTATAATTAGGTTTAAATTTACAAATTTGTTATAGGTGAGTGGTACTCTTAATGATGTATCCTACATTTAAGCACCTTTGACACAGAAACTAGACTGCCGTGGAAATAAAATCTGCTTTATCTCTACCTACTCTACTGTCTCATTATTATATAAACTTTTTTCTTAAAGTTTGTAATTAAAATTTTGCATTTTTGTTTTAATGAGGTACATAATATAAGGATAATATTAAATATAACTACAATTTTCAAAAATGTAAAAAATCTAATTCAATATTATTTCTTTTAAATGTTTTTTTTTTATAATTTTATTAATGTATCATTATTATTTTTTAATTCTTGTAGGTATAAATAAACTAATATTCCCATATAAAAAGCTAATGTTAATTAAATTTCTGCATATTAGTCCCCATAATAAAAATATTAATAATGTCCCAAATACAGGGTCCGGCAATAGTGCGTCGGGCATCTGTAGCTCCTAGAATAAAAAACTTGAGAATTTTGTTTAAGTGCAGACCTAAAGTATGTACCAGGATGTATTTCAGGAAAATATTTTAGCTTCTATAGAGTGGCTCAAAAAAGTGTGAGTGGACCTGGATGATTTTTTTTAAATTGAACACCCTGTATATTATTGCATTTTTGGCTTCCTTTCAGATCATTTTACATAACCCTAAGATATGAATAAATATATTTCGATAGTTTCAGAGATATTAATAAATAAATAAAAAATAAATATTTTTCAGTCCTTTCTAAAAAAATTATTAAAAATACAAGAACTGTTCTGAAATCAAAACTATGTTAGGTATTTACTTTAGATGGTCTATTCTTACTTTGCTATAAATATGGTAATCGTAAAGCATACAGGATGTTCAATATTCTACGCCAAACTTTCTAAAATATATAATAATTTTTCTTTGTTTTTTTTTAAATGGAACACCCTGTATATTATTATTTTATTAGATGGAGAATTAAAAAATGAACATTTTTTGTATTTAAAGTATTTCAAAATTTTTAATAGTTTTCCGGATACACGCAGTATTATTTATAAAGAAAAATTATTTTATATTTTAGAAAGTTTGGCGTAGAATTTAGAACATCCTGTATGATTTACGATTTTCATATTTATAGCAAAGTAAGTACACACCATCTAAAGTAAATACCTAATATAGTTTTGATTTCAGAACAGTTCCTGTATTTTTAATAATTTTTTTAAGAAGAGCCGAAAAATATATATTTTTGATTTATTTTTGAATATCTCTGAAACTATCGAAATATATTTATTCATATCTTAGGGTTATGTAAAGTGATCTGAAAAGTAGCCAAAAATGCAATAATATACAGGGTGTTCCATTTAAAAAAAATTATCCAGGTCCACCCACACATTTTTGAGCCACCCTATAGAAGTTAAAATATTTTCCTGAAATACATCCTGGTACATACTTCAAGTCTGCACTTAAACAAAATTCTCAAGTTTTTTATTCTATGAGCTACAGATGCCCGACGCACTATTGCCGGACCCTGTATTTATTTTCTAAATGGACTCGCCAACATTATTTATATCAGTATAAAAATTCATATAGAAGAGTATTGGTTACAAAACAAATGAACAATAGGTATCTTGAATAAATATCTTTTAACTTGGCAATATTGATTTTACTTTGTTTGTTTAAAAATTAGTATATTTTTTCGAAAAAAGCTGTGTCTACCTATATGACATTTTTGGTATAAGCCGAAATAGCTCAGTTGGGAGAGCGTTAGACTGAAGATCTAAAGGTCCCTGGTTCGATCCCGGGTTTCGGCATAGTTTTTTATTTTTTTTCAGATTGATAAATTAATTTATCGCATGTGTATTGTAACTCATATGTGTAACTTCGACGATATAACTCAATACGAATTTTTACATTTTCTGTCTTTAAATTATTTTTTTTAAAATTAAAACCAGAGTAATTTTTTTTAAAGGTCATAAAAGTATTAATTTTTGCGACGTGATTGACAATATAAAAACATAATTTTGACAGGTATGATTTTAATGCCTAGGCGGAAAAAAAGTACAAAAATATATATATTATCTTTTTTAATTGTCTCTGATAATATTATTATTATTTAATTCTCTCTGATATTATTAAAGTGATATAAAGTCTCTGATAAAGTGTCAAATTCAACGAACGTTAGCCATCGTTTCTTGATATACCGGCGTATGATCGAAAAAAAAAACTGCGTCAGCCGTCGTGGCTATATATCATTTCCCAGCCAAGTAGACGCCGTTTTTTTTCATAATACGGTACTTTTAAAATATTTTTATATTAGGTATTTGGAATGTTTAAAATTGTTTAAAAAATTATTTGTTAAGTTTGAAAAAAAAATTGCATGTTCTATTTGTAATAAAAACGACTTTTGTACAAGGCTTATAATAATATCCTGTTATTTCTTCTTCTGTGATCCTGTCGTCAAACGTACAGCATTGCCACAGAAGGTATCATTTTTGTACTCCTCATAAAACAATACATCATTTATATACTTCTCTAAACGCTAAACAAAATAACAAACTCAATAAATAAAAGATCTTTATTTTGTACAAATTAGGCAGATAAACATTTATCATATTTTTACAGATAAATTTACACAGTCCCTTCAGCTGAAAAAAGTATACCAGTATACATTGTTGAAAAACCATTACCCAAAGAACCAATAAAAGCAATCAATTACATTTTTGAAAAAACAAACAAGAAAAAAAATTAATTTCTTCCTCTTAATTATAAATTAAAGACAGCTTTAAGTAAATAATAGTCACTTTTATTGGACCATTGGATGTACAAAAAACATGATCACATTTAAATCAGTACATTTCCTGGTTGCAAACCTGCAGCACACACCACTTCACTTTGTTGAGACCACAAATATATTTTTATACTACTCTTCTAACTTCAAAGAATCTCTTCAAGTAGTAGACTTGACCAAGGGTCATAGCGACTAGAATAAAAGCTTCAAAAAATGACCACATCACAACTCTAGAGTTTGTGTTTTCATTTATAGCTCGATGAATTCTGTCTCTAACTTGCATATACTCTTGTTCTTGTTTCACTGCAACCAGGGAAGCTACAAAATAAAAAAAATATTATAAAACTTAACATTTTTACTGTTTAAGACTAACCTGATAATTCTCTGATCATTTCTTCCAGTTTATTGGCTGTTTGACCTTCCTCTTGTCCATCTTGCTTAGGCGGCTCACCTACAGCTACATCAAACATTACAACTTTCGGAGTCATTGTAGACATTTTGTTTGAAAAGCAGAATGTATAGATTCCAGGATAATGAGCGGCAAACGTGTATTTTCCTGAACTTTGTCTCTCTTCTTCGTGTAATACTTTTCCATCAGGAGACATAATTCGAACATCTATATCCAAAAATCCTCCTTCTGCTATTTGAAAAGTCAAACCTACAAAGAGAAATAACTATGAAAAACATCATCAGAAACATATATTCTCCCAAACACAGATCAAGAAGGTTTAAATTGAAAAGATGTTTACCAAGTTTTGTGCCAGCTTCCACCTTCTCAAAAAAGCATTCCTCTGCATGTGCATCTACTGTTACAATATATCCGTAACAGTATTTAAAACATGATACCAGAAATGCTAAATATAAATAAGAATACTTCATTTTTCAGCCTTATTTTTGAATTGTTTTCCAAAAATTTAGAAAGGGCCGAAAGGGGCCACGTATTTAAATTTAACCTCTTTCGCAAACTTCAAAATAATCGCATAAAATTCCAGGAGCACCATATAAATCATATACGTAATCATATATAAATAATGCTGTAAAGTGCATCTATGGTACAGAGAAATACAGTTTCTCTATGATCTATGGTCAACAGGTTCAATAGGAGTCGTTTATGGTGGGTTCATACCAGGGGGGTGACAGTAAACCGGAAAATTGGAAACAGTTGTGGCGCGGTTCTACCCAGGCAGAAAGCATGGCCTTCTAGACTGTCCTAGACAAAAATCTGAATATTTCTATATGATTTCTGTCAGTTTCTGCTACGGAAAATTTTTATGCACGTCGGCGTCCTGTTCTTTTGTCTTTTGTACTATTTATGGTATATTTATTTATTCCTTGCCTAATTATATTATACATTTTACTTATGTGAAATTATAAAATAAATTAAATCCAAAGTGAAAATATTTGTAGGTTAGAATTAAGCGTGCGCAAAGCCGTTTTCACATAAAATAAAACAAGAAGTTAAAAGATAAACACTTCTTATTTTATTTGTTATTTTGGTAATGGTGTGGATCCGGTGGCTGACCTTGAAACGAGTTTTTGCTGCATAAACTCACAGACACTACGCATGCGCACATCTTCGATGTTGCCAGATTGCAAGTTATATTGGAATTATTTTCAGTAGAAAACAAATATGTGCTTTTCAGTGTTTTTTTGTCAATATATACCGTATGATCGAAAAAACGGCGTCCAGTTGGCTGGGAAATGACGATTGAGGACATTTCCCATATAAAATGACAGCGATCTTCATTTCATAGTCATCGCTGCCGCTATTTTTTTTCAATCATAGTACGCGGTATTATTTATATTACCTATTATTTTAATATGTCGCACAACATGTGAACGCTTATTATGTATTTTCATAGTCAATAAAATTAAATAGAAATAAAACTCTAGATTCCTATAATTAATCTAATTGCTCTAGATTATTATGTTACGTTTAAAAAGGGCTTTATTAAAAATTCGGGCAATTAAAAGGGACGTGTCCAAGTTTTTTCTTTTTTTTTTAATTTTTAAATGCTGTAGCTTCATGTCATGTTCATAATACTTAGTACTTCAATACATCAATACATATAATCAAATCTATTGTTGCCTGTAAATAACTAGAAATTAAATAACTTGAAAGAAATAAAATAATTCTAATAAGTTTAAAACCATTAAGAAAAAATCCGTAAATGATAATTTTTAATTCTAATGTAAATATATAAATGTTATTATTATTACACTTTTATATATTCATAATACTTTCATTTCACAATCTTCATTATCCTTCTTACCTTAATTTTTGATATCAAGATAAATCTGAAATTATAAAATTAATTATAGATTTTGTATTATTAAAACATTTGTTTTTAACTAAAAATAATTCGAAAATAAACTGCCATTTGGCAACATCGACGATGTGCGCTTGCGTAGTATCGATGATCAAATGCAGCAAATATGGGCTTCAAGGTCAGCCACCGGATCCACACCTTTACCGTTATTTTATTTGGCTGTATGAACGCATGTACGGTATCCCATATAACCAACTTTCTTATTTTATTTTATTTTATTCTTATTTTATTTTATTTGGCTGTATGAACCCACTATGGAGTGTAGAGGTAAGGAGAAACAACTCCGTGCATTAAAAAATGGTCAAAAAAAGGGAAGAATTAGGATGGCGCTGCTGTAGCAAAAACCTAAAATTTAAGACATGCGCCGAACATTTTTAGAACAGCTGATTCAAAAGACATAAATATTTGACGTGAATCATATACGTGAAGCCGGGGACAGTGAAATAGGAAAATTGGAACAGTTAATAGTGTCATTCCTGTCATTCTCCTCACGACAAGTATATGGGCTGCCGAGACAAGGACAGCAATGTTTCTGTCTAACTATTGTCTAACTTCACAGTGTTTAGAATTGACAGAATTCAGTTTCAGAGACAACTTCAGATTTGTTCTAGAACAATTAGAAACATTCGACGCCATATTAATTCATTCCGTTTAGTTTCGTTTTGAAGTTCAATTTAATATTTCGGCTGAAATTTATAAATATAAAGGTAATAAAGCATATAAAATATATATTACATGAAGAATCCCGGAGAAATGACGTTTCTGGTAGTAGGTATGTCCTATGTATATGAAAATAGGTAGTAAATAAACACGGTTTTTTACATTTTTGATGCAAGAAAATGGTGTTATAATCTCTTTGATCGGCGATTTTTTTGAAAATGGAAACAATTTACAGCAAGGTAAGATCATTTTAACTATAGCCAACATTTAGCATTTATTGTCAATAATGCACAAATCGACTGATGAATCTGATTATGTTATTCGACTAAGTCTCTTTTGCTTCTTTTGATTTATAAGCCAGGTCTCTTTGGGGAATAATGGACGCTTTTTTTAAACAGTATATTTATATTTTATACCTATTGATATTTTTACATTGTTAATTTTAGTATAAAAAAATTTGTTTGTTTTCAGGTTTTTGTATAAGCCTCCTGTTTTCATGTTCCTGTGTCCGTTTTCTGTCCTTGAAGTCTGCGAATACGTGTGTTTATTTACAAATTACTGTGTCATGCTTATACCTTAACTAATTATTTACGTTAAAAGTGCATATAATTAACTAATTGGTATTGAAGCACATAATCTCTTCATATTTTTATATTTATTTAGCCTGTTCCATATTTCAAATAAATATATGTGAATAAATTATTTTTGGTTTTATCATGAAAAGAAAAAATACAAAATACATTTGAACTGAAAGAGGGTCTAATAACAACCGAAACGGAAATGAAATTGAAGCCATCATGTCCTTATCATGTCAACCTGTCAATTGGAAAAATTAGTCTCTCCAGACGACAATGAAGTTTTCGGTGGCGTATCGTGTTTCCAATGATTTTAACACAGAGTTGACACTTCTTTCTAGTTAATTATTTTATGCGTGAAGCCGCGGGTTTCAAAAAATACAAATTTATTTTCATGTCGCATGAAATAAATTACAGATTTTTATTCAGCAGCAATAGACTAGGTTTTTATTGTCTATATTTCTGCAAATGTCATTCAAGACGACGAAAACATTATTCTGATTGTTCTAGCTTAAAATTAATGTTAATTATAATTAAGAAAAATTATTTAAAGTAATAATTGGTGATGGGTTTAAAATAAATATAATGCAGCTTTTAAAATAACTTCATACCTACATTTATTTAGTATAAAAGTAAGTCAACATGTGGTTTTATTATCATTATTCAGAAGCAATAGACTGAAAGCCTCTTTTTTATTTTTTCTCATAAGTTATTTCTGTAAACTTATTCAAGATGAAAAAAATTTAGTTTAAAAATTAATGTTAATTATAATTGGGAAAACTTTATTTAAAGTTTAATTGATGTTAAATAAATATAATGCAGGTCAAAAATAACGTAACACATTTTATTTAGTATAAAAATTAAGCCAATATAATGTAATTTTATACTGCAAGTATTTATTTACGTTTTGCCATCGTAGTTGCTATTCATTCAGAATAGGATTTAAATGTTCGATAGTCGGATGGCTTAACTACCTTAATATCAACTACTTCTAGACAAGAATCGTGTGCAGTATTATCTTCTTTTCACTCCCAGCTATTCCAACATGGCTTGCATGGCTTTGGGACGTGGAATAATATAATTTTATAGCCCTCCAGATCCTCATGTCTTCCTTGTAGTTCACCCAATAGAATCACTCGCAGCTTCCTCCCGTTGGTAGTTACATTCATTCAGAATAGTGATTTTAAATATATTTGGTAGTCGGATGGTTTAACTATCGTAACAATAACTACTTTTAATAATTCTTTTCACTCCTTGCACTATAATTTGCATCCCACGATTGTAATATTTTCCTTTGAATTTCGCTTCCTATTGTCCCATGGCTTGAGACGTAATGTTATAGCCCTTCCAGATCCTCATGTATATCCCTTTCCTTTGTAGTCCACCCAATAGAACCTTTCTTAGCTTCCTCTGAAGTTGGTAGTTTCCATTCATTAAGAATAGTGGATTTTAAACATGTTTCGTACTCGGATGGTTTAACTGTAACATCATAGCCAGTCTGTATACCAACACATAATGGCCAAACTTCAACAGACTTTGGCTATCTGCTATAAACCTCATCAGAAGAAAATATTTTTTGATCCAAAGTTTTTTTTCGCATAACAAATTACCAATTTGTTAATTCATTACAACATTGAATAAAAGATGCAAAGTGTTTATACATACTATAATAGATAAATCTTCATTTAAAATTATGTGATAGATCTGCTTGCTTGTAGGATCTAGACTGATAAACTCTAATTTCTTTTATTGATATAACCACAAAGTAGTAATGCTGAAATTTTGCTTTTTGATTTGTGCAATAAGGTCCATTATTTCCATTATTTGATGCTGTTATTACTCTACAAAATGTTGATTCAAGGATGTTTATGTGTATAATATTACTATTTATGTGTATATAATAATACTGTATGATCGAAAAAACACGGCGTCTAGTTACTTTGAATGACATCTCGATGACATTCTCATATCATTTACATATAAAATGACAGCAATCTTCATTTCATAGGCATCGCTGACGCTGTTTTTAATTCAATCAAATTGTACTTACGGGTATAATATTCATTTAATGGTTCCTGTTTTTAGTTGCTGGTGTTCATATTTTGGTTTCATTCTGTTGTTGCTCTACAAAATGTTAATATTTATGTGTATAACATTACTCTTCTGTGTATAATAATATATACTTATGTGTATAATATTCATTTAATGGTGCCCCTTCTTGCTTGTTGCTGTTGTTGCAATCTAGAATTTAAATTAACCTGAGGCAGTAGGTAGAGCTTCATCCTCCAATATTTTCCTATGTAAATACTAAAGTGGACAGTATTTCTGATGAATTTTATCATAAACTTTAACACATCTTGTTCTTTAAAACGAAACTGCCATACCTTATCTGTAGATTTCAAAGCAATATCTAAATGCTGTTGACCATCACTGTAATCTAATTTGTTTGAAAATCACCTAATATTATCCTGATGATTTTGATTTTTACCAGATTATTAAAATACAGCACTTACAGTTAACTATATTTCTTGAAAGTACCTACAATTTTATGTGGCTTCCTACTTTAACTTGTTTAAAAAAATGCCAACAATTTGTGCATGTCTGTCAAACTTTAAAATCATTAAAAATAAATTTTATTCAGGTTGTAACTTTATAAAAAGGATTGTAAAAATATACTTTGTAACATGTATGTCAATAATCTATTGAATGTTTACTACACTTTTTGATTGACTCTCCTACTTTACATATAATACAAATAATACAATACTGAATTTATATTATGTATTTTACAGGCTTTGCCTTTGCTCTTTATTTTTCCATCAGCTATTCAATCAACTTCGCACCACATACACTTTAACCATTGTTAAATAATAAATAAAGCACAAAATATTGATAAACAATAATTATTTTATATTCTAAAAAATAAAAAAACTTTTTTTGGGTAATGTTTGGTTATATTTGGTTATATTTATTTTTATTCTCTATCTATGGTTACTTTTCATTTTTTAGATTTATGCGTTTTTAGCGCCACTGTGGTCATTTGGCGAACCCTTATTCTTCCCATTTTGTGACCACTTTTTCAATAAAAGTCCCATAAGAGTTATTTCTCCTTACCTCTACACTCCATAGAACCCACCATTAAAAAAAAAATATCAGTTTTGCCAACCTATACTGTCAACAACTGTCAATTGATATAGGTTAGGTTTCTAATCTAATGTTTTTTAAATATTTAAGACCTAAACCAGCCTAAACTTATTTTTGTCTTTCGCTTTACAACTTTTAATTATAATGATGGATATAGAAGATGCCGATGATCCAATGGAAATAGACGAACCCGTTCCAATAGCTCCTATAATAGAAAGGCTGTCGAAAAGTATTGAAAGCGACAAAGCCGAAAACAGCAATAACACAGGGCCCCCAAAAGTTCTTACTACTGCAACACCATCAAAACAAGTCGAGAGGTAAATATCTATCGCCGTTTTAACCAATACACTACAAGTTTTAACTTTTAATTCAAGTTCATCCAGTATTGTTATTTTGGATGATGACGATGAAGACCTGATAATAGCTCCTGCCAATACATCTACTTCTATTGAACCGGCAAAAGAAACTGCAACTGCTGCTTCGAGTAAGTAACAATTTACATGTAGTTATTCACTATTTATCTAATCGTTTTTTTAAGTTAATACAGCAAAAGATGTAATAATTGATTTGGTTGAGAAACCTAAAAGTAATAGATGCATCAATACAAATTGTATTGGATCAAGTGAAAAATTTACATATGCTCCAGATTTTTGCCTCTCATACTTCAGGTAGGTTTATTTATTAAATATTATGTTATTTTTATAAAGTATTTTTTAGAGTAAAAAAATCATCAGGTGACAACGAAGAAATTTGCGAGGATTGTTATTATAAAGCTATAGAAGATAATGATAAATTAGCTACTAGTTTAATAGAAGGTTGAGTTTTTTACAAATATCTGAATAATTTTTGGTTAAAGTACTTGTTTTAGGAAATCTACTATTTAAAGTAGATTTTCCTATCATAAATGAAACTCTACAAATAGATGATTCAGATGAAGAAGATGAGAAACCAGACAATAGGGAATATATATCAGATGAAAATTTTAAATTTATTAGTGAAAATATTGAAGAAATTCTTATGGAAACAATTGAGAAATTTGATATTAAAAATCATATAGAAAAGGAAAAACACTTCTTAACTGAGGAGGCAAAAAAAGTTGAAGGTAACTGAAAAAAATTATGGGAACATTTTATTACACAGTTTTCATTTTCAATTTAAGCTGATTGTGAAGAACTAACTGCAAAAGTGAATGAGATCCGTACTACTTTGGATAAAATTCAAATTGATTTATACAACCAATTTCGCCCTGAAATTAAATCTTTAAAAGGGATGATTATATTAGATGACTATTCTATGAGTCCAGGGATACAAGTGTATCCAGGTAAAACAAAAAAATTAATTAAAAATCTACTTAAAATTTGTACTATGTTATTTGACTATTAGATATTTCTAACTAAATTTGATTTTTTTATGTATTTTCTAGAGCTAAAAAGTTACCTTGAAACATCAAGAAAAAGTGCTAGGATTCAGCAAAAACCTGTTAGTTATACAGATGATTTGAAGGCAGATGAAGCTGGTCAAAACACAACAAACGTTGAAGTGCCTATGCCTAAAGATTTGCCCAAGAATATGCTCGTGGATAAACCTGCTCCACAACCAGGTATCAACTTATATTTTTTGTTGTTATTTTATTTAATTTTTGACATGTTTTATTAAGGGGGTAATAACTTTTCGTCTGTACCTGTATAAAACTATTCAGTGAAAAAATATACATTTCCGTGATTTTTTATGTAAAAAATGTCTCTTTGTAAAAATCGCTATGACCGACCGTTCTCAAGATATTTAGAATGGAAATAGTCAATACATTTCATTATTGACAAAAATGTTGAGTAGATTATAGTTATTTGACTGAAATTACAAAATTAGGACCTTTTTATTTTTTTAAATTAATCATAAATTTTTCTTTGAAAAAAATGATGATAAAACTATTTCTGTTAAACTTTAGGAGCAAAAACATTTCAAATTTATGATTTCAGTCTAATAACTATTTAAGCTTGATTTTCATGCATCCGTTGTCCGACGATACGTTGATACGCTATTAATTTTATTGGTAGAATTTAAAGACTTTGATTGGTTAGAAAATAACGCAGTTTTTAATTTTTTGCATTTTTATGCCTCCGTTTATCGGATATACGTTGGTGTCATTTTATATTTTCGTTTCCATAACGAGTTTGCTATTTTACTTATATTTTTATTAAGGTTAGATCATAGACAAACAAATAAAAAGAGACAAATACCATGGTAAAGAGTGGGACCGCGTTCCCGTAGCGCAACTCAGAATAACAATTTTGAAACCAATTAGCAGGACCATGGCAGAACGTACGTCTTTATTGCTGTCTTTCTTTATTATGTGTGCTTTATATGAAAAAGAAAGAGATAGGTATAAAACGTATCGTAAGACATTATCGTACATTCTGGCTAGCGGAAAATTTAAATTAGCCTTTATTAGTAGTATTCTTTCATTCTGAAACTGAAAATTTTCACTTAAACTGATTTATTCCCTGTACCACGTAAAGGGAACGTGGTGTAGGGAATAAATCAGTTTAAGTGAAAATTTGCAGTTTCTTTCAGAACAAAAGAGTACTACTATTATAAGAGAAATTATAAAAAAAATCAAAAATTGTACTGTTATATAAACATATTTATTTATACATAAAAATAAATAAACTTTTTATAATATAATAACAAAAAATAACAGTGTTTATTCCACCCACCTACCAATTTTAAATGCAGAAGAACTGACTGTTGCAGGAAACGGTCGGCCAGTTTTTTTAAAGGGCATTAAAAATCTAATTTTCGAAAAAACTGTTTAATTGCAATAACAAAGTGAATATCCAAGCAAAGAAGACTTTACGAGAATCATGATCCTGAACCATTTTCAAGTCCAGTTTTAATCCTAAAACAAAAGTAAAATAGGTATATTAATAAAGTTTCTGGTTACTATAAACCAGCTATAAACCTACCCAAAAAATGAAAAAAAATAATTGTATTAATTTGTTATGTTAAGAGAGGTTCGAAATATTTTTGACACTACTACTTCTACTTTTTTCTTAATAAGATGATAAATATAACTACTTACTTTTATTTTACCGGGTGTCTTTAACATATCTATCAGAGAAAGGGGGCACCAATACATATAAAAAATAGATGATACTTGCTCCTGCAGCAAATAAAATAACAAATAGTATAACCGAACGTTATAAGTAACAAAATATAAATACCTATCTATATGGAACAAAGGAATTTGTTCCCTATCCATATTCATAAGTCAATAAAATGGAGAGTTTAGAAAAAAAAGGTAAATCACCAAAAGAAAAATTACGAATTGTCATGATGTTGTCATCTTGGTTGTCATGATGACGAAAACGAAAGGCGATTGTTCTAATTCCTATTTAGAAATTACGTTTTATATGGTTGCTTCTTTCTCTCTTGTTATATTAGAATGAGATAGTGGGCCCAATAGACGCAATGCGCAGATCAACATAAATAGAACGAAATTTTGCGTTCTGAGCTTTGAATAAGAAGACTAAGGAAGGAGCATATCAAAAATCTTAGGTACACCGCGATGGGCCTCAAATATGGCCGACTTAAATTCCGGTTTATCAGTGCCGTTCTAATTTTATTTAAAAAATGTAAAACTATGATGTAGGGTAGGCGTGGGGTAGACTCAATAATTTGTTATTTTATTTTACGTTGTGCATAAATGTTGGTAGTTATTAAAATTGTTATAAAAATATATAATTCTAATAAAAATAGATAAGTTATAATAAGTATTTATTAACACAAACATCCGATACGCTACTGAAGCAGGTAAGCCAAATTAACGTATCTAAATTCTTTGACATCTAATCTTTGACAAGTAATAAATAAAAGCTAAAATGCAAGAAAAATATATGATTTAGTTAATTTAAGTGAATTTCATAAATGATCGGTTTACTACACGTATGTATATTATATAGTCACTTACTAGCGAAAAGTTGTTCCATTATTTCACTCAATTTTTGCCGATATCTACCGCACGCTACACAACCAACTATTTTAAAGTCTTTTTCGATAAATCGCGACAGTGTCACTGTTAATTTAAGTTCTGCCACAATTTCCATCTAGATTTACTACCTTTATACAACTATCAGTAGTAGAATAAATAATAAATAACATAAAATAAGCTCCGTAAAGACTGACAATTCCACAAAATTTCAAATCAAATTCAAATGTGTCAAATGAATCGTCAAACAGAACTGTCAAGATCCCCACCCTAGAGAGCTTTTATGGTGGCTTTTCCGCCCACCATGCATGAATACATGGATAGCATTATGCTCCTTCCTTAGTCTTCTTATTCAAAGGTTCTGAGTTGCGCTACGGGAACGTTGTCCCTCTCTTTGCCATTTAATTTGCCAGTCTCTTTTTATTTGTTTGTCTATGGGTTAGATTAAATTTGTCAAAAAAGTGTCCAAACGTCTGTTATCGTATGAACGGGTCCGTTGACGGGCTGAAGTAAAATATTTACGGATGACTTCTTTTTTTCTTTTTCGTATCCGGACCATATAGGTACATAATGTACAATTATAATTTAAAATTCTTTAGCCCAGTACCGGGCGACGTCTAAAGCATTTTCATCGGCGTTCCATAAATTTTCAAGGGTACATGTATGAGGGCATCTTTGCATGAGAGCAGATGCTCCATATTTTGATTTCGCCGCATTCACATTTTGTGTCTTCATCCGTGATAAGTCCCCATTTCGCTTTGTTGGTTTTAACAGGCGCTACTCCTGTTCTGATGCGGTTTAGGGACTTCCACGTGACCCAATCAAGATGTTGGCCTGCAGAATCTTCTTCTCTAAGAGGATAATCAAGCGGTGGATCTTCTTGAACAGTTTTTAAAAAGTTTTCCGAGATCGGAGTCTGCTTGATCCTTGGAACTCGCCAAAAGCGGATGGCGCTCGTCGAACATCTGTTTAAACTTTCAGTGTGTTCAGCCGCTTTGCGCCGCTGTGAGGGAGCTGCAAATCCGGAGGCTCTGTAAAGTTGAAATAAGCTTGTTGCTTTCATATACCCTGTTGTTATTCGGCACGTTTCATTTAAAGCAACATCAACTTGTTTGGCATGGCTCGATCTATTCCATACAGGACAGGCATATTCTCCCGTTGAAAACATAAAGCCCGTGCAGTTGTTTTTAAGACAGATGGATTTGCGCCCCACTTGCTTCCAGTTAGCCTTCTCAAAATGTTATTTCTAGCGCTGACTTTCTTGCGAGTTTTCTGACAGTGGTACCTATATGTTAAGGTCCTGTGTAGTATCACTCCGAGATACTTCGGCTTTTCTGTATGCTCCAGTAAACTATCTCTCCACCAGATATTAAGTTTTGTTGCAGCGTCTCTATTGCGTAGTTGGAAAGCGGAAACCTGCGTCTTGGAAGGGTTGGGTTTAAGTGAGTTCCGGTCGTAGTAACTAGCCATTGTGTTAAGTCCACCTTCCAGTTTTTGTTCGACGCTGGGAAAGCTGGTATCTTGTACAGCTATTGCCAGGTCGTCAGCATAAAGAAAATGTTTTGAGTAGGCAGGGAGAGGTTGATCGTTGGTATATATATTAAATAGCATTGGCGCCAAGACGCTTCCTTGGGGCAGCCCATTCCTTTGAGTTCTCCATCTGCTCTTACTATTGTTCAGAGTGACATAAAAGCGTCGGTTCTGCATCATGTCTCGATCACTTTTACCAGGTTATAATCCTTAATTGTAGCATATATTTTTAGTTAGAGGTGTTTATGAATGATGGTATCATATGCGGCGGTTAAATCGACAAGAGCGACTCCAGTGATCAGCTTCTCCTCGTATCCCTCTCGATATGCTCTGTAAGAGCCAAGACCTGCCCAGTGCATGATTTTCCCGGCCTAAAGCCCGCTTGCTGAGGAATAAGTTTCGATTCTACGATTTTCTCCATGCGTCTGAGAATCATTCGCTCGTAAACTTTGTACAAATGACACAACAGGGAGATCGGTCTGTAGCTACTGGCCAGTCCTGGATCTTTAGCCGGTTTCAGCAGTGCTACAACTTTAGATTTTCGCCAAGATTTCGGGATTTTGTGGCTGTCGGTACACTCTTGAAAAAATTTCAAAACCCACATTTTTGTTGCTGGGCCGAAGTTTTTAATCTGCTCGGTACACAAATCGTCCACGCCTGCTGCCTTTACGGATGAAAAGTCGCGCGAAAACGCTATGACCAATCAGAGCACCGTCGGACCAACGTATCAACGTACCGTATGATCGAGAAAAAACGGCGTCAGCGATGGCTATGGAATGAAGATCGCTGTCATTTTATATGTAAATTTATATGGGAAATGTCGTTGATGTTCATTTCCCAGCCAACTGGACGCCGTTTTTTTTTCGATCATACGGTATAACGGATGAATAAAAATCAAGCTTTAGTCAGCATGTTTAATTTATGTCAATGATGACAGGTATTGATAAATTCAATTTCAAATATCTCGAGAACCATTACACGTAGCGACTTTTACCAAGAGACCTTTATCTTTATACGTAAAAACCGTCGCAAATGTATATTTTTTACTCATTAGTTTTATACAGGTACGTATGTAAAGTTATTACTCTTCAAACTAGTTAAAAAATATGTAGGTGGCGCACTCTACAAGTAGGAGTCATATTGACATCAAATCAAATTTCTCATGCCAAAAAACTCCCAGATACCAATTTTCATCCAAATATTGACGTTACTTCAGAAATTATTTTAAAAAAAAATTAAAATAAAAATGAAACTTCTACACCCTGTATTTCAGAAACTAAGCATTTTAGAACATACATTTATACAAACTTTTTTACTCATTTTTATATGCAGAATATGCTGCCGAAGTTTCCGGAATACAGTTCGGACCACCCTCTATAATAGAATGTTTTCCCACAATGATCTTGTTCGTGACTTCTCTTGATTACACCACTAATCAAAATTTTTTTGTAGAGGAAATATATTACATAAAGAGAGAGGGCAATCCTCAGGCATCTTGGATTAAAGCTCGACTCAACTTAATTATTACTCCAAACACTCCTTACAAGAACCAGGTATGGAAAACTACACACTACAAGCTGACAGAGCTGAAGCAACAGAAAGAGCGAATATTAAGTGGCAAAGATATAGGTGACGTAGACATAAATAAATTCGTTGCATATATAATTTTTAGTATTTATTTTCAGCATATACTGCGGCTTGTAAGTCTCGTTTAGGCGTTGGCACTAGAGTCATATCAGTGTTCAAATCCGAACATAACTCCCCTAACGTTAAAAAAACTAGAAATGATCCTTTCTATGCTGGCGTAGTAGGTGAACATCCTGTAGAATCAAATAAATATCGGTAAGTGACGTACAATTTCTAATATATAGGGTGTCCCAATATTCCGTGGACATAGAACTACTATGAATTTTTAGAATCAAAATAAGTTCATTGGACACAATTTACCTCTATACAGGGTGTCCCACAAATAAGTGCAAATATTTTAACTGGTAGTATAATTCAACCCCAGAAACACGCCTATGAATTTTTTTTTTCGCAAAATTTTTTTTGGAAAATTCGAAATTTTTTTTGGATTTTTTTTTTTTAGTTTTTAGTTAAAAAACATAATTTCCTGATAATATGGTAACATAGGTATTAGGTTAAATTTACAAGAAAATCCAGAAAAGATCCGGTGGTTCTCAAAATTTTAGCAAAAAATCATTTTTTTTGAAATTTTCAAAGTAAAATAACTCCGTTATTTTGGACTTATTAGAAAAACGATAAAGAGAAAATATGTTTCTTTTATCGAAATCTACCATCCCTTAAAATATTTGCACTTATTTCTGGGACACCCTGTATAAAAGTGCTTTGTTTCTCAATTGGAGGGCATCGAACTTTAAAAAAATAAGCTCATTTTTTATAATATATTAAGAACCGTTATTCAAATTTTATCTGGGTGTCTATGACACACGGTCTTGAATGACGGCCACGAGACACACATGCGAGACGGTCTTGACGCGCGAGTTAGAGAGAGGAAAAGTGATAGCGGCAGTGTTGTCATAGCTACCCCATTCGGGTTAGGTCTATCCATAGACTTAAAATAAAATATAGACTACACTATTTACATCTAAACGCGGTCACGCAATCATTTTTGTACACATGTTTACTTCTGGGTACACTCGACCGCAGCCGACCAAACCTTCCTCGTCCAGCCTATGTTGTCACGTCTTTAATATTATCAATATGTTTTTACTTATTATATACATGTATTGAGATATTAATACTGCATTTTAATAAAGTAGGTTTTAATATTCCATAGATGTATTAAATTGGCCTTATACTACTTAATTATAAGTCGAATACTATGTAAAAAGGATAAGTCCTTTACAACATGGCAACACCGATTAGAGGCGAGGTCGGCTATTCATTCTTCTATTATCTTGTAGTATGCGTCGCACGTGTGTAGTAAAACATTGTTGCCGCTACTTCTCTCTGGCTGTATTATCGTATTTTCTTAGTTTATAGTCCTTAAATGTTTATTTTATTTACTTTTTGTATTCAAGAACTATAAAATATGGTTCGCCAGTGCCAAATTCGCAAGAAATTTGACTTAATAATCCATTTAAGTCTCGAAACGACTTTCGACCGGTAGGCAACTCTCAATTTACCAGTTGGGAGTCAGTGGCGTTGTTGTAGAAAGGCGCTTATTTAGATGATATTTTAGTAAAATGTAAAACCTGAATTTTTTCTATTACATAATCATTTATATAAAGGTTTTTGTAACAAAATCATAATTATAACCCTGTATCCTACATAACAAATAAATTATATTAGGCATCAATCGGTTAAAAAATTAATAATGCTTTTATTAAAATTATATTCCGGTTTATTCTAAAACTATCTTCAGAATCTAAAATAACATACAAGAATTTTAAAATGATATTACATTATGAAACAATATTTAATATACCGGGTGCGTCTCAAAAAAAAAACAGATTTGTATGTTAGTATATGACATAAATTAGGATGGATTGACGTATTCAATTGTTTTTGGTCTCTTCCTGTTTCGCCGGAAATGACTACAACTTTTGATTTTTAAATGACACCCTCGGTATATTGCTACTTTATTCGATAGAAAATGACACTCTAAATATAATGACATATCACATGTCAACTTTTGACATATGATATGTCATTCTATTCCTAAATCTTAATAAAATATAAAAAGTTTAAATACGATATATTTTTAATTGAATTATAGCTTCATTAAAATAAAAAAAAACCGGCTATGGTACGGAGAGTTCAGGTGTACTGAGGAACGAAAGACAGTGTTGCGTTTCTCGTCAGAGTCGTCAGGGAACGACTGTTACGACGGAGACAACCTATCTATCGCTCGTGTCGCACTCGTTAGAGCCTAAAACAATAACACGACAATAACAAGACATTGTCTGATCGCATTTTCCTGCTATTTATGAATGAAATGGTCAGTCTATATTTTATTTTAAGTCTATGGATCTACCCCTTTGTAAAACAATGTAACCCCGTTATCTCGTGATAATCTACCCCTATGAAAAGTAACCTTGTGGCAACACTGGGTAACGATCTGTGCCTCATTTGCCAGCTCAGAATTACACAATTTAGAGTTAATAACTCGGATTTTCATTGGAGGACACAGTCATATTTATTTTAAACCAATAATCAACGAGAATATTCGTACAATTTAATAAAATTACTGTAAATCATTATAAATAATGAATTGTTTGTAATTGAGCTGTAATGTCTGTATCATTAATCCGGTAAATGTTGGAGATAAACAATTGTGATTGATTAAAATTTTATTTTAAGATGAAATTTTAATTAACAACATTCTGAGAATTCGAATAATGCTCACAAAAAAGCTCCATATTAGGGGGGAGGTGACTCCATCTTGTGGAGTTCCTTGCGTTGTTTTAACAATGATGACTATGTCCTCTGCATACCCTATGCAGTGTATGAAATGAATAATGACAAGACAAGTGACATCTGTAAAAAAGACAGCGATTTAGAGCTTAATTTAGAGTGACAATTTTGATTATGCAAAAGAAATACATATTCTATGAGTTTACTGGTTGCCTAGAATTGTAGAATGTTTAGGAGGGGAGTTAATCACCGCGACTTATTAGATCTATTGTGTGTTCCCCTTTCTTGAGTTATACCGAGTTATAACTCATCATACAGTCTCAGGGCTTTAACAAAAGCCAGTATCTGAGACGGCTCCACAGAGGTCAGCTCTCCATCCTCGACATCAGACGTACCAAGGTTCATGGCACGAATGGTCATCGTCTCGGTTCAGTGATAAGGTGTTCTCGTGATTCCCCATTTTCCCCACAAAATCTGCATTCGCCGTTGTTTCTCATCTTCAGCCTACTGAGGTGTTCGTTGAGGATACAGTGTCCTGTTAGAAACCCCGTGACAATCCGAAGATTGTTTTTACTTAAATCAAGGAAAACCTTTGATTTTTCTCGGTCGTAAGTTCTGAGGAACTTTTTCGGGTGTCTTAGACCGTTGGAGGACACCCATTCCAAGTTACGGATTCTTCAGTTCCGCTTTCAGTTGGTTCCCGTTTGGAAAACAGAACGGTTCTGGTGCAGTTAGTGGAGTGTTCGCTCCTTTCCTAGCTAGATCATTTGCTTTTTCATTGCCTTCTATCCCTTGGTGAGCAGGCACCCAGAGTAGGAGGACTTTATTTTCTTTGCCTAATTTGTTGAGCTTCTCTAGGGATTCTTTGACCAACTTCGAATTGATGGTTAGTGAGTTGATCGCTTTAAGTGCTGCTTGACTATCAGATAGGATGACAATTTCCTGTTTTCGATAGTTCCTATCTAAGATAAATTGTACGCATCTTTGGATAGCGTTAATGTCTGCCTGAAGGATACTGGGGTAGGTGCCCATTGGTTCGGAGTAATTAGTTTTCGGCCCAAATACTCCTATCCCTGTCCCTGCTTTGGTTTTGGAAGCATCACTATACCACGTGATGGTATGGTCTTTTATATGCTGAGTTTCTTTCTTCCCAATCCTTTTTATTACTCAATACTACAGTGAGGTGTTTCTCAAAGTTTCTTGGTATGTCATCCACTGGGAGTTGGAGAAGTGGAATTTTCTTTTTGAGGGTGTTCCAAGCTCCTGACCTGAAAATTCTCCCAGTACTGTTTCCGTCAATGACCATTCTAATCATTGTCGTATTGGCATAACTACCGACGACAATATGCAGTGGTGTTAGGTCTAGAATGACCTCCATTGCTGCTGTTGGACATGTTCTCATGGCACCTGTGATGCATATACATGCCAGTCTCTGTACTTTGCATAGGTTTTGTCTTGCTGTACGTTGCTCTTGTTTTGTATACCAAGCAACTGCTCCATAAGTAATCATGAGTCTTACTATCATGGTATACATCCAGCGCAAAATGTTATATCCCGCCAGTCTTCTGCATATCATGAGATCCTTTTTGGCTTTGCTGGTAATGTTCTTAATATGCCTGTTCCAGAGAAGTTTACTATCCAGGCTTATTCCCAGATATTTCACTTCCTGTGATGGCAGTATTTCCTTTCCATCTAGATGGATTCTTTTCAAGTTTTTCAAACTTCGCTTTCTGGTGAATGGCACTGCTGCGGTTTTATCTGAGTTAATACTCAGCCCGACAGTCCTGCACCATCTCTCAGCGATGCGGAGTCCCCTTTGGATAATATCACACAGGTTGCCTTCATGTTTCCGCCGTGCAATGATGACTATGTCCTCTGCATACCCTATGCAGTGTATTCCCGCTAGAGTTAATTCTTCCAGTAATTCATCCACTACCAAGCTCCACAGTAGGGGGGAGGTCAGTCCACCTTGTGGAGTTCCTTGCGTTGTTTTAACAACTACAGTTTTGGTACCTATCTCAGCCTCTGCTGTTCGTGTTGAGAGCATTTCCCAAAACCAGTGAATTATCGTACTGTTCATCCCTCTTGTTTCAAGAGATCGCTTGACCACCATGTGATGTATATTGTCAAACGCCCCTGCAATGTCCAAGAAGGCACAAAGTGCTATTTCTTTGCTATCCAGGCTTGCCTGTATTAGCTCAGTTATTAACTGGTACAGAGCAGTTTCTGTGGATCTGCCCGCTCTATATGCATGCTGACTATCGTGCAGTGGTTTAACCTATAGATGATTTACTCTAATATGGTTGTCCACTACTTTCTCCATCGTTTTTAATACTGGTTGCCTAAGGGTTAACATTAATTTAAAAATAAATCCCCAACATGAACAAAACATTTAAACAAAAATAGACTACAGAATCCTCATTTTAATAGCTGTTAATAAGAAGTTTCACTTCAAATATGCGCACCTAGTGCACACACAATTTTTTCTTTCATAAAATAGTCCTTTTAGTATTTACTTTATTTTTTGTCTCTTGTAAAAAATGCCACATCACATACCTAGTTACTACAGAAAAAGTATCATTTTTTAGATATTTGATCTTCTTTGACATTGGTTACGCCCAATATGTTCCACACTTCGGTATACACCTAGTGCTAGACTCTAGCCAAAACGTATGGGAAGACATGCCCGAAGATTCTAGGCCCTTCATAAAGAAATATCTCGAAAGCCAAGACAGGCCTATGGTAAAAATGACTCCTAATCAAACTGTCAGGGTTGAGTATAACGGTAAACACTGAACAAATATATTTTTTACAATTTTTAACTTGAACATTTAACGAAATATTAGGTAAATGGTGGCCTTGCAGCATAAAAGCAATCGACTGCTCGTTGGTTCATGTGTTCTTCGATGCCTTGAACAGATGGGAATGGATATACAGAGGGTCGACTAGACTGAGTCCAATGTTTAGAGAGGAACAAGCCGCTGTGAATAGGCATACTGGAATGAGACCGCAAAGGAAAGCAGGCATTGGCATAGTAAGAATCTGCCATTTCTACACTTTTCTTTATATAAGTTATTTTATTATGCGGAATCTTATTTTTTGGAAAATCTCGGAAGATCAACAAAATTAATAATTTTGAAAGCTCCTCTATATTATATATTTTAGATTAACGTCATATTTTTGCTGTTGTTAAAGTGTCACATTTTCCAATACCTATTGAGGTGAGTTTATATGCAAACGTAATGCGTCATACGTCGTTCCGTCACTTCAATCATATTTAAGTAAGGGCTGTCATTTTTCAAATAAACCAATAAAATTGCATAAAATCAACAATACACGACGCACACACGTTTAGGTTGACAAAAATCCAGATTAATTTTTTTCGTATGTTTATACACATTGTTTTTCTTATTACATTTGTAGGGCTAATTTTAAATATTATAAATTTTTCCATTCAACTAGAGTAGTGCAAGCGTTACCGAAAATTGATGCAGTTCGCATCTTTCGTAGAGCGCAAAAGAGTGTCATTTACACCTAGCACAGCGATTTGAATTTATTTCTTCTGTCAATAATATATGAAAAAAAGCTTGTAATGAATTTAGAAATTCATAATTTACAATATTTGTCTTCTTAAAACTAAAAAAAAACTGATATTGCAGGACTGGTATAGAAATCAGTACAACTCCCTGCAAATAAAGGGCTATTTTAAAAAAGGGCAGATTTGGCAAAGCCTGATTTTTTTATATCTGTATCAACATACATTAGTGATTTTAATTTATTAAATTAAAAGCGGAGCTCCGTGGAATTATAACCCATTATGAAAACAAAATTATAAAAAAAATGAACCCAACATAGTGTGTTTAAAATATATCTTGTCTACATACAAAACAGTTCAAATTCATTATATTGATGTTATTTAATTGTACTACATGTCTGTAGCTATATTGTGCATAATGATAATTCTCAAATAGCTGTGTGCTGGGTGTAAATGACACTCTTTTGCGCTCCATGTTTGTGCAAGGCTAACGCTCTTCCCAGAAAATGCGGACTTCATCAACTTTCGGTAGCGCTTGCACCGTTAAAGTTGCTTGGAAAAAATTACAATATTTAAAATTAGGTCCACAGATCTTATAAGAACAACAGTGAGTGGATGAATATACGAAAAAAAATATTTGTAATTTCGGTTTTTGTCAAGCGAAACATAGCTTGACGTGCGACGGATGCATGTAAACACACTGGCACAAATTACCTATAACAGATGCGAAAGAAAGCGACTGCATCGGAAACCGCTCGGCAAACCCGACACGCCTATTGAGTAGTGTAAATACACCAGTCGTTTAGTCCGGAAACCTAAGCTGTGTCGTATTCGCTTGCTGGAATGACATAGTGCGTTTTTATATGTTTCTTTTTAAATACGCGTGTAGGATTTTTGTTGAAGTTTTGAACTGTTATTTCTAAGTTTTGGTAATTTGTATATCTTATTTAAAATGGGATGCAAATGTGTTTATTTATAAGGAAAAAAAAGATATTTATAGTATAAAAAATTAATTTATTTAACAAAATTTAATTAAAAATGTGACAAAATAGTTACCTTTCTGTTGGTTCTATCGGACTTTTTTCGACTATATAAATCTTTATTTGTAAACTTTAATACATCAAATATTTTCAATCTAATAAATCATTTAATGATGTAAATAAGAGGAAATTTCTCACATGGGTGGTCAAATTTTATAGTTTTCATTATATCAAACAGCCTCTGAGAAATGTTTTCAACTCAAAATGCCTTTAATTATGTTTGACTACATCATTAAAAAGGGTCTTCAAATACATCAATGTGATATTTGTCTAAAATTTGCAAAAGAATCCGAATCTCTGGATAACTCGAAATTATTTACCCATTTAAAAGCCTTTGATCATGAAAGTGGAAAAATTTGTTCATTTTATTTACAGGCTGGAAAAATTATTTATATTAAATTTTGATGAGTTTTGCACTGAAGAAAACATTCAGAGGCTGTTTGATATAATGAAAACTATAGAATTTGACCACCCATGTGAGAAATTTCCTCTTATTTACATCATTAAATTATTTATTAGATTTAAAATATTTTATGCATTAAAGTTTACAAAAAATAAAGATTTATAGAGTCTAAAAAAGTCCGATAGAACCAATTTTGTTAAATAAATAAATTTTTTATACTATAAATATCTTTTTTTTTTCCTAATCTCCTACGAGCTGATATAATATGACGAGCAATCTATTAAATTACTGTGAGATTATACAGAAAAGTCCACAGACTTCGAGATATAGGAAAATCAAGTCCATTTAGCGTGTGTCCAAATTTTGACAAATTTTCAAAAACGACAGTTTTGTTTAGACTGAGGTTTAATTTCACCTGACTTCTCGGTGAATGATTTCTTTTTATGGGGGTACATAAAATCTAAAATTTACGGCCATGAAGAAATTCAAAACTTGGAGCAGTTAAGGCAGAAAATATTTAATGCCTTTGACACTGTCACCCCTGATATGTTATCCAATGTGAGGAGGGGATTTTATGATCGTTTGGGTTATTGTTTAATGCAAGAGGGAGGCACTTTTGAACAATTTTTGTAATTTTTTAAATTTCATTATCCTGTTTTTTTACCGTTTACCCATTACCTACCTTGACGAACATGGGAAAACGAAGGTCCTTTTCAGAACCACAAATATTTTGATTGAGAAAATTGGTAACTTTTTTTTGGATTAAAAAACAAGAGTTGTTAATATAATACCAATTTAAAAGTGTTTTAGTAGTTTTAATTTAATACACACTATGATATAAAATTTATTATTATTATAATGTACATTATTAATACTATTGTTCATTCGAAATGGCATTAAGGCCCAATTGCAACAATGATTTAAATTTTTCTTAAAGATAAGTAGAGCTTAGAATGAGCTGTATTTATATTTACTTTAATATTCACCTTAAATGCACTTAAAGGTGACTGATACAATTTTTGAATTTGAATTGTTTTTAATGATACTAACAATTTTAGTGCAATTTTTAATAAAATTTATTTAATATTAATAGAAATCCAAGAGATTTGAAACCTCTTTTAGCGATTTATAACATTCTCAAATGAATTACAGGTGCCCTTATTTTCTATGAAAAATCACACAGCTTTTTTCATAGTCGCTGCAGTTGCTATAGCTATAAAAAACTAAGTTTTTAAGGTGTGAAAATTGCGACACACGCTAAATGGACTTGATTTTTCGTATGTCTCGAAGTCTGTGGACCTTTTTGTATGCCTCGATAACATATTGGTGCAGATTATTTTCACCCAAACTATACATTGATGCGGATTGTCTATGAACTCTTTCTGAAGGTCACAGAAACCTGAACGCGTAATTCGGTGTTCTTTCGCATCTGTTATAGGTAATTTGTGACACTGGTCTATGTATTTCTCTGTCAAAGACAGTGTTGCCAAATTGAGCAAGAAATATTCCTCAAGTGTATTTAAAACAGTATATAAAATTGAAAAGATAATATTTTGTATGTATGCAATCTTTCTAGAATGAGTCCGCTTCTGTGGTACAGTATACAAGAAATAACGACTTTGTACAACCACCAGCAGAATCCAAAGAGGAAGAAGCTCCCAAAAGCGTGGCTAGAGCGGTCGCTAGAAAAAGCACGACAAGACCAAATACATCCAATCAACCTGCTCCAATTCATCCCTTTTTGCCCCCAATTAACAACACCCCAGCCAATATTACAGGACCAACTAGTAAAATCATGGTAAAATTCGTTTAAACCCGGCAATTACACGGTAACTTTTATTCTCCTTCTGTTATAGTACTTTACTCCAAGAGATCAGCAAGTTATCAAGAGAGAATATAGACAACACGAATGCGGACCTCAATGTAAAATCTACCTTACTCACAATTTCGTCAAACTTAAGGGTCATAATCCGCTGTCCAAGCCTTTGTTGTGCGGCTGGGCTAGAATGACGTTGAAGGATAGGGGTAGGAAGGTTATTATATATAAGGCCCCTTGTGGAAGAATGATCAGAGATATTAGTGAGGTAAATGTAATAGGTTATGTGTATATTTTGCCAAAGCCAAAAAAAGACAATTAATTGTCTGTTTTTTTTTTTTAAATTAAAACTAGATAGATATTTCTGACATTTGGATTTTGTCTGTCGAAATTATGTTTCTCCTGCTAGAAAAGTATATTTGAGTGGGATTTAGATTATACTGAACTCCATTCCAAGAAGTGTGTGTATGTATATTTTGTCAACATAAAAAACTATGACAGTGACAGTTGTCTGTCTTTATAATTTAAGATAGATTGTTTTCTTGTCATAGTTTTGAAGTTGCCTGTCGAAATTATATGATGATTCTCTGGATAGACCTTTGAATAAAAAGATTAAGGAAGGGGCATACCAAAAATCTTAGATCGACTACGACGGAACTCTAAAATGGCCGACTTAAATTCCGGTTTATCAGTGCCGTTCTAATTTTATTCAAAACGTGTAAAAATATGATGTGGGGTAGACTCAATAATTTGTTGTTTTATTTTACGTTGTCAATAAATGTTGGTAGTTATTAAAATTGTTATAAAAATATAGAATCAGATAAAATAGATAAGTTATAATAATTATTTATTAACACAAACATGGATACGCTACTGAAGCAGGTAAGTCAAATTGACGTATCTAAATTCTTTGACCTCTAATGTTTGACAAGTAATAAATAAAAACAAAAATGCAAGAAAAATATATAATTAGTTAATTTTAAGCGAATTTCATAAATGATCCGTTTACTACACGTATGTATATTCTATAGTCACTTACTAGCGAAAAGTTATTCCATTATTTCCCTCGATTTTTGACCGTGATCTACTGCACGCTACACAACCAACTATTTTACAGTCTTTTTCGATAAATCGCAATAGTGTCACTGTTAATTTAAGCTCTGTCACAAAAAAAATCCTTCTAAATTTACTATTTCTAAGCAACTATCAGTAATAGAATAAATAGTAAATAACATAAAATAAGCTCAGTAAAGACTGACAAATCCACAAAATTTCAAATCAAATTCAACTGTCAAGTATTCCCACCCTAAAGTCCTCTTTCTCTCGACCATGCATGAATACATGGATAGTATTATCACAGATTAGGTATCCTATAGGTATACAGATAAAAATCTTGTCCCTAATTCGTGGTACGAAAATTGTTTTTTATGACGATGTGCAAACGACTCAAATTTCCTGTGCGCAAAAATAAACTCGCGTAAAATAACAATAAACAGCGTAATAGAGAGATATCGTTAAACCGAATAACGTGCATGGACGTTAATAAGGCCAAGTGTTATTTCTTTACGTGAGGTGGTATTAACTATCTTCATTTATATATAGTTATCGGATCGGAAAGAATTCTGATCGCGTCGCGTCCGCTATTTAAACTTAACCTAACTATGAATTTAAAACTTTGAAATTGTTTTGTTTACTAGGTATTTTAAAACTAAAGGGCTAAAGTGCTTATTTCCAGTGCTTTATTGTTCAACGTCTGCCAGTGGGTTTAGGGCAACAAGTAACAAATTCTCTTAGAAGGGCTAAATCGTCATCTGCTGTAAACCTAAGACTCTTTATAGGTTCTTTAGTATTGGAAGAGGTGGAATCCATATTTTGGGCCATATTTATTTAATTAAAACTAATCCCAGCTACTTAAATATTAAATTACCTAATAAAACTAAAGCAATAATTCAAAACAATTCAAACATAACCTAAAATAAAAGATCTCGCCGGCCGGCTCCGGTTGTCAAAATGTCAAATACCCGCACATGCCCATTTAAGCAATTTTTAAACGTTATCAGATGTTATTTAGAAAGAGCGCTTGATGTAATTAATCCGCAAATTACGTCAGGCGGTACGCATAAATACTGGATGACGCTATTCGGCTTTCCGATATCTCTCTAATAACTGTGCCGGTCAGGCGCTGTGCACAATTTTAGAGGCAATAAGTGGGCGTACTATGTGCGCAAACTAGTAACCTAACTAGTGCCCGATTCCGAAAATTGGAACCACGAAAAATAATAAAGAAAAAACAAAGATTATAATCTGTGGTATTATACTCCTTCCTTAATATTTTTTATTCAAAGCGCTAGCTCAACCTCAATAAGTTTTCTTAGTATAAAAAAATTGTTCAATAAAATTCTATACATGTTTACTTACTGTCACCTCTGTATAGCTAGGTATTGTGCTATATTTTGATATTTTGTTATTTGTTTGGTTGTTATTTGTTTGGTTGTTATTTGTTTATTGTTATTTGTTTTCAGATCCACTATTATTTGAGGATAACTGAGAGTGAAATGACAGTTGATTTGTTTGATTTCAATCACATGGTTCGATGTTTGGCCGAGTTCAGTGTCGAATGTGCTCCAGATCCAAAAGATTTATCTAAAGGTCAGTATTCATCGTCATTTACACATTTTACAGAAGCTTTATTCTTCATAATAAGACTAAAATACAACTTTTCGGTTTTACAAAAAAATATTAATAGGTTGGTAAAAAATGTTTTTAAAATTAAAATATTTGTTTTTATATAGGTCTAGAGCAAGTTCCTATTCCGGTTATAAACGGTATGAATAACGACATGCTCGATTTCTGTAACTATTCAATCAAAAGAGTTCCTATGGAAGGCGTCCACATGAACCTTGATTCAGACTTCTTATGTGGTTGCGATTGCGATGACGATTGCGTGGTAAGTCAGAGTAAATATGAAACAGTTGCACACATGTCATTCATGTTTGACAGTGACAGTTGTAATGACATCTGTCAATGAAATATTTAGGCTGTATTCCGTTGCAAAACCAGGCGAACCAGACCGGTAAACTACGGTAAAGAGCGGTTCCTGAAAAACATCGGTTTGATACGGAACGGTTTGGTAAAATACTGGAAACGTCAAATGTTGACGTTGTCTAAATTTCAATACCTCTATCATAACATTTATCTTTTATGCATTTTTAATGTACCTATTCTCTGCTTTTACGTTTGCTTCTTCTTTTTAATGCAGTTTAATATTGAAAAGTACTTTATTAATAAACTGTTAAACTCGTTGAGATTGATAGAAGTGAAGATTTGCAGGTCCAATATTAAAACAGATCAAAAATAAACAAATCTAATCAATATTTATATTTTTATAGCTTACAAAACATTCACGATTACTTGTCTTGTTTTTCATGTTTTCTTTAAATATTCCTGACTTTAAAAAACAATGGCTACATGATAAGTTTAAATGGTCCTAAACAGTCATTCTATTTAGTTAATGAAATTTATTTACCTTTTCTGCCTACCTCCATTGTTTTAGGATGTAAATACAAAATATTATTACAAATTTTACAAATTAAATGAGAATTTCACTCCAACTTCCAATATTTGCTTGATTTCTGTCACATAAATGACATTGATTGACAAACGAAACCAGACAAAAAGCCTTCTCGCGCTGATTAGTTTGGTGACAGTTATAACCGAATTTTGTCAGGAACCGTGTTACGTAATAAGAAAACTTTCAGGAAACCGATAAAAACGGAACATAACCAAGGTAAGCAACGGAATACACCCTTAATATATTTGTAAAAGTCTGTTCAATAAGTCAGGCAAGATTGCGGCAGAGGACATTAAAAAAGTGAGAGAAAATACTATTTATCCATGAATTAAAATAACAGATACAATATGTCACTGTCGTGTATTCTCTCTATGTAGAAAGAATACTTGACAGTGACAGTTCTTGTCTGTCATTTAAATTTACAGGCTTGTTGGACAGACTTTATGTTTACATTGATTACGTGTTTGCAACTTTGTTCGGTTTTTTAGTATATTATTTAAGCATTTTAATATATTTTCATTTTTTCAAAGGATAAACTGAAGTGTTCATGTTGGAAACTAACCCTGGAAGGTCTTAAATATTTGGGAAAAGATGTGGATCCTATTTCCGTCGGTTATATATACAGGAGATTGCAAGAACAAGTCATAACCGGAATATACGAGTGTAATTCAAAGTAAAAAGAAATACGAACTAATATATATTAACAAGATTTACATATATTTGTATTATTACAGGTGTAAATGCACTCAGACATGTCTGAACAGGGTAGCGCAGAATCCGTTGTCTTTAAAACTTCAAGTTTTCAAAACGCCAAACAAAGGATGGGGCATAAGGTGTTTGAATGACATTCCGCAGGGATCATTCATATGCATCTACGCTGGTACATTGCTGACTGAACATATGGCCAATGAGGTATTTTTAGTTTAATCAAAGAATATCTTGGTTTAATCTTTGTTTATATATTCTTAAAGTTGCTCAACCGACTAGACAAAATGTGCTGCCAACTGGAGGACAAATCGTGAACCTTTCGGGGCGGAGTCAAAAATATCGATTATTTTCGTTATTTTCCTTTAACTTTAATAGTGATCAGCTGATTAAGAATTATATTAAAAATATGCATTCAGAAAGAAAAAATATCTCGAAAATTATATAAACAAACATTTTTTTTTCTTATCAGTGAGAAACATCGGCTTCGTCGGCCTTGCGGAATTTGTCGGGTATTTACAATGGTCGAATTGTATAATTACCAGCTTTTATAGCATATCTAAAGATAAAAAGTATCTGGTCGATTAGTAACCAATTGGCACAGTCCGAAAATTATCGATTTTATTTTCTCTGTTTTTATTGGTCGCTTCAAAATTCAGAGTAACAAAAAATATTTTTCTGTAGTAAAAGACCGTGAAATACGCCCCGCCATCTGGTGCTTTACATCCATAAACGTCTTAGGTTGAGCTACTTAAATTCATATACAAGGGTTTAATTTAGATTGAAATGATTAAAGCGATTATTTTATTATGAAATTTAGATACAATTGGGATAGAATAAATAATCAATTCAATAAAAAATAAAAATTTAGATAGTTTAATCATTTAGGATGGAATGCAATATGGGGATGAGTATTTTGCTGAGTTGGATTATATTGAAACTGTCGAGAAATACAAAGAAGATTACGAAGAGGACGTTGTAGAAGATGAAGATTTTGAAAAAGAAAAAGCGTCAAATGCCGCTGAAGAGAAAGAATTGAAAATACAAAAAGCAAATCAAGCTAGAAAAAGGTATAAAGAGGCGTTTTTTAAAATTAATTATATTGTTTTGTTTGTCAAGTTCTATGAAACCATAAAATCGCTTACAGTTACATTCCTTAACTCTAATTACAAATAGGGAGTTTTTGGTTTTTTTCTATAATTCTTCTCATAATGTATCACACAATCTGCCCAGCTAATGAACTGTCATTATAACAGGGAGATAGCTGGTATTTTTTAGTTGTGTGTGTGTGATCCCGGTACCCTTATATGGGAACACTGTATATTTTCTTGCTGGATAGACTATATTTACATAGTTTTGACTGAAGAGGCTTTAACGTGTGTGTTTTATTTTTATAGAAACACTTACATGGAAGACAATGATTTTACACCAAGTATTTCTGTACAAAAAGCTACTGGGGCTGATGATGGAATAAGGTAACGTTTTTAACAATATTTAAAATTATAAAAAATATAGTGTTTTTATCTCTATATATTAGGTCTAGACTTAGGCGCAGAAAAGATGATGAAGAAAAAAAAGAGGACCCTGTTAAGGTGAAGCAAGAACTACATGAAAGAGATATTAAGAGCGTAGTTGACAGTGTTGCTAAGGATATCGATACTGTTACAATTAGCGATGAAGAAGACGGTAAAAACGATTTTATAATATATACCAATCGTAACAGCGTAGCCTGGATTTTAACGTGGAAGACAGTGACGTAGACAGCTTTTTCATTAAGCTAAAAATCTGACTTAAACCATTTATATAAAGACTTAATTAAATCTTTTTAATGACTTAAGTCTTTTCTAAAAAGAGTTAAATCTTTTTCTATTTCGGAATAAAGATTTAAATCACAAGTTATTTTAAAAAATACTTAAATTCTAAGTTAAGTTAAGTCGGCTTTCGAAAAATGACTTAAGTTATTAAAATGATTTAAATCAAAAAAAGACTGAAGTTTTCTGTGAGCTTGCAGCTCTGAGAGTCGTATACAGTGTCCTCTGTATATTACAATGCCCTTTTCTACGAATTTTTTGGTGGTCACTGTATATTTTGTTTTATGTTTTCTCTTTTTTTTCAACAGAGGATCGAGAGGTGCTTAGTTTTAATCCAAAAGCGAACACTGACATTGATGACAGAACGTCCGGGTATGGGTCTGTTCGCGAGATATTCGGTCCAGACGAAAAAGATAATATTTATATTATGGATGCGAAAAATGCTGGTAATATCGGCAGGTTCTTAAATGTAAGTAGTATAAAGTCGGTCCAAGGAAGCTGGGAAGATTTTGACAGACGACATCCCAAAAATTGTCAGAAAATATAATTTTCGGTGCATTAAGATGACAGACACAACTGTCATTGTCACGTGTCACGTATCTTCTCGTTGGACAGACATCTGCCATTTTAATTCAAAAATATAATTTATTTTCTGTCACTTTAAATGTTGTCTGACAAAATCAAATTATCTCACTTGACAAGCAATATTTAAATATTTTTCTATTCTTGTTTTAACCCTAATACTAACATTAGTCCTAATCTCAAGAATATATGAATCACCATTAACGAACTCTAGCGTTCATGCTTCAATACATCAATTTTAACTTGGATACTTTATATTTTTGGGGATAATGCAAAATACAAAATTTGCCCATGCTTAAAAATAGTGGTTTTAAAGAATTTTCGAAATAATATTTGACATATGTTACATCTGACGGTTCATAAATGTTAATAAATTAAATATTTTTTGGTCTAGAAATAATTAATGCTTATTGACAAACATGTGGATGTTATCTTTGTGAAAATTAATCTCTCTAGTTTTCCAAATTCTAAAAACAGTTGTGTTAGGTTAACTAAAAAAATATGTTTCAAATGAGCACAGGCATATACTAAAATATACTTAAGACAAGTTGGAGAAGTATGAACGGTATTTCCTTAAGTTCTCAATGTTAATATCTTAGGATTGAGGTTAAGGGTAGATTATGACTCAATGACTAAAGAATAAAGGACATGTAACGCCCATATACGGGCTGCAGCAGAATTTGTGACCTTAGACGCAATTCTTTTGATGGCAAACAATGAGTCATCTGGTCACCAGCGACAATTTTAGCGATTTTTAATAGTTTGTGTGTAGTGAACTTTGTATAAACTTTATTACAATGGTGATTAGTTGTTCAGCTTTCAAGTGTAAAAGCAGCAGCGATAAGAAAGAGCCAGGAGTTACGTTTCATAGGTAAATAAACAGTCGGCTCCACCTTTTTAGCGTTTTCTTATTGAATTCGATAATTATTTTTCTGATATTATATGTACCTGATGTGTGCTATACGTCGATACTAGTTTTGTACCTTTTGTTAACATGTTAATACTGTTACGGATTCCGTGGGTCCACTATTTTAAACTCACGATAAAATACTTAACGAATTTATTTTCTCACTTTATACACAATTACTAACTTATAACACACAACAAACTAACTATTTATAAGATTCCTTCACCAAATTGTCCGATTTTCAATTTCCACACGGTATATTCAAATTTCAAAAACTGTCTCAGTTGTCGATGGCTCCGGCTTATATACTCTATTGACTGCTTCTCGAAATTTCCCCAATTCTCGGAAAGCGTACTTCTTCATACCAGACAATTCCATTGTCTGATTCCCTTACTTCTCGACTTGACTAAAAGATGGCGCCTGAAAAAGTCTTTTTAATTTCTGGCGGATACGTTGCGGTTGTGCAGGCAACCAGTAATACATTTTTAATTTCTGGCGGATACGCCATTTTTCTTGACATTGCCCCCTTCTCAAATTTGATCGTCCCGATCAAGGTTTCCTGTCTGATATCTCTTCAATCGATCCAGATGAACTACTTTCATCTTACTTCTAGGGCTGCGTTGAATCCGGTACACAACATCATTTATCCTCTTGATGACTGTATAAGGACCTTCCCATGCTGGAGTTAACTTTGGGGACCTCCCTTTCTTGCGCTGTGGGTTATATAACCATACCATATCGTCCTGTTGAAATCCCGTAGAATTGGCTCTGAGGTCGTAACGAGCTTTCATCCGGTCACTGGCTAGCGTAATCTTACTTCTTACGGCCTTATGAATTTCCATTAACCTTTCCTTCAGTTCATCCGCGTAGTCCTCTACATTTGTGGTGCCGTCGTCTGGTGATCCGAACACCAAGTCACAAGGCAACCGTAATTCTCGACCAAATAAAATCTTCGATGGTGAAAGTCCGGTGGTGTTGTGAACTGCACTTCTATACGCCATTAGGAACAGCGGTATGTGTTGATCCCAATCTCTTTGATGTTCGGCCACCATTTTCGAGAGGTGTTCTTCAATGGTCTTATTGAATCTTTCGACCATCCCATCAGACTGCGGATGTAAAGCTGTTGTCCTAGTCTTGTGAATACCAAGCAGATCACACATCTTCTGGAACAGTCTTGACTCGAAGTTCCTTCCTTGGTCAGTGTGAAGCTCTAAGGGAATTCCAAATCTACTGAAGACATTATTGACCAATACTTCAGCTACAGTCGATGCTTCTTGGTTTGGAATGGCAAAAACTTCTGGCCATTTACTGAAATAATCCATCGCTACTAAAACGTACTTGTTGCCCTTGTGCGTTTCAGGGAATGGGCCTGCAATGTCAACAGCGATTCTTTCGAATGGCAGTCCAACGTTATATTGTTTCATTTTTCCCCTAGAGCGAGTGCTTGGTCCTTGGCTGGCTGCACAAGTTTTACATTGTCGACACCATTTCTTGACATCTTCGCAATAATCCACCCAGTAAAAACGATCTCTCAGCTTGCTCAAGGTCTTGTTTACCCCAAGATGGGCTCCAGTTTTACCACCGTGAATTTCTTCCAATACCTGGGTAACTTTCTTCCTTGGTACCAGTAACTGAGTTGTTACTGTCCTGCCATCCGCACTTTCCCACATGCGCTTTAACAATCCATTCTCAATAACCAGTGAATTCCACTGAGCCCAGAGAGCTTTGAAAACTAGCCCTCTGTCCGCAATATCCTGCCACGGTGGTCTCTCGCCGTTACCTTCCTTGAGCCCTAGTATTGCTCCGATGTCTGGATCTTCCATTTGGTCTTTCCTCAACTGTGCCGTCGTCCACTGTTCATCAGCTCCAAGCTTAAAACTCCTTATCATGACAGTGCCTTCACGTTGTTCCGTTTTACAGCAGTGCTTACAATCGGTTTGACAGGGTCTTCTGGATAAACCGTCTGCGTTACCATGCATCTTCCCAGCACGATGTTGGATGGTAAAGTGATACTGCTGGAGCTTCTCGAGCCATCGTGCTATTTGGCCTTCAGGTTGTTTCATCTCCATAAGCCATTTGAGAGCCGCATGATCTGTCCTAATTAAAATTCTTGGCCGTACAGATATTTATGAAAATGATCAACTGCCTTCACAATTGCTAGCAGCTCCTTCCGGGTAACGCAGTAATTCCTTTCTGGTTTGGATAGAACTCGACTGTAATATTCTATCACTCGTTCTTCGCCATCTTGCACTTGTGATAGCACTGCACCTATGCCGATATTGCTGGCGTCGGTATCCAGGATATACCTCCCTTGTTGTTGCGGGTAGGCTAGAATAGGACTTGAACATAAAGCCGCCTTAAGTCTTCCAAAGGCTACATCACAATCGGTGTTCCATTCGTAGCCGACTTCATCACCTGTAAGTCTATGTAAGGGTGCAGCTATATTGGCAAATCCCTTGACAAATCTTCTGTAATAGGTGCATAAACCCAGAAAACTTCTAAGTTCATGTTTGTCGCGAGTTTAGGCCAATCCTTGATTGCAGCGATTTTCTTCTGGTCGGTGTAAATTCCGTCTGCTGAGACTACATGACCCAAGAATTCCACTTGTCGCTGGAATAAACTACACTTCTTCGGGTTCAAGTACAGGTGAGCATTCCGTATGCGGCCGAAGACATCTTCTAAATTTCGCAAATGCTCTTCAAAAGTTCTTCCCATAACCAATACATCGTCGAGGTAAACCAAGCACGTTTTCCAAGTTAATCCTCTTAACACCACCTCCATGAGACGTTCGAAAGTGGCTGGAGCATTGCATAATCCAAACGGCATGACCTTGAATTGGTATAGTCCGTTTCCTGTAGAAAGAGCCGTCTTTTCTTTGTCTTCCTCGTCCAGACCAACTTGCCAGTATCCACTCTTTAAATCGAGAGTGGAGAACCAGCACGAACCTGCGAGAGTTGTTAATGTGTCATCTATACGTGGCAGTGGGTAGCTATCTTTCTTAGTGACGTCATTGAGCTTCCTATAATCCACGCAGAATCGTGTACTACCATCTTTCTTCGTCACCAAAACAACAAGAGATGACCATGGACTCGATGATTCTTCGATAACTCCATCTTCTAGCATCTTATCTACCATTGTCTCCATTTCTTGTTGTTTGGAAAGGGGCACCCTTCTAGGACGTTGTCGAATCGGCTGAGCATGACCTGTATTAATCCGGTGCTTCACAAAATCCGTTCTTCCACTGTTGTTCTTCTCAAAAATACTACCATGCTTTAGCAGGAACTGCTTGGCCTTCTGTTTCTCCTCAGGTGTTAGGTGATCCCATGGCTGTTCTAGATGTTTTAGTGTTTCTTGGGATGCCTTTTGTGTAACAGCTGACGACACTTCATCACATCGGGTGACACTTCTTACAGGTTCGCAGATGGCTATCTTGTCACCTTTTTGGATCTTGACACAATTCGGGAAAACATTCGCAATTCTGATCGGTATATTCTTGTCGGTGTTCACCAATGATTTTCCTACTAAGTACCTATCTTGTTTCTTGTCGCTACTTTGTACCAGTCCAACACAGCACCCAGCGATTTTCTCCACTTTACCGAATACGATCTTCTCGGTATTACCAGGTATCACCACAGTTTCCGCTGATCTTACATCCATTCTTCCTGGTCCCTCGTCTGGAGATAACATAAACTCTTCATTTCCGATATTCAGGATATTTCTCTGGTGATCGAACGAAAATCCATGTTGACGAATCACATCCATGCCCAAGATGAAGTCATCTTCAATATCTGCCACTAAAACGCTATGCTGGAACTTCAAATTTCCTAACTTCAGTTCGACGATAGCCTCTCCCCGTACAACGGCCATTTCCCCCGTAACTGTACGTAAACACACTCTTCTTCTCAGAGGCATCAGCTTCAATCCTTGCACTGAGTTAGCCCGCACCAACGATACCATAGCGCCAGTGTCCACTGTCATTCGGATTCCCTTTCCATTGACTTTCCCGTCGATCACCAAACTGTCAGCGGTTCTTCCTAGACTTCTAATGGAAAAAATCCTGGGGGCTCTGTTCTCCCCAGTCAATACTCGCCCCTTAGTATTGACTGATTTTAGTTTTCCTGGTGCCTACGTTCTCTGGATGGTGAACGGGATCGCATTTGAACGCGGCAATCTGTTTGATGTGGCCATTCCTGCCACATCTAAAGCACCTTATGTCGTGTGATCTTCTATAGCTCTCTGTCTGGGTGTTGTTGCTACTCTTGTTCACTAGTAACTCACATAGTTTACTAAACATCTCCTCCAAACATATGTGAGAACTTCCGGGCTGTTCCTCGACCGTTACCGATCTTATCTTCGGTCTAGGGATGGCGCTAAAAGCAGCTTCAATTTCTAGCGCCCTGACCAGTGTTTCGCTGCTGGTATAAAATCGGGATATTTGCAGCGCCCTCTGTAATTCGTTGTCCCTCGGTCCGCTGATAAAGCACTGAGCAGCGAGTTCCTCCCTAAATCCTTCCGGTGCTACAGGATACGCTAGGTGTACCAGCCGACGTAAGTCTGCTTCAAATTCCTGCAGACTCTCTCCGGACCTCTGCAGGCGTGTCTTGATCTGGGCCTGGTAAAGTTGGCGTCGATGTTGGTCGCCATATCTTCTGTCCAGTGCAGTGACCAAAGTTTGGTATTCCTGCTGTTGGGCTGCAGGAATAGTTTGCAACAGTTCCAGGGCAGGGCCACGCAGCGCGATGACAAGTGCCGCTGCTTTCTCCCGGTCAGTCCATCCGTTGGCAGCGGCGGCTGCTTCAAACTGACGGTGGTACATTGTCCATGTCGTTTGTCCATCGTAGGTCGGGGCCTTAGGTTCGCTGTTCCTTGAACGCCAGGTGTCTTTACTTGTACCTTGGTCTTCTGTAGGTCCATCTCCAATCTTTCTATCTTCTGCTGAAGGCGCTCCTCCAGATCTTCTACAGCTTCTTGGAAGTGGTTCTGTTGTTCCTGGCAACGTACTTCCAACATTGATTGTTGCTTTTTTTCCATTTTTTCGAAACTTTTCTTGATACGGTCCTGCTCTTCAAGCTTTTCTTCTTGTCGACGCACTTCAAAACCTTGTAAAATTTTCTCGATCCGGTCCTGTTCCTCTTGTCTTTCTTTTTGATGACGCGCCTCTAAGCCTTCCAGAATTTTCTCAAGCCGGTCCTGTTCTTCTTGTTTTTCTTTCTGGCGACGCACTTCTAGATTTTCTACAATTTTCTCCAACCGTTCTTGTCTGATTTCTTGATTCTCCATAAGCATTTTCTGTAGTTGGTCTTGTTCTTCTTGACGTCGTAGTTTTTCCTCTTCTTTTTCTCTTTCCAATCGGGCTCGTTCTTCTTCTCGTTCTTTACGGAGTCTTTCTTGATCTTCTGCTTTTTCTTTTCGCAGCCTCTCTTGTTCTTCTGCCTTTTCTCTTCTCATATTCTCCATAAAATCGCCCAATAATTTGCTTACTTCCTCCATTTTCTTCGCTTGCTGTCTCGTACCAACCATAAAAAACCAAACCAAATTCGGTGTAAAAATCGTCCAATCCACTTAATTTCTTCTTAAAATCCTCTTGAATCGCACTTCCGACACCAATTGTTACGGATTCCGTGGGTCCACTATTTTAAACTCACGATAAAATACTTAACGAATTTATTTTCTCACTTTATACACAATTACTAACTTATAACACACAACAAACTAACTATTTATAAGATTCCTTCACCAAATTGTCCGATTTTCAATTTCCACGCGGTATATTCAAATTTCAAAAACTGTCTCAGTTGTCGATGGCTCCGGCTTATATACTCTATTGACTGCTTCTCGAAATTTCCCCAATTCTCGGAAAGCGTACTTCTTCACACCAGACAATTCCATTGTCTGATTCCCTTACTTCTCGACTTGACTAAAAGATGGCGCCTGAAAAAGTCTTTTTAATTTCTGGCGGATACGTTGCGGTTGTGCAGGCAACCAGTAATACATTTTTAATTTCTGGCGGATACGCCATTTTTCTTGACAATACGTTTTTTTCCTTAATTAATTGATACCACCGTATACACCATAGGCGTCCTCAAAACATTATAATATAAATATCTCTTCAAACAGCTAGGTTAAGAAAAATATGTGCCACGGCACAGTTTGTTGTCCTTGGATTCTTTAGTCATTGTTATGACTAATACGAGTATTCGAATTAAAAACCAACCATTAAAACTTATTTTACAATTTTCAGCATTCCTGTTCTCCCAACGTCTTCGTTCAGAACGTGTTCGTTGACACTCATGACGTACGGTTTCCATGGGTGGCATTTTTCTCGTCGCAGTTCATCAGAGCAGGTACCGAACTCACCTGGAACTACAATTACGACATAGGAAGCGTTCCAGGCAGGATACTTTATTGCAATTGTGCGTCGTTAGAATGTAAGGGCAGATTATTATAAAAAAATAAACGTCAAATGTATTTATTTATGTATTAATCACTTTCTATTTAAGTCGGGATGACACGGTCAAAGTGTACTTTGTGTACTTGGATCAAGTACATTTGGATGGTGCCATATAAATGTACTTATAAAAATGCTGCGCGCGTCTCGAGTTGGAAGGCTTTTTAACATCACAGTAAGTACGCTGGGGTGGAACTTTATAATTAAATAGCGATCGGTAGCGATGAAGAATACTGACCTTAGCCGTAGAAACTAAACGGCAAGCGACAGTATTCTTCATCGCTATTTATTTATAGAGGTGAGACGGGCGCGACATATAAATAGGTATATTTATATGGCATTTGGTTGACTTGGTCCAAGTACACTATGACCGTGTCAACCAGGCTTTTCCCTAAGATATAGTGTAATGGAAAATAAAATGTTGTGAAGAGTAACAAGCGAATTATTCTTTTAAAAGTATAGTCTGTTCAGCGATAGGTTAGGTAAATAATAAGAGTTAAATTTTACATCCTATAATTTATTGGATGTCGTCTGACTAAATAATCCCTGGATCACTAGACAGACTACACTATATGCGCTTTGTGTTTATTGCTTGTTGCAGTCAAAGTATATGAGACAGTGAGATGTGTTCACTACTAAAAGGTTGAAATTCTCACTAGCTTCTACGTCCCACTAGTCAACTTGCATACGCAACAATGTTGCCATTTGTTGTCTCTTAATTTAGCAGTTCTGCACGCGCAAACGATAATAGGTCGGGTATTTCGCGTGCAATCTGCACAAAAAAAACTTGCCCCAGACACTAACCAACGCAATCAAAACATGATTGCTATTTTAAAAATAAAAACAGCTGTAAAAAAAGAAAGTTCTATATTTTTGTGGAACAAGAACCTGGGACCTCTCGATCCCGAAGGAACGGCCTCGCCAACGGATCCACAGCTGCTTTTGCGAAGTTGGCTATAGCTAGGCGTTACTTTCCGCCGTTCTTAAAACCATTCATAAAATAAGGCGACAGCAAACGGCAACATTGTTGGGTATGCGAGAGACTAGTGGGATGTAGAAGCTATTGACATTCTCTAGGCTGAATACAAGTGTATTCTGTTGTAGAATAAATACATTTTTATTCAAATCAAATGGGCATTACAGTAAAAACCGTCGCGTCGGTCATTTCGAAGGTCACCGTAATGCCGTTTTTTTCAATCGCATGGTAGTTTTTTTTGAGGTAAATGATTTATGCCAATATAGTTATTTATTACACCAACAGAACACTGCAGGGCATATACCGAGCTGGCAACTGTTACTTTTGGGTCGGCATTTACATGTGTGGAAGTAAATCGCATAGGGATCTTATTAAGTCGGAGTGAGAGAAATGCGATGAAATGACCGACGCGACGGTGTGCTGTTGCGGCGTTGCCGATACGCCTTTCCCTATCAAGTAAAGTAAAATCATGATCGCAAACTGCTTATTTTTAAGACTTTTTTTTCAAGAGATAACTAGATAAAATCATTAGACATGTTTCTGAGCATCTGAAATGGAATTATAAGGATATCGTTAGGGTGTCATTTTTTTTATAACGAAAATTTCACACCTCTACTTTTCAACCAATAACATGCTTTAATGTTGACTAGTTACCATGGCAACTGAAAAAATTTCCGGAAATTTTTTCGAGGCGCCACGAAACTTTAGTGGAAATTTTTTGACAGTTGAAAAGGTAAACATAAGATCTACAATCATAATGTGAATGAACTACAATGTCTATATATTGAAATATTACCCATTTGAGTTTTAGCATTTGATGTAACTAAGGTTGGTAATATTTTTTATTTAAGGAAATATGTTAGATATACCTACATATAAATTTCTTCGAAATTGCCATGTTCTAAAAAATATAGTTCTGCCGCCTTTATTTAACTAAAGCTGGTATTTTTCTATTTAACGAAATATGATGGATATACACTTGATTTTGATTTTCGGGTGTTATCTGGTTTTATATTTTCAATTTCTTCTTTAATGACTTGTTGGTTTACTTTTCCAAATCGCGACATTTCGCTATACACTTCTTACTCTACGTACAGACGTTTTAAAACTAGTAATAGCTTAATGACAGAATCGCAAACAAAATGACAAAACACATAATATGTCAAAAACATCAATACCTTGGCCAACTTAACAAATTGAAATTATTTTAAAATGTCATGTTGGATTAATATTTTTTTCAAATTTAGGTGTGAAATTTTCTTACCGAATACCACGCAAGCTTAAATTATTCCTGGAAATTTTCTTTCGGGCACGAATATTTTAGGAAAATTATCCCTCGTCTTCGACTCGGGATAATTTTCAAAATATTCGTGCCCTCAAAAAAATTTCCGAAAATAATTTAAGCTCTTGTGATATTATAAGTGAGAAAACTTCAGTAATCGCGATAATTTAAAAACTCAACTTTTTAAGACATAACAGGCCATAACTCAAGAACCGCTTTAGATATTGATTTAAATATTTTTGATTGAAACTTTTTTTTATTTTCAAGATCGGATATTTTACAATATGTTTACATAAGAAAAATTCGATAAGGTTGTTTTTTCAATTCAAAAATTGTAAACAATCCATCTATTTACTTTTAGAGCATAGCAATTTTCAGCAATCGTGTAATTTTTTTATTGATAAAGATTTTCACATACTGTCTACAAAGAAAATACAACAGAAATATTAACAAAGTTCTTGAAAAAACTACAATCTCAAAATTAGAACTTATAATTTGGCAAGAGTTTGACAACTCTCAAAAATTTTAAGGCGAGTTCACACGCATCGGTGTCCGTGTGTCGTTCATCGTTCCATCAAACCAATAATAATTGAAATACGATCTGTCATTTTTTAAATAAACCAATAAAACAGGTGAAAAACAACAAGAGACGACGTATGACGGATTTATAAATAAACCCATCCATAGCTAACTTAAAAAATATTAGAAACTTTTTTTAGTGAAATAATTGGATTGGTATGGACGTCATCTGCTTTTTTTCTGTCATCGTCTGTCGAAATCTTACCTGAGAAAAAAAACAGAGTATATATCTTGTACCTACATACTCTACATACATATGAGCACTTTTTGAACCTGACATCTAGGTTTAATAAAAGATATTTTAAATCGACTTTTTTATTGAATACTTAAGACAATTCTATCTTACAATTTTGTGTTTTCCACACAAAACAAACGTTATTCCAATATTTATCTCCAAGTATTTACAAGACTAAATACATTTTAATAATTAGAAAAAAGGAAAAACTACGTGACTATGAAAATCGTAATTGCATCTAACAATTTCGATTGTGTATTACAATATACAGAATGATAATACACCTATTTACAAAGTTAATAGAAATATTTTTTTATGGAAACGAGACTTGATTTTAGAAAAAAATAAATTACATAGACAAAAATATCTCAAATATTGCTCTAAATCAGCCTAAACTAATTTTTCAAACAAACTTTGTAATTAGGCATACAAATGGATATAGGAATCTATTTTAAACGCGTTCTCCTTAATTGGTATATCACACACAAATACGTTAAAAAATCTACTAATCGAAAATAACTCATTTGGGATCACATTAAATTCTACACATCACAAAAAAAATAAAAATAAATTTGAATTTTCTATTAAACATGTTCCAAAGATAGCTTTTCATAAAGTGTGTTCTAAGTAGTTAAAATCTATAATTTAGTTAAAATAAAGTTGTAATATATTAGTTAGCTACCCCTGGAACACATATATATTCATGCTATTTAAACTAGAAAATAATATAATCCATAAATATTAAAACTATCCTACAGGGTGTGTTAAAATGTTATGGAATTTTTTATATTATAATGTTAATGAAAAAAAGTCTTATGATCAATTTCTTCAGTAAGTTCAATAACAAATAGAATCATTTTAACATGAGACAACTGCCATGGCAAAATTTCTCTGTGTAAAAAAGTGGGATTAAGTGATAAAATATCAAAAAAAAAGATCAAAGAGAAGAATGACTTAAACAGTAACATTTTTTGAAGAAGAAAAAATTATAAAGTTAATTTTTTCAATTAATTCAATCATTTTTCCCATTTGTTGTAACTTTTTTGTACACCCTGTATATTAAACAGAACTACATAGAACTGATTTATGAGCTTATTAGATGAAATAATTCAAAATAACTTTGAGTAACTTCTCTAAATCTATTTTTTTTTCAATAATAAAAGAATAACTAAGATTTAACTTTCAGGATACGAAAAAATATTACACGTTAAGGTTAGTGTTTTGTAAAATATTTAAATAAAAAGAAGCTTCAGTTTAAAATACACTAAATGGTAAAATTATAATTTTAAGAAACCAATAATATTTTTTTTAATTTGGCTAAAAAATATATACTTTATATCAGCTAAATTGAGAACGGAATTCTAATGTAATTTATTAGAGAACACTTATTGTTTTTAACTGTAACTTAATTTTAGAGAAAAATATACTATAATTTTGAAGTTACTGTCAGTTCTGTTAGTTTATTTTGTGATTAATCAAACTTTTAAATTATTTTTAAGAAACAAATTATCACTTGAGCAACTCCAAGGCAAGTTTATGCATCTTTCTTTGGAGTTATCAATTTGATACTACTGGAAACAACTCAGTCAAAAAATTCTTAACATATTTTCTTCAATTTTAAACTACACGCCCTAATAATTAAGAAAGTAGAAATTTAGTTCAAAGACTTAAAGAAATTTAAGTAAAAAAAAAGGTACTAAACATTTTCAAATAAAAATAAAATAAAAGTGGACAATTTTCTCACAACGCCAAAAATGATGGCGTTTCGACGGGAAAAGTATTTTGTCCGTTTTTCAGTCTTGCGAATGAAATTTTTCATGTTCCTATATATCCTATACCTAACACATTTAACTATTTCTTTTTCTTGAAATCGTCTTCGAAGACCTTCCTTTTGATTGGTCGTTTTTCGGGAAGGGGGCGTTCCAAATCGTACAGGTGTTCCCGGTGATTCATCTCGCTGGCGTACGACTAGAACGAATGTGACTATTGCGATAGATTGTTAATAGCAAATCCTCTTTGGCTGATTCTTTTTACAAACACAATTAAAAAAAACTCTACTAACTACCTACTAAATAAATGAGCAAACAAATATGTTGAATAGTTAGTGTCCTATAGTTCTTTTCGCGTAAGTGCATTTTGATGCATGTGTGTGCACTATGTGCGCATATTTGAAGTGAAACTTCTTACTAACAGCTATTAAATTGAAGGATTTGAAGGAAATGTTTGAAAAAGTGTAGTTTGAAATTTTGAAAAAGTAATAAATAATTTGATTCACTTTCACAAAATTGGTATTAAAATGACCGTCTGTCCGTGTGTCCATCTGAAGACTCCATTTGGATACCTCTATCCAATCGCCGATGATTAAGAAAAATCCTGATGATTTCGTTATTTAGAGGCATTGGTTCGAAACGTCGAGAGTGTCATCCTGTAGCCCGTCCCAATTATGCCGAAATCGACCCACATTTTTCTTCAATATCAAATCCTTATCCCACCCTAATGAAGATGTAAAGGAAACGTGCGTCGTATCCAACTTTGAAGGGTGGGACCGTGTGCACCGTCGCTCACATAGCCTACCCACCAAATTTAGTCGCGATCGGATGACATCAACTTTTGATGTTTCTTACGTCAAAACCAACTGTCACAGACACATGTCGTACTTACGGTCGTACGCGGTTAAGTTGGCCTTAGTCCAATCTATTGACATAACAAATTTCATTTAAATCGGACGATTTGTTCTAAGTCGTAGGCTGTCCCTATCACTTTTCCTCTCGCCTGTGTCGTGTCGTGTCACGGCCTTGAATTTTTACTCCCAGCGCGCCCAGCCATTTCATTTCAAAAAAATATTTTTTAGAAAATTTCACCGCCCTGCATCTCAGAAGATGTTAAGAAAATACATTCATATGCGTTTTTTTTTCTTCTTAGGATAGGTCCTTAGGATAGTAGTACCTAGGGATGGGGACATTTAATTTTTCACCTTATGTTGAAATTTCATAATGAAATTTTCACTGAAAGATTGAAATTTTTCAAATTTTCAGTGAAAATTTTATAAATTTCCTGAAATATTGACAATTAAATATTTCACCTGGGAAATTTCATTGAAATTTCATGAAAATTACAATTTTGTTTTAAAATTACAAAAATGTTTTTCTAAACGAGTTGCATTTTTGTAATGAATTTCATTACAAAATATGCACTTTACTTTTTTGGCATTAGAGATCATTAGAGAAATATTTCCAAATACTATTTTTGGGCTTAACCATTATTTCTTTAAAAATTGGAATCAACACAGAACACAGGTCACAGAATAAACTTTATGAAATGTGAAACACAAAAAATACACAAAAATAACAAATCTAATAATATATCAACATTTTCAACCTTTGAATAAGAAGACTAAGGAAGGAGCATAATGCTATCCATGTATTCATGCATGGTGGGAGGAAAAAGGACTCTAGGGTGGGGATCCTTGACAGTTCTGTTTGACGATTCATTTGACACATTTGAATTTGATTTGAAATTTTGTGGATTTGTCAGTCTTTACGGAGCTTATTTTATGTTATTTATTATTTATTCTACTACTGATAGTTGTATAAAGGTAGTAAATCTAGATGGAAATTGTGGCAGAACTTAAATTAACAGTGACACTATCGCGATTTATGGAAAAAGACTCTAAAATAGTTGGTTGTGTAGCGTGCGGTAGATCTCGGCAAAAATCGAGTGAAATAATGGAACAACTTTTCGCTAGTAAGTGGCTATATAATATACATACGTGTAGTAAACCGATCATTTATGAAATTCACTTAAATTAACTAATTATATATTTATTCTTGCATTTTTGCTTTTATTTACTACTTGTCAAAGATTATATGTCAAAGAATTTAGATACGTCAATTTGACTTACCTGCTTCAGTAGCGTATCGGATGTTTATGGTTATAAATAATTATTATAACTTATCTATTTTTATTAGAATTTTATATTTTTATAACAATTTTAATAACTACCAACATTTATTCACAACGTAAAATAAAAAAAAATTATTGAGTCTACCCCACGTCTACCCTACATCATAGTTTTACATTTTTTAAATAAAATTAAAACGGCACTGATAAACCGGAATTTAAGTCGGCCATATTTGAGGCCCATCGCGGTGGACCTAAGATTTTTGATATGCTCCTTCTTTAGTCTTCTTATTCAAAGTTTTCAACGAAAATCATAACCTCTATCTATCTACATCTACTGCGGTTTTTCATTTGTCAATGCCAAGCGCCGCGCCGGTCCTCTTCAGACGCGCAAGTAAATCGAGCAAATCAACGATCGATACTTACGTCGATACGGTCGACATACGAACACGATAAAGGAATTCGCGAGGTTTATGAAAATTTCACTTGAATTTTCACCTGTAAGTTGAAATTTCACGATACAATTCTGAAAATTTCACCTCCATGCTGAAAAATTCGAATTGAAACTTTCACTTGAAATTTCAATGAAATTTCACTTTTTTAAAATATGAAAATTTCACATTGGAAAAGTTGGCGACGTGAAAATTTCATTTGAAATTTTCAAGTGGCACAACCCTAGTAGTACCCTGTATATGTTACGCGTAGTAAACCAATCAATTATGGAATTCATTGGATATCGTTGTACTGTTGGACTACTGTATCCCCCACAGAAACATTTCAAAATTAAAATATTTATTTGCCCATTTTATTCAAATTATATCTAATTAGAAAAAAAATCAACCAAAGCAAAAAAAAACGTATCAGTACTTCAAATTAAAAAATCTTAACTTAAAATATATACCATTCAACTTATGAATTAATTTATAATTTTCATCAAGTATATACAGGGTGTCCCAGGCTGAGCGTGTATTAGAAGTTTCTAGAGAAAAAAACTATAACATCTAGCTCGGAGATTTTTTGCACATCATAGTTTCACAACGAAATCTATTGATTAAAAATATTTTCAATATGGCGGCACTCCCGGAAATAACGGAAATTGACAGCAACTTTCTTATTTTAAATGAGTGCCCCCATTTTTTATTATGTACTCAAGTTCTCTGTAAAATTTTATGAATTTTGATATTAAACACTATATATCTAACATTAACCGTTTTTGAGGAAAAAAATATTTAAAATTTTTTAAGGAAAAAATCTGCCTGTCAAAAATATGTGTCTAGCCTAAACGTCAAATTTAGTGATTACCACAGCCACTGTGCCGTAAAGAGAAAACATGTGGCTATCTATTTCAAAAATTAAATTGTTCGAATGTCATATAATAATGGCCGCAGCTGTCATAGAATTAAGTTATTAAATCGTATTTTTCTTGATTTTAACCAGTAGCCTATGACCTTAAACGTCAAGTGATGTAAAACACTAGATCTGGCCATGTCATATTGTGACGCTTTGTTCAAAAAGCAGCATCATTTTCGAGCCAACTTTGCGCTGTTGTTTTTTTCGATCATTAGATATCACTAAAGAGCGAAAATACGAGATATATTTTTATAAATACACTTTTTAAATTCTTAAGCAGGCAGTAGGTATTTGTACTATAGGAAATTCAAATAATTCGTTTTCTAACAGATGGAAATGAATTGTCTGACCGTTTGACACTTATGTCAAAGCTAGATAAAATCAAGAAAAATTACGTTTTCAAACTCAATCTTAAATAACTTAAAAACGATTTATTTTATGTATAGGAAGTATAGGAACATGTATAGGTAAAATGTAACAAATTGAAAAACCGTTTCATTAGTGGAATAAAAAAACTGGGTTTCCATTTGAAAGAAATAAATGATTTATGATAATTTTTTAATCACTCAATTCCATGACAGATGCCGCCATTATTATATGACAATCTAATCTATCTATTATATGACAATCTGATCTGAACAATTTAATTTATGAAATAGATAGCCACATGTCTTCTCTTTATGTCACATGAGCACTGGCTGTGGTAATCACTAAATTTGACTTTTAAGCTATACAAATTTTCTTGACAGGTAGTTTTTTTTCGTCCAAAAATTTTAAATAATTTTTTTCTCAAAAACGGTTAATGTTAGATATCGACTGTATAACATCAATATTCATAGAATTTTACAGAGAATTTAAGTATGTAATTATTTATTAAATATTATTATATTAAAATAAGAAAGTTGCTGTCAACTTCCGGTATTTCCAGAAGTGCCGCCATATTGAAATTTTTTTTAATCGATAGATCTCGTTGTAAAACAATGATGTGCAAAAAATCTAGGATCTAGATATTGTGGTTCTCTAGAAACTTCTAATGCACGCTCAGCCTGGGACACCCTATATATGTATGACTATGATCAATTACAAGAACTGTTTTAAAAATTATACTAAAAAATTATATAATATCTACAAAAATTTAATAATTTGCTCTATTTTAGGTAATTAACAAAACAAGCAAATAAAAAACACTTACCAATTTGGGTTCTAAATGTTTAGGAATTTGTTCTCTTAACGAATAAATACTATCCCTACGGAGATCTAACTGACTTAAGTCTTCAAACAATACCTAAAACAAAATGTTTTTGTAATACAAAGCTTTATTTAAAACCTTAAAATGTGTGGAATAAATTAGTGGTTTCAATTAGCATACAAGTTTGTTCCTCTAATTTCAATGTAAACATTCAGAATATTAGTATTTTCAATTAGTAGAAAAAGTTACCACACTTTTAAGCTTCATTCAGAACCTCGCAATTAGTGGAAAATAGTGGTTTCAATTACACTATACTTTTTAGTTTACGATCATTCACAATATTTAAAAAAACACAATTAAAATTAATAGAATATCCTAGCAACAGCTTGCGTTAGTCAGTTGTATCCATAGAGAAAGCCTAATATTTAGCTTATAAAACAATCAACTTTTGATTTCTACACTAATTGAATCCACTAATTGCGAGGTTCTGAATGAAACTTTAACTTGTGTCACTAATTATACTTCAAAATTTGCGAGTAATGTCATTTTGACCGTCAATAGAAATTGTGGTTAGAGATGAATAGTTTATTGTTTTTTAAGCTAATTATCAGGCTTTTTTTATGGTTATAACTGATTACAACAAGCTGTTGCTAGGATATTCTATTAATTTTAATGGTTTTTTAGACATTGTGAATGATTGTAAACTTTTAAGTATAAAGTATAATTGCAACCACTAATATATTCCACTAATTTTGAGGTCCTGAATGAAGCTTAAATTTTATGAATACGAGTGTAGGAATTATTTTTACGTTGTGTCTAGGTGCACGTTAACGTGTACCCTATTATAATATTTATGTACATGGAAAAACCGAAAAGCTTTCAGCACCAAGTAATGCTTAGCTACAGCCTGGTTACGAAAGCAGTCTGTGGCTCCGTGGGTGAAGCGGTCGCTTCGAGAGCGAGTGGTCCTCAGATTAATCCCCGACAAAGGTAGAACTTTTTTTATTTTTTTTGCAGCGGTAGGTAATAGCAATCAAAATAGGCCGGGTAATTTTTTTTTGTTTAGACTGCACGTGAAATTCCCGTTTCGTGTGCACCGAAGTTTTATTTTTAGTACACGTTAACGTGCACCTAGACACAGCGTTTTTTTTAATGCACTTACTGTATAAATATTATCGACAGATCGACTAACACAGCGTGCTTCGTACACTCCCCCGTCGCCCCATCGCACATTTACAATATCGCCTTGATTGGGCAAAGTGTCACTCGTCCAATCTACTAAATGATCCATCGTGATGTCTTTCGAGAAACTTTTGTCGCAAAGGAAGAACACGCAAAATTTATTATCCGACTTGATTTTCGTCACCTTCCCCCTATAGTAGCGGTAATTTTTATGCTTCGCCCAGACTTCGTCGTTTATGAGTATGGACGGCCTATGTTTTTGCTGAAAAATAAGTGAAAATGCATATAGGTACACTAAAAATGTACCCTAATTTACAAGGTGATTCTTTAAGTCAGAATAAATTCAGTAATTCAAACATTTTCTATTATACCGTGCTGGCAACTGTTACTTTTGGGTCGGTATTTACATGCGTGGAAGTAAATCGCATAGGGATCTTATTAAGTCAGAGTGAGAGAAATGCGACGGTTGGCTGTTGCGGCATTGCCACATTTCTCCGGTACGCCTTTCTCTATCAAGTAAAGTAAAATCACGATCGTAAACCGCTTATTTTAAATAAGAAAAATTCAATAGGCTTATTTTTGCTATTCAAAAATTTTAAACAACACATTCATTTTTCACTTTTTTATATATAAAGGTTTTCACATTACTGTCTACCAAGAAAATATAGCAGAAATATTAAAAAAAACTATACTCAATAATAATTTAGGGATTTAGAGATATTGATTTTTCAATTCAGAGTTCTAATAGCGCGACCACTGTCAAAAACCAACTCAATTCCTCTTATTTTTACCAAAAATGCAAGTATTTCTAACTTGCACTTAAAAATTTTCAAGCTATAGGGAAAATTACCTACTCGTTAATAATAAATAAATAAAGTATCACGAGACGTAATTAAATCGTGAAGCTGTACACATGATGTATACCTTCCCTAGAATTTTAAGTACTGACAGAGGTACTGATTGGGTCGACCGCAACAAATCTGCTATATCCCCTTCCACGTCTGTTCAAATGTCCACAGTTTCTTGGTTTATTTCATACGTCTGGCAACGTGTTTACTGTTATCTCTTTGTTCAGTACGTTATAAACGCAATGTACTCTTCTTACATACGGAAATCTCGACCCAAAACTAGCCTTTGCCAGCCCTTAGTAAGCCTGATTCACGGCGTTGGTACATTAGACGTTTATGGAGAACGGGTAAGATTTTTTTTTAATTTGGATTTTTACATAAAGGCACCTGCTGTTCAGCGTCCCAATGTTGCCGCATCATTTGAAAAGTGGTAGAGCATCTTTGATATTTTAAATAGAACACGCGGTATAATATTATATTTTATTATTAACTACTTTCATATCTAATTATTTTTTCTATTGTACTCATCCATAGCTGTCTCTAATAGTTTTCGAGATAAAAAAAATAAAACGTGTAAAATTAACAAAAACATGATCTTGAATAAGTGATGGTAAAATCATAAATTGAACATTTTTAAAGGTGAAATTTGGGTATAAGTTAACGAAAGTCGATATATTTGATCAGTCTAAATCAATCTATTGGATATTATACAGGCAGGCCAAAAACATTCATTGCTGTTATAAAATTGCTCATTTCATTATTTTAAATTGAACCCTATGTATATTATTTAAAAAAGCAAGACTTACAAAATTTCTTTTCAACAATACATTCCTATACCTAAACATTCCGTTTTTTAAGTATAGCTATTTAAAAATTAATAATTCTAATATTGATTCATTTCAAAGTCTAATCAATTTGACAAATTTTCCTCAATAAACGTCTAACTTAGGGTTGCCAACCGTCCTCTATTCCAGAGGACAGTACTCGTTTTGATTTCACTGTCCTCATTTCTCTCGCGTTTTAAAAAAGTCCTCTTTTTTACATACCAAACTCAAAATCTAAAAAATGTTTGTGTATCGCCACAATGTTTTAAATTGTTAATCTTTGTCTTTCGCTATTCCCACTCGTTTGTACAGAACAGAAGTCAAAGAAATATTTATGTAAAAGAAATATTTGTGGAAGCGATAAACGTGTTCAACTATTTTACGTTTACTTATTGTTAGCTCATGTTTTGAAAAAAGATTTGTTGAAAATGGTTTGTTTTATTTTAACAAGTTTTGAGTATAAATATTGTAAAGAAAGTAAGAAAGACCATCAATTGCATATCACTGACAAACCTTTTTGGTAAATTCTAGACATTTGGGCGGGATTTCAAAAAATGTTTCAGCAGGGTCTCTTTTTTACCCTCTCATCCTCTATTTTTTATTTTGAAAGTTGGCAACCCTAGTCTAACGTACCATGGCCGTGAATCATCCTGTAGATTTATGTTCGGACACGTCAAATAATAACATTTTTTAAATTCCAATTACGTACAGTTTTAAAGCATACATTTTTAGCGGAGTTTAATGTTGAAAAATATTCTTTTTATGAGTTGTTAATATCATCAGACGGTTCAATTTTTTTACAAAATAAAATGAATGGCATATAATTGATAAAAAAAATATACTCACTTTCTCAATGACAGTTCTACCTTTCCTCTTGGTCACCTTCCCAGCCATATCTTTTAACTCGGGCTCGCCTTCAGGCAGCGAGCTCAAATTGCACAAAGTCAAACCGGCACGAAGTCCATTTTGTATCCTCGGCGAAAACTTCTGCAAAACATCGTCGAGCTTTACGGTAACGTTGACAGGAGCAAGCTCGTTTTTTTGTCGTTCCAGAGACTCCGTCATGACAAAATTTTGATCAGGTACGCGCTGCTTATTAACACTGGCCAAATGATTCTGGTACAGCCTCAATAAATTTTTGATAATGTCGAATTTCTTCTCTTGTTCCGCCTTGGACGGCCTGCCTTTGTTCTTGAACTTGAGCAACTTCAAAAAGGCGATTCTACCGGGCGTCAGTCCTTTCTTGCTTTTCAGACAGAACCGCAACATTTTCTGCCTTAAACTATTGCCAAAATTACTGTCCTTCTCGAATTTGTTTTTGTTACTCGAAATACAGTTAATTTTTGGTTTGGTATCGGACAACCCGATAATTTCGTTAATTTTCTGTTTTTGGAAACTGTTCAAATCTCGACCTTGGGTTTCTTTAAACAGTTTCTTCTGTTCTTGCTTTTTGTTGAACAATTTCATGCCTTTCAGTGTCTCGGGCGGTTGGTTTTCTTTGGTACTATGTTGAACTTCTATTTTGTCATCATCTGACTCGGAATCTGATTCGGATTCGCTCTCAGAAGACGACGAAGATTCATCAGAAGACGATGAGGAATCGGAAGACGATGAATCATTATCTATTCCTGCCCTAGTGACTTCACCAACACTAGCTACAGTGGGAAAATCACATTTACTCAAAGCCGTAAACTCCGACTCATTCCTATAGACGCTTTCAACAATCACTTTACTGTTGGGCTCCGGGTCAGTTTCGATAATTTCTTCGTAATCCATTACCACCTCTTCGTGATCAATGACAACGTTGTTTTCAACCATTTCCTTATCACTATCTTTACTGTCCAATTTAATCGGTTGTTCGCTCATAGGGTAAAATCGGTCTTTATTCGAATAAATAAACTTTGGGCAAGAGTTAACACTGTACCAACTGTGGTTGTTCCAAATTGTGTTCGGTTTGCGCGGATTTGGAGCGGGATTTAACGTCACACCCGGTGGCAAGACTAGCTTTTGTAAAACAGGTACTTGTTGTGTGTTGATAGTGTTTAAACAGAAAACATTCACGCCAGCATTGTTGGGCAGTACGTTTGTAGGTGTGGGACTGACTAAAACGACATTCTGAGGACCGCCGACTACATTCACTGTTTGGTGGTTGGCCATTATGGTTGTAATAGGTTGCTGAATTTCAAGCTGAGGCATTTGTTCGTAGTTAATAGTGGATGTGTCCGCTTGCAATGATAACTGAGGCATAGCATATTGGTTTTCTGCTGTTACAGTATTGGGAACCTGAGGAACTTGCATTACTGAAGTATTACTAGACCCTGATGAGTATAATGTGATAGTGTTATCACTTATTTGTTCCTGCTGAGGCAAATTTATAATCTGCTGATTAGGTATTGTTTCATTTGATTGAGTAACAGTCTGAGCTTGTGTAGTTTGTAGTGTCGGAACTGTTACTGATTGATGATTTTGATTAGGATTTATTTCATTTGACTGTGAACATCCAGGCTGAGTGTTTGCATCTAGTTGACGATGAGATACAATAACAGACGATACTTTAATAGATTCTTTACCAGATGTTGCAGTCTTCACAGTAGTATTAGTCGCATTTTGCTTTGAACTAACTTTATGTGCTTGCTTTATAACGCCTTGTGATTTGCTCTTTTCCGATTTACCTTTTTCCGCTGTGACATTGCTTTGAAGAAAACTTAAGAACGCGCTTTCAAATCCTTTTTTAGCGAACGACCCGCTTGATGATGACGGTTTCGGTGGCATACTAACAGGAACAAGAGGTGGAGGCTTCGAAATTTCATTAGGATCTATAATTTGCGTTTGCTTCAGTCTAACGATGGTCTTTGGTGTCACCACGGTCTGAATAATTTCTTTCCTTACAGCCGGTTGCTTTTTGTACGTTCTCAAGGTTTCTAATCCCGGTATCGGTTTAATTGGAACGATCGGTGGAATTGGAACTTCTGGAAGGGAAACAATGTTTTCTGATTGTTGTTTCTCATACTCTTCGTCGGCTTGTCTAATAATATTGTCTACTTCCTCTTTAACTTTATCAGGCTCCTCTGTAACCATCTCATGTTGCTCTGAATTACCCTCAAGAATATTCTGTAGCTCGTATACAGAAGATTCTGCTGCCATAGATACAGAGGATTCCGCTTTTTCTAGACCTACAAACACAAATGACTTAAATGACTAATTTAAATTGACTAAACACAATGCTATAATTGATATAACCGCATATAATTCCTGACAGGTAAAACGTTATGTTAAGACTAAAATATGTGTCAAAAAAGACTTTTTATTGAATTTTACAGGGCCGCCAAAATAAAGTTTATTTATTTATTTAAGTCTTTTCAAGTTTAATACTTACTATCTTTTTTCTTGTGCTTCTTTTTCTCTCTATCTTTTCCTTCTTTTTCTTTCTCCTTATGCTTCGATTTTTTCTTCTTGAGAAGATGAACTTCTTGGGCTACCAGAGACTTAACTAGGTCTTCTGTATCTGAGGCTGAAGTCTTGTTAATGGCAACAATTTTACCACATTGCTTCTTTGGATTTTCCTCGGCCTCATATTCAGACTAAAAAATTAATAAAAAAAAAACACAATAAATACTATACATTCGAAAAAAAAATCGGCGTCAAAGACGGCTGGGGAGTGACAATCGATAGTAATTTTTGCGAGATCAAACTCTACTCTTCTTTATTTTGTAATGGCGCTTACTGCCAGTTGGCTTTAAGAAGGTTGTAATTTATTTTTATTTGAGTAAAAATTATTTTTTAAGTGGTGTACCTTCTTTAAAATTCAAGAATTTTTTTTATGAAACAGATTTGTGTCTGAAAACGTTCCATCCTTTTTTAAGTAGTTATAAAATATTAAATACTAGATTTTTAACCAGTGTGTGAGATGATTAAAAATGTTTTCAACAAAAAAGTCTTCTACCGCATATAGGGCTCTCTCCAGTAAGTACGATTTCAGAGCTTCGCGAGCAAATATAATTAGTATTAATTCTTGACAAATTTTTTATGTCAATTTTTAGTAAATAATGTTTATAGAGATTGACGCCAAAATGATCACCCCCAATACGGTCAATCACACACCCAGCTACCTTTAATGCCGTTTTTTTTTTCGATCGCACGGTATTTTAATTGATATACTCGTAATCTAAAATGCATACCCCACTGTCATCCCTTTTCTTCCCTTTTTTACTTTTGTGCTCCTTTTTCCTCTTTTTCTGGAAATACCTTTTACTTCTTTTGACGTTATACCCTGCGTCGCATATTTCAGCCTCGTCAGCTTCTAAAAACAAAAAAAAAAATCTTAAAAATATTCTTTTAAATAAAAAAAAAGTACAATTCTTACCAATCTCTCCAGCTTTTAGCCAAATATCTTCTAAAACCTCCAACTGTTGTTCGTCAGGTTGAATTTCATCGCCGAATGGCAAATTATTGTCCTCGTCCATTAATTGCAATTGAAGCTCAGCAGGAAACTCATCAAAGCTAGAAATTATAAAAAAAATAATGTAACGTGTGCACCGGATGGCACCGTCGTTATCTGGCCGAATGCACCGTCGTTATCTAAGAACGTTCAAACTGAGACTTTTTAACGCACTGTGGAATTATCAAATAACGTTAAAAACAGCTAGATATCAAAAACTACAAATATATATTCCAACCGCATTTCTAGTAAACAAAATTGACTATTCAGAAATATGTAAAGAAAATGTCATTCAAAAAAATATAGTTTAACTTTGAATTAAAATTAATGAAAATAAACTTTTACTGTCGTGGAATCCTTTCATATAAATACTCCCTGCAAATTATTCACAAAATAATATTTTGTTTGTTTTATGTGCTATTGTTTTTGGGTCCTTCCTCTGTTATTATTCCGGGTGAAACCACTTTTTTTACTGTCGCAAAGTTTTTAAAAGCAAATAGCATAAAAAAACCTATCAAATTGATGTGTAACTTTTTTCGCTGTTTACGAGATATATCGCATTCATTCCCACAATGTGTAAACAACTTTCATGAAATCAATAACGGTCGATAGGGTACTGTAAGTTACCTTCGCGGATTACGATGTTAACTCGAACTGAGAATCATAACATTCTTTGATCGTTTTGAGATGATTTTAGATGCGCCGAAGGTAACGTTTTTGAGAAACTAAAAAAAAATTCGGATTATATTTTCAGGCTAAACAAAAAATTTTATAGAACAAAAAATGAAGAGAATTCAATTCTCTGCAATTTCATTTTTCAGTAGTAAAGCTCTAAAACCTACCGGGATAAAGTTTTTACCCCGCATACGAAAAAATTGCTTGCCAAAAGACGTCAGCTGACGACTAGTTAGTGCTGAAATGCGGACCAGAGGGATGGAAACAACAATAGGCCGAGCGGCAGCTGCGTCCTCGAATGCTCGCGCAGCATCCCGCGACATTGGCAACGTTATATCTCGTAAACAGTAAAACGTAAAAAAAGTTACATATCAATTTGGTAAGTTTGTGGTTTGGTTTGGTTTGATTTGGTTGCGATCAAATCGCGATCAAATCAAAAACTTGCGATCAAATCAAAAACCTATCAAATTGATGTGTAACCCTTTAATTTTAAAAACTTTGCGACAGTAAAAAACATGGTTTCACCCGGAAAAATTCAAAAAACTGCGTTTGAGTGACTTTAGCGCCCTCTAACTTTGTCCCCGTAGGTTTTAGAGGTTTGTTACTTAGAGATGAAAATATAGAGAATTTAATTCTCTTCATTTTCTGTTCCATAAAATTTTCTGTGGGACCTACAGTTCAGCCAGAAATTTAAGTCAAACATTTTTTGGAGTTTCTCAAAAACGGACGGTGGAGTGGAGGGATACGAATTGTCGAATTTAAGCTTTTCTCCAGTGGACCACTTACGACTGGCAAAATATGAGGGCGGGGATAATTTGATGGGAGTCTAGACCTTTTTTATACCAGATTGACCGTACTAATATACCGTGTGCGTCTCAAAAGTGGCTCACCCCCTATAACTTTTTTATTTTTTCAGATAAAAAAACGAAATTTGGTACGTTAGTATATGACATAAATTAGGATTGATTGACGTATTCAATTGTTTTTGGTCACTTCCTGTTTCACCGGAAATGACTACAACTTTTGATTTTTAAATGGCACCCTCGGTATTTTTTTACTTTATTTGATGGAAAATGACATATCATCTGTCAACTTTTGACAGTCATGCTTAATAAAAAATCATATTTTAAAATTCAATCTAGAGTGCCATGGCTATGTTAAGAACACTAATTCTTAATCAAGGAGCCTTAGAAAAATAGATCTGATCTTATTCTAAAGTTTTTAGTGTCTTATTCTGGCTAGTTAGAAAATGCTCAAATCGTATTTTTAACCACATCTCAATTTTTTCAAATAAAACTAGGGTGGCTCATTAACATATTTGGAAAAAAACATTTTTTTATGAATAATTTGATACCCCACACTTGGTATTTCGAGTCAAATTTTCGTTATTATATGCGAAAATGTCAAAAGTTGACATGATATATCATTTTATTCAGAGTGTTATTTTTATCAAATAAAGTAAAAAAATACCGAAGGTGCCATTTAAAAATCAAAAGTTGTAGTCATTTACGGTGAAACAGGAAGTGACCGAAAACAATTGAATATGTCAATCAATCCTAATTTATGTCAAATACTAACATACGAAGTATTGTAACTAAAAAAATAAAAAGATATAGGGGTGAGCCACTTTTGAAACGCACTCGGTATAAACTACTAATAATACAAGATGATTTTTTTAAAAAATACTTTTTTACTATTTGGTAATTTAATTCCTACTGTTTTTTCTAGTTGACTTGTTTTTAAACTTTTCAACTAACTTGTGATAGCGCGCCATCATTCTTCCTTTCTTCTTTTTAAATGGTCCCTCCACATAACTCTGCGGCAAGGCAGTGTTGTTTTTATTACAAAGAATATCCTGTGGCAATGGTAATGGTGCTGCAACCTTTCGATCGGGCTCTTCCGGGTGCGGACCTATATCTTCACCTTTCAGCCATTTATCGTATCTAAAATATTAAAATCGTTAAGAAAATGAAAATATTTTGATCAAATTTACGTTATTGATCAAATTACGTTAATAATTAATTTAATATTACCTTTCAGGCTGGAACCTTTTCACAAACGTATCCATCGATATTTTCACCATATCCTTACTGCATGTGCAATGCGACGCCCTTTTTCCATACTCCACCCATCTTTCACAAGCAAAATTTGTTGATTCTGCACAGTTAAACCCGTGATTAAATCCTGCATGATAGCCGTAAGGAAATGTAATCATTATTTCTCCAGCTTCTTGCGTAATCTAAGAGAATCAACATAAAATTAAATGTCTAAAGTTTCGTTTACTTCAAATCAGTTGTGTAAGGCATATTTCTTTATTTAGGAAGCCTGGAAGCCTTTTCGAATAGTATGTCATAAAAAAATTTCTGCGGAAATGCATCCTTTTTGAGTTTTTCAACCTTAGAATAGCTGAAATGAGGGCTAGTTTTGTTTACTTGAAATCAGTTACCTAAGAAATATTTGTTTATTTACTATTTGGAAGCCTTCTCGAATAGTTTGCCATAAAAAATTTTCTGCAGAAATGCATCACTTTCATTTTTAGGCTTCCGTACCCAAAGGGTAAAAACGTGAACCCTATTACTAAGACTTCGCTGTCCGTCCGTCCGTCTGTCACAAAGGTCCATCTTATGAACCGTTATAGCTAGACAGTTGAAATTTTTACAGATAATGTATCTATGTTGCCGCTATAAGAACAAATACTAAAAACAGAATTAAATAAATGTTTATAAATAAAAAAGTACTTGCACTAAAACATTATCTTTTAAGAATTTTAGATAGAATCTTTCAAGTCCACGGTGGCCGCGTAGTTTAAAGCATTAGGACTTTATGCTGCCATGGCGTTGGAGCCGTAGTAAGGCAGGTTCGAACCCTAGTCAAAGCAACTTTTTTTAATCGTTTTTTTTTTAATTTGTACATATTTTTATTATTATTATTATTACAGAAATGCATAATTTTTAGTTTTTTTCAACTTTAGAATAGTTAAAACAAGTTACATGAAAACACGTTTCTGTTTTTTATTCTAGAAATTTTTCTAAACATTGACACACAAAAAAATTTATTGCGGAAGTGTGCTATTTTCGTTTATTGATAAAATATTGTAAAATATAGCAAGATTTGAAAAGTACTGGTAAATGAAATTCATAAACAGACACATTTTAGCTTTCAGCATCATTTGGTTGCTTTGGTTAGGTTTGTTTTGGTTTGATTTGTTGGTTCATTTTTGTTTATTTTCGTTTTTTCACAGTACAGTATTGATGTCTAAATTACAGTATCTACTAGGTTAAGTTCATACCTACACAATAAGTGATATCAAATAAAAAAAACTTCACCCAGTTAAATAAAGTACTCAAAGTCAATTAATATTTTTACCTTGTTATACGGTATAGAATATTGCCTTAAGATTTGTGGTGATATTAATGTCATTTTGTGTCTTAAAAATGCCTGGCAAGTTTTATAAGACGATGGGAAAAACCCGTTGGCCAATCTCTCTAATCTCCTGCCATGCTCTGGCGGAATAGCATACCTAAAATGTAATTGAAATATAATTTAATTATATTAAAATATTGCGCAATAATTACCATGTTTTTGGAGCTCCAAAATGAAGATAATTTATCGAGTATAAATCCATATCCTCTGTATGCCAGGCAAATGTAGTTTTCCACATACCGAAATATAAATATGCAGTATTAACCCCTTCTATAGAAATCCCATAATCTTCATTTACGTAATCCAGTATGGTTCCTAATCTATTAATGTTCCATTCCTAAGACACATTAAACCTTGTTATATGTTAATCAATATACGATAGAATTAACTTACATCTACATCACTGTCTGTTAAACTACCTGAAACATCAGCACCATATATCGGTGCAACGTATGTAATATTTTTCCAGTATTTCCTCTCTAAATCCTCATAGTCAAAATGTCTAGGTGTTGCATATCGCTCAGAATTAGCTAAGTCCCTATACTGCTTCACACTCATGGATTTTTTCTATAAGAAAGCATTGATCAATAGGATGAAGTAGTCAATATGATGAAATATTGTAAAAAATACCCACCTGTATATTTATTTGTTGATAAAGACCTTGTTTACCAGTAACAACCTGACAAATTGGAGCTGGAATGGTAACATTTAATTTGTCAATGTTATAGCCTCCTTTTCTAGGAACCCATTCGGAAGGTGGTATTACCTGGAATTAGGGATTAAGCAATTACACATTAAATCTTTAAACTGTAATTGCATTACTGTTTAATGTAATAAACCATACTATTAGAATAAGTATACATAACTTCTTAAAAGTGTAGATAAACACTGAATAATATCAATTCAAACATAATTTAAATAAAAATAAATAGACAAACTTTTGCTAATCCAGCCTTATGAGCTCCTTTCTCCTCCATATGCTTGACGTATGATCGAAAATCCTTAAATTCCTCCCAAGTTGGGCGAAAAACCATGATTCTTGAAAAAAATGTATTGTATTTCATGGATAAAAAGCATATTTTTATACTTACTTCGGACATCGCGGACTATCCCCCATCGTGTAAGGTGTATCGAAAACTAAAGATGTTACCAATTAAACTTTAAAAACTGTTAAGCACACTGTTATCCAAGAAATATTTTTTAAAGCATTTTGTTGATAATGCTAAAATTTTTCAAGCGGCCATTACTGACACACTAACATTCACGTAGACAAAATAAACAATAATATTCTATCCCGATCCCCGAAAATATAGTTTAATCACTCAAAATTGTATTTGTCACTATTTCACTTGGCCATTACGATATAACTTTAATAAATCGCAAGCGTCCATTATTGTATTTTTTTAGAAAAAAATACGGAAACAAGTTACAACACCTATTACACACTTCTTTGAACCGAAAACAGAAAAGCGCATGCGTCTTTGTTTTGCACGTTGATGGACTGTCAATGTATGTAAAGTTGCCTATATAACACATAGACTGTGCTGACATCTAAACTAAAGTAGACTTAGTATAAGGGTATAAAGATAGGAATGGAAATGGTAATATAATAATAGCAACTATGGAAAGATGTCTCTGTACCCTTATGGATGTTTTAATGGATGTGGTGGAAAATACCGTATGATCGAATAAAAACGGCGTCAGCGATGGCTATGAAATGAAGATCGCTGTCATTTTATATGTAAAATTATATGGAAAATGTCATCGATCGTCATTTCTAAGCCAACTGGACGCCGTTTTTTTTCGATCATACGGTATTTGAAAAATTGCACAGAAATTAGTTTTTTCAACATAAAACATTTCCATTTAAAACATTTTCCTTAATGGCATTAAATGAGAATAAAAGAACAGATAGAGACTAGTTATTAAACTATCAATTGACGCGAGCGCTTATTTGAATTTGAATTGACAAGGAATTGACAAATATTCATTTGTTTTAAACCAAAACCAAAACAACCAAATTTTAAACATTTATCAATATTTTAAAGGATGTTTTGTGGCTTTAAAACATAAAAGCCACTGTATACACTGTTTTAGTTATATCGGTGTATATCGGCAGTAAATAAACATGGTAAATAAAAAGCAGCCTTATTAAAAACAAAGAGGCATAGACAAGAGATATACTAAACAAAGAGGCCATGAAAAAGAGAACTGAAAGAGAACAAGAGAACTGAAAGGTAAGTCGAAAGTCGAAAATAATAAAAAATAATTTTCAAAAACTTCGACAAGGGAAAAATAATTTATTATAAACATTTACAAAATTTTAATACAGTTTTAAAATTAGTCTAAGTAATAACCGGTACATCAAATAGTTCCATATAAACTAGAGAAGCAGCGAATATTCGGCAACTATTTGGTAGAGTGTAATAGTGGTGTGGTTCTTGCAAATTATCACAGATAACATATGAATTTTGTGTTAAATTCAAGTCATTTTTATGTTTATCGTTTATATATATTATTAATATATTTGAAAATATATAAATGATATAAATTAACTTCTATTTCTTATTTAAGACTAACAAGATGTGAAATGAGTTGATAGTAACACAAAATTCATATTTATCACGCATGTAATCATATGGTGATACATTATAATAGTATAGTTTGCCGAATATTCAGTGCAACTCTAACACTCACTTAGTAATAGTAAAAAAATAACAAGTGATTTCTCAAACACAATATACAAACAGTAAACACAAACAAGTGGTTTCATTTATCCAAAAACATTTTATGTATAATAGATATTGAGTTGATCAATGTGACCTCATAGTATAAAAAAAGACTTTAAAAGGTAAGAACAGATTTATACGTTATATGCTAATTTAATAAAATACATATAATTACTGAACCTTCTTCAATTCTATTGTAAAAACTAATGTTGAGTTCGGAGGAATTGCTGGAGGTGACCCTTTTGGACCATAACTAAAATTTTTATAGGAATTATTTACTAATAACCTTGTTATTATATTCTTTAAGTTGCTCAACCGGCTAGACAATGTGCTGCCAGCTGGAGGACAAATCGTGAACCTTTCGGGGCGGAGTCAAAAATATTATTTTCGTTATTTTCCTCAGAGTAATGTAATAATATAGCCCGGGTTTCTGCGAACTCTAATAGTGATCAGCTGATTAAGAAATTTAAACGAAACTTTTATTTTATTGTAGATTGTGGATTATTTTTGCTTGTTATTTTAAAAATTTTAAACCGTATTAACAAAGAAATTATTATTTCGATATGTTGGTACATTTTTTATAATTTATGATAATGCTAATTACTGTTAATTAATATTTAAGAAAAGTTACATACCTACTTTAATTTGATTTAATTCAGGTTTATAAAAGAATCATTTCATTCTTAGATTATTTTATTCTAAATTGAGTGTTTTACGAATTTTAGGATATTTTTTTTTTGAAAACAATACTTTTTACATTCTTGATTAAATGTCCAAAAAATTGCAACTTGCTTCAATATTATTTGACATTAAAATAAATATATTGAACATAATACACCATCTAAATCTTTATTATACCAATTATATCAGAGTTTTAAGATCAAGTTTGCTTTAACGTGTATATGTGAAGAGTTATAGAAACTGAAAATATAATTATTTTAGCTCACACACAAAGCCAGTTAAACCATAAAACTTTCTAAAAGCAGGATACATGTCTAACTGAAATAATTCAAGTTCATTTTCATTAAAAAAAATGTATCAGGAAAATAATTTAATTAGATAATGCAAGATTTATTTTTTGTTCTGTTTCATATGATCTTCGGTATTTTCAATATAAAGGGTGAGTTTTCTTCGATGTTCTCTATGGGTATCTAGGAAACTACTGGAGATAGAGAGTCGGTTAAATGAGAAAAGAATTGCAGTTTTGTGAGGTCATAATTATGCGCATTTCAGATTTTTGAAAAAGTTCATGGCTTACTAGATATTTCGACAAAAACAAACTTTGCCTATTTTGAGAATTGTCCCTAATTCCATTATAATCAATTTTAGACAAAAAGTTTTCAGGTAAAAGTTGTAGATAATCACACCCTTAATGAGATCGCGTCCTTCCCGAGGTCCTTTTTTTTCTAAAGCCTGTCATATTTGACGTATGACACAAACTTGTTTTTTTTTAAAATGGAAACCATAGTTGGCCATGACATCATAAAAAGCGCCATTTCTTGCTTATATCGCTGAAAAGTTTAAAAATGGCTATTTTTATGAAGTCATGGTCAACTATAGTTTCCATAAAAAAAAATGTTTGTGTAATAATGTCAAAAATTTACAAAAAATCAGAAAACAAACTCATTAGGTATGTGATTATCTACAACTTTTATCTGAAAACTTTTTGTCTAAAATATATTATAATGAAATTAGGGACAAGTTTTAAAATAGCCAAAATTTGTTTTCTTTTTCGAAATGTTTAGGAAGCCATAAACTTTTTCAAAAATCCGAAAGGCGCATATTTATGACCCCACAAAACTGCAATTCTCTCCCCATTCAACCGACTGTCTATCTCTAGTAGTTTCTGAGAAATCCATAGAGAACATCGTAGAAAACTCACCCTGTATATAGTATTTTAAAACTAACTATTCTTATTATTTGACTAGTTTAATTTGATTAATAAGACTAGATTAATTTAATTTAAAATAAATTTGATCAGATTTTTGTTTCGTATATTCTACTACCAGAAAACCATTATATGATAACCCACTTTTCACCGAAATTGAAGGACGATATAGTGTATCTATCACAATACTTAATAGAACTACTACAATTAGAAGAAAAACAAAAAGAAGAAATGCCCAAATACCTTCACCTACTACTCAACTACAAAATAAACGAATATATTCTCTTAAAAACACTACACAACTACTTCTTGTATTCTACACGGACCAAATTATCAATCTTACTAATTTATCAAACGAAAAGAAAAAATAACCAAATTATTCCTTCACCTACTACTTAACTACAAAATAAACTATAAAACACTACTAAACTATTTCTGGTGTTCTACACTAGCATGCTACACTAAACACTATAATTAAAGTTAATAAATTAATCTAATATTACACTGCAACTACAAAGAAATAAGAACATTTTTTAAAGGCTGTACTTAAACTGCCGTTAAACGGTAGCTTACTAAAATGCCGTTAATAGGTATGACGTCGTTGATGTGACGCACTTGACGGCTTTATGAAATATAGAAATTTTATAAGGACTAACCAACGCTATCCACCCCACCAAATAACCAACGCAACTAACCTCGACACTGATAAAAAATATAAAAAACAAATATAAATTAGTAAAAATCAACCAACCCCACCAAATAACCAACTAACCAATGAATTAACACCCTCCAAATAACCACGCTAACCAACCCGCCAAATAACTAAACCAATCCAAATAAAAAGAGTGAAACCAATGCAATAAGATCACGCTATAAGCAAAAAAAATATAAAAAAGTCTTGGTCGGCGTGAGATTTGAACCCGGACCATTCGCTGAGGCTATCGCTTACGAAGCGATAGCCTCAGCCACTGACCCACAGGTGCTCTTGCAGAAAGTTTAAGGCTAGGCATTACTTTCCGCCGACATGAACGACGTCACAATATCTATTAACGGCATTTTAGAAGGCTACCGTTTAACGGCTGTTTAAGTACATCGTTTTTTAAAACTAGAACAAACAGAACTTCCATACGTGCGACCAGGATACCGGGATACAAGATACGTCAAGGAGACAAAGAATATAAAATACTTTAAAATGTGCATTCAGAAAGAAAAAATACCTCTAAAATTATCTAAACAAACCTTTTTATTTCTTATCAGTGAGAAACACCGGCCTCGTCGGCCTTGAAGAATTTGTCGGGTATTTACAATGGCCGAATTGTATAATTATCAGCTTTCGTAGCATATCTAATAGACAAAAAGTATCTGGTCGATTAGTAACCAATTGGCACAGTCCGAAAACTATCGATTTTTATTTTCTCTGTAGTTATTGGTCGCTTCAAAATTCAGAGTAACAAAAAATATTTTTCTGTAGTAGTAAAAGACTGTCAAATACGCCCCGCCATCTGGTGCTTTACATCCATAATCGTCTTAGGTTGAGCTACTTTAAAAATTCATACACAAGGCTAATAATAAATATATAAATAAAAAATTACAAATTGAATAAAAAGGCGTGTTGGTTGAGTTTATTTGGGTAAAATTTGCAGTACTAAAAAACCTGGTAAAATTTGAGAAGCCGCCACCAATATTTTGATTTTCCTATACAGAGTGATTCACGGCCATGATACGGGAGACGTTTATGGAGAACCCAATGATTAAAGAATCCAAGGACAAATAACACCTAAGAGCAAATTGTGCCGATGTCACCAAACAGTGGACAACAAACTGTGCCGTGGCACATATTTTTCTTAACCTAGCTGTTTGAAGCAATATTTATATTTTTTGATAATTGTTTTGACTACGCCTATGGTGTATCATACTAATTAATTACGAAAAAAACGTATTAAAATGTTAACAAAAGGCACAAAACTAGTTACGACGTATAGCACGTATCAAGTACATTTAGATGTTAGTTGAAATTGAAGAATAATTATCGAATTCAATAAGAAAACGCTAAAAAGTTGGAGTGGACTGTTTATTTACCTATGAAACGTAACTCCTGGTTCTTTCTTATCGCTGCTGCTTTTACACTTGAAAGCTGAACAACTAATCACCATTATAATAAAGTTTATACAAAGTTCACTACACACAAACTATTAAAAATCGCTAAAATTGTCGCTGGTGACCAAATGATGACTCATTGTTTGCCATCAAAAGAATGGCCTCTAAGGTCACAAATTCTGCTGCAGCCCGTATATGGGCGTTACATGTCCTTATATTCTTTAGTCATTGGGAGAACCGGTGATAGGGTTTTTTAAAAAATTGGATTTTTGTATAAAGGCACCTGCTTCATCTGTCTAAATTATTTATTCTTATTTAGGAACTCCCAGAACTAATTCACGCTGAATAACTAGTTAATATACAGGGTGTTTCAAAAAACATGTGCCATTTCTCGTGTGGTCCTCACGTAAAAATAAGATTTATTTTTCATATCAACATCGGTCCGATTCTGCTTAGTTTCGTAGCTACAGGGTGTTAAAGTCTTAATATTTCTGCGATTTATTATAATTTTCTTCCAAGTACTTTTAGCGTTTCGAATGAAATTTTGAGGGTAAAAGTTACTATAAATGCAGCATATTTTAAAGCTAAAAAAGTGTCGATATATTCACCAGCGGCGTGCATATGGGTTATCACTAGGATATTTATCTAAAAAAAAGCATGTACGCCTCTGACTTTGTTTTGTCTTGTTAGCGAAATAGTGTAAGCAATTTAATGCCGATTAAAAGTTACTACCATTGGCCTACAAAAGCCTACTTGATGCGATAAACGCAATTTTATTAATTTGCCTTGATCCAAGTCTAATAGCAACTTTAAAAAAAAATAATATCACTAAATTGCGAAAGTTTTAAATAAGTACTCATTGATTCTTCATCAAAAAATATGAAAAAAAGTTCAAATATGAAAAAAAACATGGATATGGAAATGCATAGTTTTAGAGTTACAGGATTTTAAAACTTTTTAAAATTGCTGTAGGTTGGACTAATAGTAATAATAACTAATAGAAATAATACTTAATAATAAATTAGGTAAAATATATAATTTATTAGTTCTATTTTTATTTTAATTTTATTAATTGTGATTAATAAAATTGCGTTTATTTCATCAAGGACGCTGAATTCGACAAAATGTCAAGAGACCTACACAATTTTAATATTAAAAAAAAAAAGTAGGTAGCGCACATGTTTTTTTTTGAAAAATATTCCAGTGATAACCCATACGCACGTCCCTGATGAATTTATCGAAACTTTTTTAGCATTAAAATATGTAGCACTTATATTAACTTTTACCCTCAAAATTTCATTCGAATTACTAAAAGTACTTGAAAGAAAATTATAATAAATCGAAAGATTATTAAGACTAACACCCTGTAGCTAGAAACAAAGCAGAATCGGGCCTATGTTGATATGAAAAATAAATCTTATTTTTATGTGAGGAATCTCCCCACGAGAGATGGCACATGTTGTTTGAAACACCCTGTATAAACAAAGATACCGGGTAATTTATTTAAAATAAGAAAGAATGCTACCACTTTTCAAATGACGTGGGAACATTGTAACACTGAAAATATTTTAGTTAGGTGGAAATTCTATCAGCGGTTTTCCATAAACGTCTAACGAACCATCGTCGTGAATCACCCTATATATCCTGTTCAAGAATCCATGACAGCGCCAGATGTGTCACTTTAATTCTCCGTTAAATAATTGTATTTTAAGTCATTTTTTGGATGTCGCTGGACTGGTTGGACAAACTTTACCAAGTGTAATATTTCATTCTGACTTACGCAACTTGTGGGGGGCATATAACTTTACGTTTTCCACCAACTTTCATGCCTGCCACACCAATATCCCAACCTTTGATGACTTCGTTACCTCCTAACCGAAATTTGAAACCGGGACCTTTCAGCATAGAGTCAAATTGTTTGTTATTTTTTTCCAACCTGCCTTCATAGTATACCTAAAAATAATAGCATATTATAATAATACTATAATCTGAGATTTTGTAAATAAAATGCAAATCTTACACTTATTAAACGGCCTGATTTAGCAACTGGGCCAGTGCCTTCGACCAGTTCCTCTATTATAACACCTTTTTCTAAAGTTTTCTTCTGTTTCGTTTTCGGTTGTCCCTTCTTGTTTAGTTCCTGATCTTCAGCTCTCTGCAAAATATTTAATTCTGTACAATTTAATAGCAGACGGAAATTCACGCACCACCTGGGGCCCTATTCTGTATCTTTTTCGGTTTCGGATCCGAAAATTCGATTCGGTTCGCTACCGAACGATAAAGTTGTCGAATGCATAGATAAATGCAACAAGTTTTGATTGGAAAGCCCGTAAAAATTTTGGGTCGCGAAATTATTTTGGGTCGCGACCGTTATACGCGATCTGGCGCTGCTATAGCGGTTGCTAAGAACAACGGCAAACAAAAACAGAAATAATTTTCTCTTGTCAAAGTCAGAATCTTCAAAAATCATAATAATCTTTCAAAATCTAAACCGCTCTCATTAAATTAATTCCGAAAAGTGTTTATAGCGTCCATTTTCAAAGTAATTATTGCTATCTTGTGAGTTCAAGTTTTATTTACTCCAACCGGTGATGATTGTGAAAAAGTGGCATTAAAAACTTAAAAAGCTGTGCTGTGAACTGCAAAAACCATCGTGGATCGTGGCATAACGTCGGTTTCCAATGTTTCATAGGTATTTCATACATGCGTCCTTATATAAAATAAAGTTTCTTGTATGCAACACACTGTATTTTATTTATAAAATTAAACGAAAATAATAATAAATTTGAATAAACAATATTTGGCGATATAATTCCGGAAAAAGCCGAACCGCTCAGAAATTTTCAAAAGTTTTGGGTCGCGACCGTTGCAAGAATAGCGCCAAATAGTGTTTACATTGTCCTTATGGGCACTTTCCAATCTAAACTTGTTTCATTTATCTATGGTCGAATGTTACGTTCAGGAGCGCGCAGTGCGATTCTGTATCGCTTTTCGCCTTTGAATAAGAAGACTAAGGAAGGAGCATATCAAAAATCTTAGGTCCACCGCGATGGGCCTCAAATATGGCCGACTTAAATTCCGGTTTATCAGTGCCGTTCTAATTTTATTTAAAAAATGTAAAACTATGATGTAGGGTAGACGTGGGGTAGACTCAATATTTTTTTTTTTATTTTACGTTGCGAATAAATGTTGGTAGTTATTAAAATTATTATAGAAATATAAAATTCTAATAAAAATAGATAAGTTATAATAATTATTATAACACAAACATCCGACACGCTACTGAAGCAGGTCAAAAAAAAAAGAAGGAAGTCAAACTGACGTATCTAAATTCTTTGACATCTAATCTTTGACAATTAGTAAATAAAAGCAAAAATGCAAGAAAAAATATATAATTAGTTAATTTAAGTGAACTTCATAAATGATCGGTTTACTACACGTATGTATATTATATAGTCACTTACTAGCGAAAAGTTGTTCCATTATTTCACTCGATTTTTGCGGAGATCTACCGCACGCTACACAACCAACTATTTTAGAGTCTTTTTCGATAAATCGCGATAGTGTCACTGTTAATTTAAGTTCTGCCACAATTTCCATCTAGATTTACTACCTTTATACAACTATCAGTAGTAAAATAAATAATAAATAACATAAAATAAGCTCCGTAAAGATTGACAAAACCACAAAATTTCAAATCAAATTCAAATGTGTCAAATGAATCGTCAAACAGAACTGTCAAGGCAAGGATCCCCACCTTAGAGTCCTTTTTCCGCCCACCATGCATGAATACATGGATAGCATTATGCTCCTAAAAGTGCTCCTACCTAAGCTTTTCGCTAACCGTTCGGTTCGGTTTCGAAGCAACCGAAAAACAATCACGATTAGAGCATGACAGTAGGATGGTATAGTGACAGTGATGCTTTTTGAAATTTTGTATATGTTCAAGTTCGCCTTTTTATAACGCTTCTGCTCAACTTCTTTTAAAGGTTTGAGAATAAGTGACTGATGGCAGTTTTACAGGTAAATAAGATCTTTTTTTTTTCCAGAAGGAGTAAAAAATATTAAATTTTCTTTTAGGGACCGAAAGGCTCCGTATGACTATAAAGCAGAGAGAAGTATCGCTTCACTTTATGTAAGTACATGGAAATTTTGTGGGAAAAAAGAAGAATGCTTGCTGTTGAATCTTCTTTGGCAAAGTAGGAAACGCAATCAGTTGCTGTTAAGAATGCAGCAACTGCCATTACGGATACTCTTGTATATAAGAGATGAATCTGATAAATAAATATACTTTTAAAATATACATAGTGTACAGAAGCGTAAAATATACTTTTTTTATGAAGATAAGGATTTTATCGTATCATTCTCTGCGCATGTGATTAATAGTTATTTTTTTCTTTTCAGGCTACAAGATGTCGTGAAGATGTGGGCTTAGGAGTGAAGTTTTTTTTATTCAATTTTGTTTAATAAAAGGTTTAATATAATGTTTATAATAATGTTTAAAACAACTTTTTTAGTATTATTTTATATTAAAACTTTGTTAAAACTTAATTGTATTTATTTTAAATTAAAAAAGCCCCTAATAAATAATCAGAATATAAATGTAATAAAATTCAACATGTTAATAAAACGAAAGTACAGTACATCTGCTGGATCTGTGTCTATGAAAGGAATGCGGACAAAAAACATTTAAATAAATAGCAATATAGTTTATACGTCGATTTGACGAATGCGTCACCGCAAATCGCTCCGCCCACTCATTTTATTGGTTACTTGCAAATTTGTTGATTTTTTATTGATGGGACGCGTCGTCTAATTTTTTACGAAAAACATCGAGAGAATATCGTTTCCCCTCTCACGGATACCCCGTAGCTACAGAACGGACAGACGTACTGTATATGTTTGGTGCTTTTAGCCTGTTCACCAACCTCTACACTCTGATTAGATCTATATCCCTGACAAATATCACAAATTTTCACTTTATTGAACACTTTACATCGATCATTCCCACTATATAAATTATACATGTAAATTATACTTTCAAGTGTATCGTAAATTAAACCTTCGCAATAACACGCAAATTCCATGCAAATTCTAGCCTTTTTTCAAAACTATCAAACTCCTGACATGCTCCTGACAATGCTCTTGACAATGTCCTGGCCTATGGTCCTGACAGAAAAACGTATTTGTTGAATATAATAGAATTTAATACCATAGAAATCAACTATAAATAATATGGCTGATCCAGGGGGAAACATGATCATTTTAGGGTTTTACAAAATATTATAGCAGGTCCCTACAAAACGTATAAACTCTGCAGGGCAATAAGCTGTTAAATCCTATGATATCTGCCTAGTAAAAATATACATACAAGGAAAGAGCCTGATAACAACCAATCATTGAGGGAAATAACTTGAGAAGTCCATTTAATTGCGTTATTTTTTTTTCAAGTTGAGTCTGGTGTCCTGTCTGAAACACGGCCAGTATTTTAATTAATGCGTTACCGCGTGGTTATTATGGAGTGTAGAGATGAGGAGAAATATATCTTATGGGACTTTATTTCGAAAAGTGGTCGCAAAAATGGGAAGAATAAGGGCACAGATTATATTGATTCAGATTTTCCAGTAAGACAGAGAAACTAAATTAAACAAGGATGCATTCGATCCCTTTAAATCACCGATTTAAAAGGACTGAATTCAAAACGCATGCGAATGATCAATGGCTCCAACCTCCAACATAACAGCTGCGCGATCGTGCGACCGGATAAATAAAAATATACGACGAATATCCTTGTTTTTCGGAGTTGAAAAAAAAAACAAGAAATGCGAAAAGAAATATTAGAAAATGTTTTTTACATTTTTTGGCGGCTTTGCTTTTGTTGGGCATTTGTCGGTATTAGTCATTATTTTTTTCTTATCTATAGCTGGCCTATGTAAATATTACGCTCAATAGTCGAATTCGGGCAATGCCCGAGAAAAATACGCAAATCTAGTTTTGAGCAAGGAATATTTCCCAAACCCCAAAAAATTAATTTTATTCGATTATTGGGAAATATTCCTTGATCAAAACTAGATTTGCGTTTTTTTTATTGAGCGTAACATAAGTACTGAATTTTTGTGTTTGTATAGAAGGCGACAAAGCTAAACTGGTAGATATAATGTAAACATGTTTTCTATATATTTTAATAAGAATATTCTTTTAACAGTCCGGTCAGTAACACTAGAAACTTTTTAGAAAAAAGACGTGTTCCGGCTTTACGACAAAAAAAACTTTATTCACGTGTGAAAATATAATTTTTGTGTGTTTTTGTTATCTTTCTGGACAGCAACTTTTTGAGTTTATTTTTTATCATATATTTATACCGTATGATCGAATAAAAACGGCGTCAGCGATGAATCGAATTTTAAATGTTGTAAAAACAAAGATTTTCAAAACTACTGCTGCGTGGTATGCACAGGTATTCTTCATAGTAGCTGTATGGATAGACAAAATGAAATTGTCAAACTTGGTGGATACAGTGTCTTTTCTTCCATGAAATGCCAGGGTGAGCAGGAAAAAGAAAAACAAAATTTTCAAGGCATCGCAGATGAAAATGAAAAACTTAAGGAAAAGCTAGTTGAAATGCAAAGATATATTGATAGATTGAAAAGAAGAACTCAAGACTTTACTGATGACGCGTCAGAAGTCGAACTGAGGTATACAGAAGAAATAGAGATGAAAAACAGGGAAATAGTGAGACTGAGCGAAGAGAATGCTGCATTCTTGGGAAAGATTAAACTCCAACGTCAATGTGAAGAACTGAAGGCAAGTGATAAGCGTTTACAATTTTGAACTCCGATTTATCAAATGGAAATAAAAATAGCCACTTTTGAGACGCACCCGGTATATTTCTTTCTTATTTATACATATTGTTGCGGACCTGTATGGACTCAGCCTAACCGGACTAATATACCTCGCCCTCATTTGAGAACCAGTGGAAAACGCCAGAAAGACAGAGAACGGCGGCTAAGAAAATCTGGGAGCCTGAGGAAGACAGAAACAAACGGTCGACGCGTACAATTGCCGCGCTAAATTCAAAATAAATTCCTTTTAGATAACTAGTTATAAATAAGTTTGTAAATAGTTCTTTAAGTCTTTTATCGTTATTGTTTTGTTACTTAGTGTAAAATAAATTGTGTTTAAATAAATTAGACTTTTTATCCACACGGTACCGACGAAAAACGTAACAATATCTCTGAAATTATCAAAACAAATTAATTATCTGAGGCCTTTGTAAAGCGTTTAGGAAAGAAACTAAAAATGCAATAATATACAGTGCGTCCCAAAAAATATCATTCCCGTTCACTCACTTTTTTGAGCCACCCTGTAGAAGTTAAAATATATTTCATGAAATAGATTTTAGTACATACTTTTTGTATGCACTTAAACAAAATTCCTACACTTCTTTTTATAGGACTTACAGAAGCCTGACGCACTATTGCGGGACCCTGTATGGTGGATTAATAAAAAAAATAATTAACCAACATACCAGGTTCGACTTCTTTCTCACATTTTCATTTTGTTTCTCATTTTCTTCTTCCTCTTCGCCAGCATCAGATTCATCTTGTTCGTCTTCATTTTCATCATTTGATTCATCATCTTCATCTTCTTCTCCCTCTGCTTCATCGTCATCATCCTCTTCGTTCTATAATTATAAAAAAAATTGACTATTATTTTCTTCCTTAATTATATCCAAAATGTTGAAAATGACGAAAAAAAAATACTGTCAAAGTTTGAGCTGAAACTTTGACAGTAGAATTTTTTTTTCATAATTTCCAAGAACATTATTGGTATAATTAAAAGGAAAAAAATAGTTGATTTTTTTTTCGAAACAGTCTATTTGACTATATTTACCTCAGGTTCCTCTTCTTCAAAATCTGGATCGTCAGATTCATCTTCTTCTTCTTCTGCAGATCCATTCGTAAGCTTGGCTTTTTTCGAAGGTGCTAAAGAAGTATAAATTTTATTAATCGAGAAAATAAAGCCAACAATAAAAAATATTACGCTCGCTCTCGTGTCTCTTTCCCGATTTTTTCTTTTCAGCCTGTGAAGACCCGAGTTTATTTGATACCCAACCGCGTCCAAGAGTCGCTCGCTCTTCCTCTTCTAGATAAGCAAGTGTTGGTGCCTCTTCGTCTATTAAGTGCCCAGTGAGATGGATGTGGGCATTACCATTACCAGCGAAGCATACTTCTGAGCCCATCTTTGGAAAAAATTTACTCGTAATGTGTTTTTTAATTAATTAAATATTAAATATGTTCCAACGTACAGTAAATTCCAAGTCTAAAGGACATTGCAAAAGATCCGGTTTCCTCAAAGTACACAATAAATAAGTTCTGCCTTCATAGTGGCACATAACTTGAGCTGGTTCATCGTCCGATGTGGAGAAATCCAACGCCGCCATTGTAACTCGAAAAGATTTCCCTGTTCTTTGAGTGTAACGCCTTGAAGGCTCCATAATAAGACCTAGGACATATGTACATGTGTGGAAATTAGCAAAAATTCTTTAGTCTTGTAAAATATAACTCCACAGAAAATAAAATTCACATGCTTTTTCGATTTACCAGAAACAGAGAACACGTGTAACGATAACGAATATCTTACCCCAAAACATTTTGTGTCGGTTGCTTGTATACTTATATATTAAAATACAATAAATTAAAAAGTAAAAGACAATTTAAAAACTCTTATTAGCACACACTATATTCAAACTTAAAACTTCCTAATTGCCGGCATTAAACTGTTTGGAGGGAAAACGTTTTGCAGGAAGGAATTTAAAACGTCAAAGAGAAAGAGGTTAAAAAATGGATTTTAAATCCTGAAAAAAATTCCTGCCATGAATAAATCACATGGCAACGTTGCAAAAATGCTTAAAAAAACAAGTAAAGAGATAAAAAACTACAATTTAGAATTTATAAGTTTATAGCTCTGGATGCGTTATTTATTTAGAGTTTAATAAGTTTATTGATTTTGCTCTCTCTAACCACCTCTAACGTTGTCTCTTTGGTTAAGTATTGATATGGATCACAATATGGATGATAATATGGATATGGTATTGATTTTAGATTTAAGATTTTAGAAGTTAGAAGGCAGTTAGGCAACATTGTACTGTTGCTAAGGTAATGACAACTGTCAACAAAAGTTAACCTTTTAATAGTTTATTTTATTTACATTTAAAAATATCTAATCTAGAAATAAATTTTATATTTTATTAGTATTTATGAATTAAAAACCCCAACTTAAAAACTTATTTTTTATTGGTGTTTGAACAATGTCCTTTTCCATTTGGTGGATATTTACTTACTATTTCAGACCATTAATAAAGTGGTTTCTTAGGAAGACTACAGGTTTATGCGAATTACAACGAATCTGCTATGGAACAGTGAGCGGTGCTCCTAGAATAAACGGTGTTGAACATTCGTTAAATTCGTCTCGTTCTAAACAAATTAAGCAACTGGTAGATCACTTGAACGATATAGCGGAAAACAGGAGATTTACTGGAGCAAACGAAAGAGAAATCTTAAAAGGTACCTATCTGTTGTTTGGTAAATTCATTGGAGCTGTATAATTATTATATGTTTACTTAGGAGCGGTTAGTACGGTGCTTATAGTGAAAAAAATTAATCCGAAAATTCACTACCAGTTCGTCAGCGCCTTTGGAAAATGTGTCGAACAGATATGGGGTTACAAACAGTTAATATCCGAAGTTGAAGAATTAAGACAAACTTTATTTGATAGCGACGATTTTAGCCATGAAAGGAGGCTTTATGATCTATGGGATTCGTTAATGCCCGATGAAAAACTAGAAAGTTAGATTTTGACATGGTATTTTAAAGTTAATTGTATACAAAATATTTTTTTAGGTAGAGTTACGAGGCAATGGCAGATTATTGGATTTCAAGGTGACGATCCGAAAACAGATTTCAGAGGGATGGGGTTATTAGGTCTGGAAAACTTGTTATATTTTTCTACCGAATATAAATCTTCTGCCCACCATGTACTATCTCACTCCTTCCATCCTACGTATGGGTATTGTTTTGCTATTGTCGGAATCAATCTCACCTCTATGGCGTGGTCACTGTTGCGCGATGGTAGTGCTAAAACTTATTTTTATAACACCTCAAAAAGTTTACCCACCATAAGACTGTTTCATTCGTTTTATAGTTACTTATTCTACGAGTTTGATAGGTTCTGGGTAGAATCTAAACCAAGAGACATAATGGAATTTTCGAATGTTAAAAATAAGTTTGAACAGAAAATTAGAACTTTATTGCAAAATCCTAGGACTGAATTTAGGATATCTTTATCAGTGCAAAATGTATAGATTTTAAATTTATTATTGATACATTAATTTATTTTTTTATGTGCAGTAAACTAGTTTTGTGCATAGTCTAAATTATTACAATTATTTAATTAATTATAGTTTATATAAATATATTCAGTTAATGAATGATTTGTAATACTGTGCTTGTAGAAGTATTATGAAATGCTTTTAAAAATATTTTTTTTGAATTAATTATTTAGATTGGTAATATTTTACATAGTAATTAGCTTTATAATGTTTTTTTATTTTATTAGTGTAAAAAAAATAATATATACTTGGACTCTTAAAAAATATAATACAGGGTCCGGCAATAGTGCGTCGGGCATCTGTAGCTCCTAGAATAAAAAACTTGAGAATTTTGTTCAAGTGCAAACCTAAAGTATGTACCAGGATGTATTTCAGGAAAATATTTTAACTTCTATAGGGTGGCTCAAAAAAGTGTGAGTGGGCCTGGATGATTTTTTTTAAATGGAACACCCTGTATATTATTGAATTTTTGGCTTTCTTTCCCATCACTTTACATAAGCCTAAGATATGAATAAATACATTTCGATAGTTTCAGAGATATTAAAAAATAAATCAAAAATATATATTTTTCAGCTCTTCTTAAACAAATTATTAAAAATACAAGAACTGTTCTGAAATCAAAACTATATTAGGTACTTACTTTAGATGGTCTGTACTTACTTTGCTATAAATATGAATATCGTAAATTATACAGGATGTTCAAAATTCTACGCCAAACTTTCTGAAATATAAAATAATTTTTCTTCGTTTTTTTAAATGGAACACCCTATATATTATTTTTTCATTAGAGGGAGAATTAAAAAATGAACATTTTTTGTATTTACAGTATTTCAAAATTTTTAACGGTTTTGCAGATATTTGCGGTTTTATATTTCATATGGCATTTTCCACAGTAAATTTTTATCAAAGCCACCCAATGATTTTTCTCTCGTATTTTACCATTGAAAGCGCCATATGAAATAATACTGCATATATCTGCGAAACCGTTAAGAATTTTGAAATACTCTAAATACAAAAAATGTTCATTTTTACACTCTCCATCTAATAAAAAAATAATATACAGGGTGTTCCATTTAAAAAAACAAAGGAAACATATTTTATATTTTAGAAAGTTTGACGTAGAATATTGAACATCCTGTAGGATTTACGATTACCATATTTATAGCAAAGTAAGAATAGACCATCTAAAGTAAATACCTAATATAGTTTTGATTTCAGAACAGTTCTTGTTTATTTTTTTATGTTTTAAACTAGCTGAAAAATCTATATTATTACAATTATTTTTAAAATCTCTAGTTTATATAAATATATTTATTTATATGAATGATTTGTAATGATCTGAAAAAGCTAATCCAAAAATGCAATAATATACAGGGTGTTCCGTTTAAAAAAACTCATCCGGGTCCACTGACACTTTTTTGAGCCACCCTATAGAAGTTAAAATATTTTCCTGAAATACATCCTGGTATATACTTTAGGTTTGCACTAAAACAAAATTCTCAAATATTTTATTCTATGAGCTACAGATGCCCGACGCACTATTGCCGGACCCTGTATAGGAACTGTTTACAGAACCACAGAATCTAAGAAACATACTCACTACATGCACATATACGTAGGTTGCCTTTTAAGTTTTTACAAAAAGTGAAACAGAAATGAACAAGTTCGAAACGAAGTGTTTTATTGCTTTCCAAAATTTGGCCCTTAAGGTCTATACATTTTTTGCATATGCTCAAATCAATTCTGGAAACATTATTTCCACTCTGACGCTGATATCGTAGAAACATGGTTTTGAAAGTCTTTAACAGCTTCTTGGAGTGGTGAAAATCGCTGTCCGCGCATCTTTTGTTTGACAGTGGAGAACAAGAAAAAGTCATGGGATAAGTCGGGTGAATACGGGCAATGGGAGACATTAATTCCATATATTTGATTAATTCGATGTTTTTCTCCTTCAAATATTCAGTTTTTTTACGTGTTTCACAACCGGGAAATCCCGGTACCGAAAATACCGGGCATTCACCGTTCTTTTGAGACATCAAAGAACCGGGACTCGAAATTATTAATTCCCGGTTCTTTTGGTATTTTCGGAACTGGGTAATAATAATTATTAAAAACATATTTTTTGTGACGTGTGAAAGACTTTTGATACTTTCTAGCGATCGAAATGAAACTTCTAAATAAGTAGTGGATGATTAGCCTCTTACTGTTCTTACTTATGAAGTTATTTTGAAGTTTCTGTTATGTTTATTAGCAATTATTGAAGTTTAAATATGTTATTCTATTATTTAGTATAATATTGCGGCATGTATTTTTTTTTTGTGTTATGTTTTATGTTTTATAGGTATTTGCATGTTTAATTGAAAATGTTAGTTTTTTTTTCAAATTTAGTGAAGTTGGTTTCGAGTTTGGTTGATGTTGTTAGATGTAATTTTTAATCTACCTATGTAATGGAGTGCCTAGAGACTTTTACCTCGGAATTCAATTACTCTGAATGTATTAATGTCAAACCTTCTGTATTGTGTTTTATAGATAAAATACCAAAATGTTTACCCATTTTTTTTCGTTGCTTTTAATTTTTTAGTAATTTTAGTAAATTCTCAATTATTTAGATTTTTTTTAATTCTTTTTCTAAGTAAATTTATTGAAATAAATAAATCTAATGCATAAGCTTACCTCTTCTTATATTCTAATCATTGAAATTTTGATTGAAATCGAATTATACAGGGTGGCGCGTCATATACGACGCGGTTTTTGTAAGGAGAACAAAAGTTTGTATTGAAGTGAAATTTTGTGAGCTTATGTAAGTCAATTTAAAGCATTTTCTAAAATTATGTAGAGTTCTACAGGGTGTCTCCAAAAAAAGTTACACATCAAAGTTATGTCTTTTGTAATGGAACATCCTATATATTAATTGATTTTTGGATTCTAGTAAAAAAAATAAAGGTTTGTTTCATTAGAAAAGTATATGACTAAAATGTATAGTTTTTGAAACACAATCACAACCTTAAAACTTTGATGCATTTTAAAGGTTAATATATTTTATTTTAATGGGCCGATTTTGATGATTTATTAAGCAGTGTGTTGCCAAATTATTTGACTTTTTAGTATCTTTTTCTAAATTAAAAATGACACTCCCCATCTATTAATTATACGAGGGAAAACAAAATGTTGATATTTTGGTGAAAGTTTGAAACACACTGTATCCTGTGAAATATGTTAAAACAGCAAGAAATTTAAAAATTATTTTATCATCTAGACACATCCTTTCTCAATGGTTTGTTTTTTTGTTCATCTCATTAGCTTCATTTTTGTTGGAAATATTCGGTTTTAAAGGAGGCACTAACATTTTCTCGTAATTTTTACATCAAGACCAAGCTTTTGGATCTAATCAACACATCTAGTAAGTTCTGGTCCCGAAGCAGGCCTTTTTGACATAAGATTTGCTTATGCATTTATTGCATGCATTATTAATGTCAAAAATACTCAGAAATCCGACAAAATAAAACCACTTTCAAACTATTTTACGCAAAAAATATGTATTAAAAATTAAATAATTGAATTCTAACGCCACCGTACACCGCGATCGACCCACACAGGCGAAAAAGCTATTATTTTTCAACTCCGCTTATATCGGCCGCCGCGCCGCGCCGCCCGTTATGCTCGTAACACGTTAAAAAACAATGTATCTAAAACAACTGCTTATTTTCTATACCTTATTCTCCAACCTGTTGCGGGCCCGACATCGACAATCGACCGATGCAGCAGCGTTACTTTCCTACTCCGATTATCTCGACCACTAGGCGTTATGCCCGCAACAGTTGCAAATATTTTAAAAAAGCTGCTTATTTTATATACTGTTATTTTTAAACTGTTGCAAGCCCATCGACCGATGCCGCAACGTTCGCCGTGGCGCATTCCCCACTCCGTTGTATCTCGACTGCCGGCGCGTCGCCCGTTATGGTTGTCGAAATAATAGATTTTTCATATTAGTTGTTTTTTGGAATTGCTTCAAACCGCTTAGGATTTCGTGGCGACGCAGAGCGCCGACTTCGTTTCACGAGCGGCCGATCTCTACGGGTCGTTATTTTATATCTGTTATTTTTTAGAAGTAGCAACGGTTGCGTTATGTTATTTCCAAATAACTGTTGTAAAATAACAGATAGCTAAATAACAACCCATCTCTAAAGGCGGGTTCTCACTTGTCAGTTTCGCTGACGCAGTCTGACTGATTCAGTGATACTGAACAAACAATGAACGTCAGAACACATTTTCATGTTAAATGATCAGTACATTCGTACTTTCAGTTAAAGTGAAAACCAGTTCTACTTTTTTTCATTTTGACTGATCATTATCGAATAATGAATAGAAACTGAAGCGTGAGAATTACATTTTCGTGATTTGTGCAGTTTACAAGTTAAGTTAATTAATTATTTTAATATAGTTTCACTATAGCACCCCGTTTATTTCTTCGCAATATCCAGGACCTGACCACCTACGACGTTTTTTTTTTCTTTTCTGATTCACCAGAATATTCTGTAATTCATTTGCTAATTGTAAACAAACTTCGCGAACACCTGGTTTCAATTTTGTTTTAACCATTTTCATGTCTAACAAAATCACCACATTAGAATGTTTGGACCAACTGAATACTGAATGTAGCAAAACATGAAACGATGTGAATACAATCGTTGTTTTTATTTTTCATTGATAATGAATCACGTCAGCGAAACTGACAAGTGAGAACCCGCCTTATTTTTTAGAAGTAGCAACGGTTGCGTTATGTTATTTCCAAATAACTGTTGTAAAATAACAGATAGCTAAATAACAACCCATCTCTAATCGACGCATTGACGAACCGCATCAACGCATAGTGGGTATGGGGCTTAAAACACATGTAAAATCTAACGCAGCGAACTTAAGCGTTACTTAACGAGGATCGACTCAAGTCAATCTCAACCTCTAAGCTCCGATTTCTTAGCTCTAATTTGCTTCCTTATAAAGTGATACATACTTTTCATTGATATAATAAATACGGGTTTTAGCCACGTACATTCACAAAAACGAACCATCAGACCTTTAAGGTGCGATTTCCTATCGACGGCTGGCGTCCGCACTCTTTTGTTTCCTTATAGAGAGATGCATTACTTTTCATTGTTATACAGGTTTAGCCACGTACGTTCGAAAAACGAACCAGTGTGCGGCGAGATGTGGGCGCCAGACGTCGCGTCGCTAGGAAATCGCACCTTAAGGTCCATTCAGGCTGAGAGCGTCGCGTCCGCCCCATTGAACTCGAACCCCGACGCTCAGCGGACGCTAGCGCAACGCTGTCTGCCTGAAGGGTCTAATTTAAGTGAATTGATTCCATTTCGACACGCGGACGTGACGCAAACGCGACGCGACGTTCGACGCTCTCAGCCTGAATGTACCTTTAGGTTCTCTTTTTGGCCCAGCGAAAAAAATTATAAATTTGAGATACCATAAAAAATTACAGAAAAACAATTATTTTTGAGGACGTCTTCTGTCAAATTTGTCCCTTCTCTTGGAACAAACTTTATAGAAAACTGCGTTATCATTTTACTTTAGAAAGTATGATATATCGCTATTTCAAATGCAACTTGCCACCGTTTTTTTTGATCTTACTATGTATTTCTAAGAATTTTTATCCTGAAATTGTGAGAGGCGAAATAAAACAATAATAATAGTTCATAATGGTTTATTATTAATTGATTTAGCTTATCTTATTTGCTAGATTTATTTACATGAAAAAAAATGAAGTTACGTCCTAACTTCACTCGCTATCACATGATAAAATAATATATACAGTGCCCTTTTAAAGGGCGGATCACAACGAAGATTAGAAAATATAGGAAAATTTTAGTGCCACCAAAAAATATACCTTTGAAAACTAATCTTTTCTTAATTATAGGTATTTATTAACTCTCAGCCACATACGAATCTAATATTATTCCTTTCTTGGAAAGTGTATTAGATTTTTTAAATAGTGTTTAGTGTTGAGAAAATTATTTTAAAATGTACAGTCTAGTGCGTCCATAGATAAAGTTTCTAACAAAAAGAAAAGAATTTACAGTTTACTATAAGAAAACTATATCAGATTCATAAGGTATTAAAAAACTAAATTATATTAATTATTATTAAAAATATTTTAGATTATCAGAACTTCATTTTATAGAATATTTAAATAAAATTATAAATTTTACCTACTTATACCTAAAATTATAGTATAGCTTATACAATTTTGCCTCTTTAATTTTTTAACACCTTGTATATTTATATTTCCTAGTAATATAACAGAAAGTAATTCAGACACCATTAGACATATTATCGCTGTTTACGCCGCAGTTTTGCAGAAGAGGCAAAATGACACTATATTTGAAAATTAAAAATGGCTTGGAAATGAAGATTGATGATATTCCCTATATAATTTTACATATAAAATGACACCGATCTTCATTTCATAGCCATCGCCGACGCCTTTTTTTTCGATCATATTGTACTTTTACAGTTTTATGACCATTTTTAATTTTCAAATATATTTTTCCCCTCCTGTGAAATTGCGTTGTTGTTCTTCCGGAGCGACGATATATGGTGTAATCGAAAAAAAAACGACGTCGAGTTACCTTAGGAACGACGCTTAGATATTTAATGTGTAAAACTGAAAAATTTCTACAGTAACTTGACGCCGTATTTTTATCAATCATACACTATATTTATAGTACAGGGTGTGCCATAAAATTGACCGCCTCTGTCTTTAACACTAACTGGATCGGTCATCTGTCTTTTTATTGTGTATACATGTCATTTTTAAAAAAAATGTCAAATATATTTTAGCATTGCTAATTGATTGTAGCTGTGTCTAGCAGTATTATTTTAAAACACAAATTAACATTATAAATTTTAGTTGTAGAAAAATACCCATGTCTTACCCACAGAATCAAAGTTGACAATAAAAAAATTATAGGATCTAATAAAAAGAATATCCTTTAATTTTATTACGACGTTTTGGCACACCTTGTATAAGAGATTTTTCTTATTAGAGAAATTATAAAGGTTTATTCATTTAGTTTAACTTTATCTAGGGACATACAGTGGGGGTTTATACTCTCAGATAATTTGCGCAATTTGGCTTGTGCAAGCCAAATTGTACCAGTAAATCGTAAAATGTAAACAGAAATCATTAGTTTGTGCAGTTCAAAAATTTGGCTTGAATAAAATCTGTCTCATCTTGATTTTTAACTCAGTGTTATACTCTGTTTTAGGACTCAGGGAAGATTTGGCCAGACAATGCCAGAAAAAAGATCCATTTATTTCACTAAAATAAGTGTCTAATATTATATATATTATAATGATATTAATGTGAAACTGTAGCTAAATAAATAAATAAATATGTAAACGAAAGTAAACATAACCGAATACAAAATGGCTTGCGCAAACAAGTTATCTGAGAGCTACCTCGTTCAGTGCCGTCGTCAGGTATATTCAGTAAGCCCTAAAACGTGCCCTACATCTTTCACATACCGGAACTAGAACAGATCCTTAAAATGCTAGGAAACGGTCATGCAAGAGATCAATTGCTGGCACACCTGGTGGTAGACCAGGTGGTCGCCGGATATCCGCCTCATCTTGAGCCCCTTGGAATCGCGCGGCTTGTCCACGATCTTCAGCTCGATCTGGATGCCGCCCTCGTACTCCAGGTTCAGTCGGTCGCTCACCTCCTCCGAGCTGACCAGCTGCTTGGGCGGGAACTGATCTCGGATGGTTTTCTTCACCATTTCCAGGATGTCGACGGACTGCAGCTTGGAACAGACGTCGCTCAGTTCGAACTCGAACGAGCCGGAGTTTTTGTGGAGGTTCGTGTGGTGCAGCGTGGGACAGTCGGTGGTTAGGGGGGACGATCTGGTCGATTCGGGCAGATTCAGTTTCAGGTTTTGGAATATTTGGAAGTTTTCGGCTTGGCGTCCTGAAAAAGGCGTTAATTAGAGCTGAAACGCACTGACGCGACGGCCAGGTCGCAGCGACCAGCCAACGGCCAGGGTCCGAATTCTGTTCTGAATTCTTCCCCTGAACTAAACGACTAAAAAAACGAACTAAAACGACATAAAAAAGTTACGCTTTCAAAGCGGTGAGCGAAAGTATGCGATTAGCGGAACGCCAAACAGTCGGTTTTGGTATTCTCGTTGCCATGCGAATCGTTTTCTGGATACGCGTTGAGCACATATTGACAGCGTCGCAATTTCGCAGGTATCTAATAGTCAAATGTGAATAAAACAATGAAAAATGAGAATGTTGCGAGAATTTCATAACCTATTCTTGAGTTATGTCAACCTATTTTTCTATGAATATGTCATTATTCTTATTATTCGAGGAAAATGTAAACGCTTCTCAGAATTTTTGATGTTTTGAACAATATTTATAGCTGCCAAGTCGTAAATTATCAATTACTTATTGAGAAATTTATAGAAGAAGTAATAATTTTCATTAAAGAGCAAGATAATGCATAAAACCACAATTTTTTCGATGTTCACTAACAGTTCGGCAAGCAAAACGATTTAAGGCGACTGTTTTCAAAGCGCTTAGCGCATTCAGTAAAGACGCCAAGCGCGTCAGATGAGAGTACCCAAAATCGGTAGTTTTTGGGTACGCTCAGCGAAAATTAACGTCATATACGCTAAGCGCTTTTAAACGCTCAACTCATAACTTAGGTGTGCTTACCTCGCACTGGGCTGCCGATTTGGGTATTTTCGTATTCTCATTTCATACGTTTACTGTCTTTACCCATTGAGCTAAGCGATTTGAAAACGGCTACCTTGAAGGATCGTTTTGCATGTGCATGAAAACGTCGCGTCGTTTTGCTTGTAAAAATAGGAAAAATTGTGATTTCGTGCGTTCTCATGCTTTCTAGTGAAAATTATTTCTTCTATAAATTCCTCAATAAGTAATTGACAATTTACGACTTGGCAGCTTTAAATATTGTTCAAAACATCGAAAATGCTGAGAAGCATTCTTGTCATTGACTAAGAAGCATGTCTTAACATTTCCCTCGTATAAGAATAATGACATATCAACTCTGATATCAATAGAAAAATAGGTTGACATAACTCAACAATAGGTTATGAAATTCACGTAATATTGACATTTTTCATCGTTTTATCCACATTGTATTATTAGTAAACTATTAGATACCTGAGAAATTGCGATGCTGCCAATATGTGTTTAACGCGTATCCAGAAAACGATTAGCACGGCAACCAGAATATCAAAATCGACTGCTTGGCATTCCGCTAATCGAATACTTTCGCTTACCGCTTTGAAAGCGTAACGTTCTTATGTCGAAGTTCCAGATCCGGGCACAGGTCACTGCGGCCAGTAATACCATTAAAGCTTCATTCAGAACCTCGCAATTAGCGGTATCATTTAGCGTAGAAGTTTGTTCCTTTAATTTCAATGTAAGCATTCAGAACGTCTAAATTAGTGGTAGTCATTTTCAATTAGTAGAAGTTGACAAACCTTTGACTTTTCCACTAATTATACTTGAAAATTTCCGGGGTATGTCATTTTGACCTTTGATTATCAAGAGAAATTGTGGTTAGAAATCAAAAGTTTATTGTTTTATAAGTTAAATATTTGTCTTTCTCTATGGATACTACCGCAAGCTGTTGCTAGGATATTCTATTAATTTTAATTGTGTTTTTTAGACATTGTGAATGATTTTTAATCTAAAAAGTATAAAATGTAATTGAAACCACTAATTTATTCTCCTAATTGCGAGGTTCTGAATGAAGCTTAAACCAAATGATACAACACGCACTACCGTCCCCGACGAGGCGGTCGCAGGTCTATTCATTAGACAGCACTAGTCAAAGGACCAGTCTTGATAGTTTTTTGTAAACAGAGCTTCAATGCAGCTTGTTGTATAAGATAGCGAAAATCTAGTTAAATACGCAGAGTTCCATGTAAGTGGCTATCTAATGACTAGGCTGTGCTCATAACTTAGGTGTGCTCATAACATTAAACGTATTTAAGTTAAATAGAATGCGCACGTTGATTGCTCTTCTTGTATCTGCCTGTCAACTGAACCTTTTTCTTTTTCTTACGCGGTATAATACAAAGTAGACTTAGGATGATCTGACAGAATTGGTAAGGTAATAAAAATGTAAACGATCTAGCTAGAAAAAAACACAAAAGCGAACACTCCACTAAATGGACTAGAACCGTTCTGCTTCGCAAGTGAAAACCAACTTAAAGCGGGACTCAAGAACCTGGAAAACTCCATCCATAACCTGGAATGTGAATCCTCCAACCAGTCTAAGACACTCAAAGAAATTTCTCAGAACTTACGACCGAGAAAAACCAAAGATCTTCCTTCACTCAGGATACTCAATGAACTCCTCAGTAGATTGAAGCTAAGAAACAATTGGCGAATGCAGATTCTGTGAGGAAAATGGGAAAACACTAGAACACCTCATCACTGATTACGCCGAGACGACAACTATTCGTGGCATAAACTTTGGTACAACTGATATCGGAAATGGAAAACTAACCTCTCTAAAACCGTTTCAGATACTGGCTTTTGTCAAAGCCCTAAAACTGTATGATGAGTTATAACCATGGCTGGGAAACTTAAATGGAAATGACAGTTCATTAAAAATAGTTTTTCCTCCAAGATGCAGAGGCGCAAAATATTAAAACGTCAATATTAACAATGCAAATGTCAATATCTGATAATAATAAAATTTGACTTTTAACTGTCACTCAGAGACGCTTTTGTTGTGATTTTACGGTTTGATTTCGTTTTGATTTGTCGAATTATTGTAAAATTAAATTCCTTCAGATTTTTTGCCAGTATTCTGTTTTAGACAATGTTTTTTAAAAATGGTGGGACAATATGTGTTTTGTAATAACTCTTAATTATTTTTTATCATGGAGTTTAATTGTTGTACACCTGGTTTCCGAAGGATACAATGGTAAGTAAATTGAACATATCTACTTACAGTTATAGATTTTTTAAATTAGTACTGCTAATAAATGCTACTTGCAGAGCAGTTATTTAATTTTTTTTACGGTGCATGTAAGGAATTAAGGACGCGCGTTTTATATTAGCATGATCAGCAGATGATTACATCTAATTTAATTTGTTTTTATTATTTCAGGTCCCAAACGGAAACAAACTGGGACTCTTGCCTACACCAAAATTATATAGCCGTTTCCAATTCACTTCAAAGGGAGGAAAATTATGTAAAACTGCCTGCTATTTGCTGAAAACTGCCAAAGATTAAATTATAACTGTAACAACTTAATATATACTATTTCTAGTCTTTTTAATATATTTTTTAATTAATATCCGACATATAAGAACACTTTGTATGCTTTTAATTCAGTTGATTTATCGTTTATAATATGTTCGACCTAATTAAAAGCACACACAAAGTGTTCTTACATGTATGTCTAAATTTATTTTAAATTAACTAAAACAACCCCCCTTCCCCGCACCCCTCTCTTCCATTAGTATTTCTTCCTCCGTCTACCAGAGGCGCCCTTGTATAATAAAATTGAAATGTATTATAAGTTGCCTATCTATTTAATAGTATAAGTCTTTTATCTATGGTTATAACTCAAGAAAGTGGGACCCAATATCTACCATTTACAAGTGAACTTACCGGCATTGCTTAACTCTCTATTCAGTTGCATCGTATCGATGGCCCTACTCCTAATATCACTTTCGAAGGCGTGGCTGGACTGCGTATTGGAACTGCTGCTGGGGCTCTGGTTGCCGATGCTCAGGCTGTCGTTGGACAGCGAATCGTCCGAGTAGCAGGAGCTCTTGTCCGAGTTGCGCCTCAGAAAAAAATCATCGGAATGTTGCTGTTGCTGCTGATGCGAGCAGGAGTCGACCGCCTCGTTACTGGTAGCCGCTTTTTGCTCATTGTTCTCTTGGCTGGTTTTCCTGCCGATGCCTCGCGTTATGCTCGGCGTGTTCTCCGACGGCTCGGAAATGATGAAGGAGGGAATTTTCGAGACTTTCTGGTTCTCCAGGCTGTCCATGGAGTCCTCGGAAGTGTCCGATCCAGCCACCAAGGTCACTTCGCTTCCTGCATTGATATTAGTTAAATGTGAGCGTTATTGAATAAAAATGAACAAGGAAGAACTCTAATACTATTCTTATACCCTACAAGCAACCCTAGATCATATACAGTGTTGTTCACCACATACGATACGGAGTATTGTAGCTAAACGATTAGACTTTTACAAATTGTAAGTTTTGGATTCGTTGAAGATCCATTAGAGGTACAATTTAAAATAAACTTTATTATAATTTTTATTATTGCAACACAACATTTAGTAAATAGAAATACTTCAATACAATATTTGGTTTAAAAAACTTAAATACGCCTAGAGAAATGAAACATTAAAATTATTACTTTATTTTGACAAAAACCTAAATATTTCAAAAACGGTGAGATTAAAATGCGGTAAACCTTAATCAAATTTACCTTTATTTTAATCGTAGAAACTAAAAATGTAATAATATACAGGGTGTTCCATTTAAAAAGATACAACTTTGTTATTTTTTATTTATTTGGGACATTCTGTATCTTGTAAAAATATTTTTAAATTGTAGCTCTAATAGTTCTTCAACGAACCCAAAACTTACAGTTTGCAAAAAACTAATCGTTTAGCTACAATACTCCGTGTCGCATGTGGTGAACAACCCTGTATACTTTCGTGGATAAGAAAAATCAAGGAAAAATCACTATGAAAACTGTCGCAAATATACCAACGACTTCCATTTATCTTCTTTTTTTGTTGCATACGCGGTGCTTCTACTCTATCTATCCTTGTCGAGAACCTATCGTCCACGCGCCAAATTTGAACAATAATTTTAAAAATTTAATTTGTAAAATGCATATATTTGAACAATAAATTGAATGTTTACTGTCACAAATATTAAATTATATAAAAACTAAAAATATCAATATTCTGAGAAAATCTAACCAGAAAGTATGCATGTGGTTTAATATAAATAAAAGAACAACTGAATACTTTACTTGCCTGTGAAAAGATAATTCGAGGACCTTTATATTAGAACTTCCACACACCAAACATTTTCTAGTAATTTTTACGAGTATTTAGAAAGTCCAACGAAAAAAAAATAGAAATATAATTGCACAAATTTAAAATTAATTTCTCACTGGAAACATTTGCATCCTTGGCTATATAAAAGCGGTCGATAAAAGAGTAATTAATACAATTTTTAAAATAAAAATCGCAAAAAACAAGCGTCGTTACACAATGGAAATAAGATTATGACATATGATTTTGACAAGATTATGACAATGAAAAGTTGGTTTCTATAACGTATTCGTATAATTTGTACTTTCTAAACCGTATAAAATTGCGATTCTTTTGGAAATACATGCAACTTTTAATGCGCATGCGCAAACTAAGGTCCTCGAAAAAGACAAATCTATTGAAAGTTTCATAAGTGCGATAAAAAAGGTTTGAAAATGGCATGTCGTGATGTTGGGGACATATTTTTTAATGCAAAATAGGCAAGCAACGCTCGATAATGCTGCCGCGCCCCGTCTGACATTGATTACATTAAAAACATACCTAATACATCAGTAACGGATATCTGAGGATGACTTTGGACTTCACTTTTGGACTGGAAAGAAGTCACTTGCTGGGCAGCCTCTTCCTGGATCATATCTAAGCCCGGGCTACCTGGATTGCTTATGGGAGAATTGGTCAAACTCCTGTGGCTGTGTACATTTAATACGTGCATATGATGGGGCACCTATTTGGGATATATTTTGTTAATGGACTTAGTAAAAAACAGTTCAAGAACAAACCTGATGTAGGAATGGTTGACCGCCTGAAATGTACTGCGGCATAGACAGCGGTGACGTGTCCATTTTGTTGTCGTCTAATTGTACCCCCATTTGTAAGGGAGTGCCTTGGGTTATTGAACCACCACCCGTTGTATTTAGGCCACTTATACCTAAATATAAAATCGTAGTTAATGAGTATATAATACAGATATTCACAGGTAATTAATTCCTTAAGGAATAAAAGGGAAAGTTATTGAAATTAAATTTAGATAAAAATCTGATGTTTTAGATTATATTTTACGGTGTACTTTCTTTTTAAAATATCTTCCACTTCTGGTTTAACTGGAAGTGGTTACAATTTGCTGATTTTAAATAGAATATCACCTGTATTTTTTACGCATTTTGTATTTTACATTAAATTCTACACATTTTGTTTGTGCTGTTCTTTACCTCAATTTAACAGTTTTTACATTAAAATTTAAGAAACTTAATCTTTATTATACTCGAAATTAGTGGAATATTTTGGTGGCGTCAATTATACTTTCTACTAAGAGTTTAAAATCATTCAGAATGTGTAAAAAACACAATTAAAATTAATGAAATATCCTAGCAGCAGATTGCGGTAGTCAGTTCTATCCATAGAGAAAGCCAAATATTTAGCTTTTAAAATAATCAACTTTTGATTTCTAACCACAAATTCTCTTGACGGAAGATAATCAAAGGCCAATGACATTTTTCGCAAATTTAAAGTATAATTAGCGGCAAAAGTTAAACGTTTGTTAACTTTTTCTATAAATTGCAAATTACTACCACTAATTTTGACGTTCTGAATGTTTACATTGAAATTAGAGGAACAAACATCTACACTAATTGATATCACTAATTTATTCAATTAATTTCGAGGTTCTGAATGAAGCTTTAAACGAACAGTTTTTTAGAAATAGCAGATTTGACAAGTTTACCTTGCGTAATTGACGATATACTACTGGCGCCACCTGTCGGAGTCGAATAACCACCAAATACCGGCGAGGCACTAGGACTGAGAAGAGGATTCAAAATGGAAGGAGATGCGGTGGAGAACATTGCCAATCCGGGAACCTATAAAATTAATAATTTTTGGCCTGGAATTATTTCCTATAGAGGTAGAAAAACTGTTACTTATACATAACGGTTCAACCCGTCACTGTTATTTAAAAAATAGCAGCTTAAAATAACAGGTTTGTGTTATTTATTAAAATTATTGTTAAATAGTTTGGTTTGTAAATACCAAAACGAAATAAGTATTCTTATCAACATGTGACCGTACATACAGGTCCCTTCACTATGGATTTTTTTTATTATTTATGTCCCTTTGAATACCCTGTATAATGTCCACAACAGTTATAACTCTACTACTAAAACTGGCGACTGTTAACTCTGCTTTCTAAATTAAAAATCAATAGCCGCTAGCTTATTCAAAAGTCTGGCAAAATTTCGAAGAGCAACCCAACTTCGCATCACAAGACATCAATGTCAAAGTACTGTTATTTTTTTATTTATATCTGTTATTTTATGGAAATAAAAATTCTTTGGTTCCCGATATCATGTCATGAGCAGACTGTTATTCCGCACCTGTTATTTTGTGGTAGAACTGTTGCGGACTTGGTAGAATTTCGAGGTGGAGCGATCTCGACATGTTATTTTTATAACTGTTATCTTTAAGTAATGTCAGGTACAAACTGTTATTTATAAATGACAGTTTTAAAGCTAAACAGTTAGAGATGAGCGATATTTCACAAACTGTGATTTTTTCACTGATATTTAAAAATCACATATCACGATCGTTACTTTTTTTGAGAAGAAAGCGTGAATTGATATGTGATTTTCACAATATACAAACGAGCAAAAAGTCGACAGACTTGTTTATCCGTTAAGTATTTAATATAACATAAACAAAATGGAAATACCGATACCGATTACCATTGCCGGCCGCCACGCTGTCGTTTAATATCGCTTTTTTTTAACTATAAACGGTGATGGTACATTTTAGGTACGTCGTCAATCTTGAAGTTATTGATGTAAATTTGATATTAATATATTCTACAATTAATGTTTTAACATTTTAAGTACGGATCGTACGAATACTCGACTAAATCTTTGAGATTTGAGATCACTGCAATAAAATTATTTATTTTTTGAGGTTAGAAAAACAATTACATATTCTTAAATAAACAAAACGAACCCGCGACCTGGTAACCTGGCATGTAGCCGATAATAAATGAAACTTGACTGAATACCGGATAAATGAATCAAACCCTAACTTGTTTGTCTCAAATCTAAAAAAGTAGATATAAATAAACACGTGAGTATTACGCCTTAACTGGGAACGAGGCAGGGCAACGGGGACGGAGCGACAAGACTTGTTATTGTTATTGAAACTGTGATCACATCACGTTTAAAAATCACTGATATTAAAAAATCACAGTAACAAATATCAGTGTGATTAAAAAATCACGATATCGCTCATCTCTATAAACAGTTTTCAATCGCAATAACATTTTAATACCTGTCCAAAAGGCTGTCCCGTGGCTGCGCCGTAAGGCGAGGCACCCGGGGCATGCAGCGGACTCCTGTCGTAGCCTCCCAGAGCTCCAGGTACGTAGTTCTCGGGAGGGAGGCCCAACGTCGGATCCCTGATGGCCGTAAATTTGTAGTCTTGATGGTCGGGAGACGGCGAGGAATAAAACTGATGAATCGGAGAAGCGCCCTCTGAGGAAAGTTGGTGTCTGAGCGCTTGGTCCGATACGATTTGATGTATCGGAGAACCTAGTTTATTTTAAAATGTTAATATTAATTTTATATCATAGGGTCTAATAATTACGTTAGGGAATGCAAGGGGGGAGGGGGTTAAGACAAATCTCATTAAATCTCACGTAGAGGAGAGAGGGGGTTTCGGAAAATATTACGTAATTTCTTTCAGGCAAAGAAGAGTGTAAAAATGTGATTAATTTGAAATAAAACATATTTCTAGACTAAAGTATGCCGAAATCTGACACAATTTTTCTGTATAATAACATCCATGAATAGATCACCACAATACACCAAAACACTTTTACTTTGACACTGGACGCGCGTTTCGCTAATCTAAAGATTGTATTTTAGTTTATAATCATCTGCTGATGATGCTAACATGGTTAGCGAAACGCGCGTCCAGTGTAAAAGTAAAAGTGTTTTGGTGTATTGTGGTGATTTAGTGTTTTATTTTGCTGTGTAACACCAAAGGTTCCAACCCTCAACTGTAATCATGAATAGATGTAAAGTTATTTAGTATTGATATATCAAAAATTTGCCTTTCGATTCTTTATTGGTTGGAAAATTATGGTTGGCAGTTTAATTTTACAAGACGAGCTACTGAACTTCTATGCGCAAGTAACAACGGTTGAGAATGGCTAAATCAGAGCATAGGTGAAGGAGCAAATTATTTTACTGAAAACCACATAGATTTGTTGGTACCAGCAGTCATTCTTGAGACCGTACACAAGTATCTGGGAACTGAATTTGAAGAAATGTTTCCGATCAATTTTAGTAGTTCAAATTTAAGTATTATTCAGAGTTAACACTGTGTAATTTTAGATTACGATCTAAACAATCTCAAATACTGGTCTTTACTAGGCTTAATAAAAATAATAAAGCAAATTGTGTTTATAAATAAATACAACGCGTTGCGTTAAAATGTGATTATACTGTGGTTCACAAAAATTACCATATAATCAAAAAAGTGATGTCACAGTAGCCTTTAGAATTAACCTATACAAGTTGTTAATTTGTTTATTACTCGCGACAAGAGCTTTATGGTTGAAATATGACAACGTCGGCCCGCTCGTCGATAGACGACGCGAAGGGATGAGTTGGCAGAAAAATCAATAATGCATGCGTTCTCAATAGGCAGTGTTGCCATTCTGTTCCCCTATAAGTAACTGTCGAGTTAACAACCTGTATATGTAATTTATTAAAAAAAATCATAAAAAAAGAAAGTTGACATAATAAAGAAATTTAATTATACATGTCTTACCTGGTATTGATCTGGGTGGACTTGATCTATTTTGCAATCCTCTCTGCAGTCTCTGACATTCTTGCTGTGGTGTTGAAGGACTTAGTGTTCTTGAACCACTTGCTGAACCTTCGCTACCCCTTCTAACGGGTGAGAATCGCTCTGCAGATTTTTGTTCTCTACCTAAACAGTCACAATGAAGGTACATTGTTTCAAGCCTTTGTCTTTAATAAGAAACAGTACCTATTGTAAAAAATATTTTCACATATCTTTTTTTAATTAATCATAAATAAAAAATTGTAGGATTTTTATTAATTTTCGCAGAAAAGTCTTTTTCTGGGAAATACAGAATAACTAAACATTTGTATAATCTTTTTAGTGAAAAATATGTTTTCGACAGACGACATTAAAAAATGACAGAAAAATAACCGTCATAATTGATGTGACAGACACTAATTGCTACTGCTATAAAAAGTGAAAGTAAATTATTTTAAGTTAACGTCTCGTTTTGCTGCTAAGGCTAATTTTCACGGGGCCTACTTTGTTAACCCGGAATGCTGTCTTCAGCCATATCATTGTCACTGGAGTGTCTAAATCGACTCTTGATATATCAGATCATTGAGCAGTGTGTGGTTCCAGGGGGGTGACAGTGAAATAGGAAAATTGGAAACAGTCATTAGTGTCAATCCTGTCATCTCCTGACGACAAGTATGGCCGCCTAGACAAGGACAGCAATGTTTCTGTCTAACTATTGTCTAACTTCACAGTTTAGAATTGACATATTTCAGAGACAACTTCAGATTTGTTCTAGAACAAATTTCGACTTTCGACGCCATTTTAATTCTCTCCGGTTAGTTTTGTATTGTAAATTCAATTTGATATTTCGGCAGAAATTTATAAATATAAAGGTAATAAAGCATATAAAATATATTATTACATGAACAATCCTGGAGAAAAAGATGTTTCTGCAGTACTAGGTATGTCCCATGTATATTAAAAATAGGTAGTAAATAAACACTATTTCTGTATTTTTTAGATGCAAGAAAATTTTGTTATGTTTATGATTGGCGTTTTTTTTTGAAAATGGAAACAATTTACAGCAAGGTAAGATCATTTTTAACTATAGCCAACATTAGTTATCTCCAGTATGTGCGATTTATTGTCAATAATGCAGTAAATCTGACTGATACAATCTGATTGTTATCGGACTAAAAGTCTCTTTTTGATTCTTTTTTATTTATAAACCAGGTCTCTTTGGGAATAATGGATGCTTTTTTTAAACAGTATATTTATATTTTATACCTATTGATATTTTTATATTGTTAATTTTAGTATAAAAAAAATTGTTTTTCTGTTTTCAGGTTTTTGTATAAGGCTCCCGTTTTCATGTTCCTGCCCCCGTTTTCTGTCCCTGATGGCTGTGAATACGTGTATTTATTTACAAATTACTTAAGTCATGCTTATACCTTACTACCTTACGTTAAAATTGCATATAATTAAGTAATTGGTGTAGAAATCATTCAATTCTTTATTTTTTATATTTATTTAGTCCTGTTGTCTCATATTTCAAATAAATATGTTTGAATAAGATTTTGTTTTGTTTTATTTATGATAAGAAAGAGTACAAAATACATTTAAAATGAAAGAGGGCCCGCCATTGAATAACCGGAAACGGAAATAAAAATGAAGCCATCATGTCAACCTGTCAATTGGAAAATTAGTTCTCCAGACGACAACGAAGGCTTTCGGTGGCGTATCGTGTTTCCACGATTTAACACAGAGTTGACACTTCTTTCTAGTTAATTATTTTATGGTGTGTGGCAATAGGTTTTAAGCGTCATTCAGAACCTCGAAATCAGTGGAATAAATTAGAAGTTTCAATTAGCTGTAGAGAAGTTTGTTCACCTAATTTTAATGTAAGCATTCAGAACGTCATAATTATTGGTAGTAATTTTCAATTATTGGAAAAAGTTAACAAACTTTTGACTTTTCCACTAATTATACTTCAAAATTTGCGAAATCGAAAGTTTATTGTTTTATAAGCTAAATATTATACTTTCTCTATGGATACAAGAGTACCGCAAGCTGTTGCTAGGATATTTTATTAATTTTAATTGCGTTTTTTAGACATTGTGAATGATCATAATCTAAAAAGTATAAAGTGTAATTGAAACCACTAATTTATTCCACTAATTGGGAGGTTCTGAATGAAGCTTTACATTCGTGCCATGGAACAACAGTACGATAGTTTCCCGACGTTCACCCGTCCATCCACTCGCATGGTCTAACGTCGCTTAACTTCTGTGATATATCGGGAACCGGTGTTTCCACATAACTGAGCCGTTGTCCCGCTTCTGTTATATATTTCATACCAATTAAACTTTTAGTGCTTTTAGTTAAGTAATCGAGGGCACAATTTTTACATTGTTACCAACCATGGAAATATTCGGCGCCGGGCTGACTAACTGGAATTTAATTTCCCGCTGGGGATTCAGGTGTCATATTTATTTATATATTGCCTGGCATTGTCATTCGTTTTGACATTTTAGTTTTGTATTACGAGTTAGCTTAATAGCCGTAAAAAACTCATCGAAACCTCATTAGATTATTTTGAATGGGAAAGCCGTAGTAATGACCCTTTATGTCCCTTAAGGGCTGTTAAGAAGGTGCGTTTTGTTGATGTAAATAATGTTTCCTAAAATATTTTGATTAAAAGAAAACATATAAAACCGGCAACGCTGTGCTGGTCAAGTTTAATCACTTGACTAAAAGTTTATTTGATATGAAGTATATATCCGTGGTCTGTACTCAACGAGAGAAAGACAGATAAATACTTCTTACTATATCCAGTTGATAGGAAACAAAGAAAAGCAGAGTTACCAGCTCCTCCGTCCGGTAGATGTGATGTCTCTCTTTTGAAGTTTGTTATAACTGTCATCTGCCGAAATCATATATTCTCCACTCTGATCAAAAGGTACATCGAGTCTAAGCACTACCGGAAAAATCAAAAGAAACCAAGCAAAGTGCAACACAATACTCACCCAGTTCTTGAACAGTTGGCAACTGCGGTTTAACGTGTCTGCTGTGCTTTCGCTGCGGTAAAATGGATGGCATATAGTTTCGTTTCATGCGAGCTTCCACCTCCATGACGATTTCGGGTGGTATTACTGATTAACGACAAGGTGCATGCAAAATAAACGTAGAAAAACGAAACCAAATAAAAAAAATAAACAAAAAGTAAAAAAAGTGCTGGTGGCGGCGAAATGAGAATTGTATAGTGGTATTAAAACTGTTATTTACAAAAATCGAGAAATACCAACTTAAAGCACCATAATATGATGATGGTATGATCATAAATAAATACAGGGTGTGCAAAAAGGTCCGCATCGATTGGGAAAAATTAAAATATCAATTTTTAAGCTATCAAATTTGTTGAAATGGGTTAGAGAAAAAGTACTATATATTTTTTTGTCTATTCACTTTGTTTAAAATATCTATAAAGTTATTTTGAATATAATTAATTATATATATATTTTGAAGTTTAAAAATTTTTGAACTTTCAATTTTTACTGAATGCCATATTATAAATATTTTTTTTTGTTACTAGGCATGGCTGAACTAATTCCAAATAAACTATTTTTAATAACTAAATAATAAAAAAATCTATTTGTTGCGAATTTTTTGTCACACCCTGTATACTAGGTAATCGTAAATTACACCTTGATGTAATAAAAATGTATAACACAATTCTTTTTCCGAAAAAAATCAAATCAAAAGACGGTTGCATTTTAGACTAAAACGATATTTTTTCTAACTAGCACTCTACAAAAAAAACGGAATTAAATTATTGATTTTATTTAAAAATAAAACTAAAAACAAAAAAGCTGAATATACAACACCACCAAGCAGCACACCAAAAACATCAAAGCGTCATTGAAACTTAGCGAATCTTACCTGGTGGTCGCTCCATAACCGTTAGTAAACCGGTCCTTCTAGTTCTGCCGCCAGATGTTGACGTCGACTGCAACGAATGGACATCTTCAGGATTGGCCATCGTATGACGTTTCGTGTTGCCACGTCCTTGTAAATACCTGCAATAAAATTGGCTGTACATATTTTCAAAAATCCCTAAAATTAAAGAACATTTGTAATTCTTGGAAACACTGCAATTAGCCTTTTTCGATAAGTTCTTCTCATGGAAAATATGTTCAATGAGAAAATGGAGACTAAATTTTCAATACTGAATTAGAAAAAAAGGAGTACCTCAACAAAATTAGCAAGTCCGCGAATTCCGGTTCAAGAACAGTTAACCTAATAGCTCATTCAGCCGAAAGTGTCTGCCAGATGCATGCGAAAATTCTTCGCTTTGTGACGTCATTGTAGTCCTTGTCATGATAGTGTGTGTATTATTAGTTGCCGTATGCAAAACATTCATTAATTAGTTTATTTATTTAAACACCTTATATGTGCGCAGTATAGAAAATTAAGTGTATAAATCGTATTAAATATTCGCATAATGCATTTTTAAGAACAGCAGTTCCAAGCATCACCTTTTGCAGGCACTCTTTTTAGAGTACTTCCATATTTTGCTTTAAAATAATTAATAAACAATATCGTAAGCACCTACTCACAATCCACAATACAAAATGAACGTATATATAAACCCTATAGCTCTAAAAACTTTAAAAACACCTTTTTCGCATTTAAAATCGACAAAATAATTAACTCAAATATTCTTAGCTGTTATTTTATTAGTTTAACTTAGGCAACCAATAATACACACTATGATGACAAGGACTACAATGACGTCACAACTGTCAGCTGAAGCGCAGGAAGAAGCGAACGTACCATTGCGATAAATAAAAAGTAGTACAACAAAATATGATTTAATCTGCTGGTCTATAAATAAAATATTTTCTTTCAAACTGATAACTCATCAGTGTCATCAGAATTCTTGTGCCAGTGTCACATAATTTTTAAAAAATGCCTTTAACTTCAGAGCAAAAATCGATTATATTTACGCGATTAAGGGATGGGGTTCCCATAAGGGACATTGCAGATGCATTAGGGATAAACAAAAAAAAAAACAGTGTTGTTGGCTAAATCCAAAAAATTCAATATAATTCAAATATCCTTATAGACCAGGAGTTCTATGTGGGACTACTAATTCTTGTGCTACTTTTTTTTATCGCAATGGTACGTCTTATGGCGCGTTCTCACGACTCTTGTACTTGGCAAGTATTTTTTATTAGCCTACAGGGTCTGGAGGGAGTGCGGCGTAGTTCTTATAATAAATAACTTAGAAATTCTGTATAGATGTCGGACGCACCGTGTATACCCTGTATACCAATTACAAATGTTTGTCAAGTACACGAGTCGTGAGAATGCGCCTTTATGAGGATGAGCAATCCTATTAGTTTACCGTTCTTGATTCCGGTTTATCATATCGTCCTATTGCTGCCAAAAGTCACTAACTAACATTTTTCCGAACAACCAAATTCAATCACTAACCATGTTTTGAAGCGGAGAATCGATTGCAAGTCATTAACTACGATTTCTGGCTATTTATGTTTTATTTTATTACCGAATAGTTACTAACTATAACATCTTTATGCAATGCAATTCATTTTTAGACGCATTTTTCACGGAAGTAATAAAAAATAAGTTAGTGACTTTTGGCAGCAATGGGACGATATTTGAAATTGAAAAATACAAACCTTGCAGCCGCTAATTCATCAAACTGTTGGGCATGGTCTAAAGGTTGAATTCCGGTGCCGCTACTTAGACTACTCGGATTGCCACTAGAACTAGTGGACATCATTGATAACTGTTCATGCGATCCTGGAGCACCCCAAGCCATATGCAAGTTAGCACCACCATCTGAAATTTTAAAAATTTAGAAGACTTAGGTTAACCATTAATTGAATTATTCCATATTAACTGACTATATGAACTGAAAATGATTGATCTCTATGAATATGTACAGGGTGGTAAGAAGAACATAAAAATATACTTTTATTTTTACCTGAAGCTCTTCTACCAAAACCACCAGCTGCACTTAAAACAGTGGGCGGTTTGAGTAAATGAGGATCTTTTCCACCAAAACAATGAGGATTTTGCTGACCAAAGACTGGTAAATGTAGATTGGTGCTGGGAAGAATTTTAGTGCCATTGGCTGAATTCTGGGGAGGCATTTGCCCCATGTAGTGTTTTTCCAGAACCTAAAAATTAAAAATAACGTACTGAAAAATAATTTATAACAGAATCTATACTGAATATGATGTGAGTTGTGGTTAAACTTGGAAAGTTATAGTCAACACAGTTAAATAAATATATATATTTTTTAAACTTACTTGTTCATGAGCTGAATCGCCAGGTCCGACAGTATGTCTTCTAACTGTCAAATATCGATCTCCAGATGATGAAAAACTATTATAGCCGGTTGATGAGGAAGGAACAGCCAGAGAACAACTTTGATCTTCACTTTGGTCCAGATCCATTTCTCCAAACTACGTAAAATAATGTTTTTAAGACAATGATTTACAGTTAAAACATGTATATTGAAACAAACTAGAGTTAGTTAAAAAGTATAGTAAACGCCACGAATGTTTGGGAGTGATTCATCGCTTGATAAAATTAGAATCGACACGCGCCCTATCATTTTTACATTAAAAACGTAAATTTTTACCGCAGACGTAGGTTTTTAAAGGCCCGGTCTAATCATCTGCCTGCGCCCCTCCTACTTATTCTAAAATGTTAGCGTGATTGACAAAGACGATACTATATCGCGTTTCTTTGATTGATTCGTTTTTGTGCGTCAGTCCATCGGTGTGCTTGCAGTACGACCAATGGGGCATTCCATTTTATGTTTATAACCAAATCTATGTTTTGACAAGACTTTGACAGTTAAAACAACAAATTACAACAGATTATATATTGATTATTATATGACTCGAAACACCACGGCACTGGAATTAAGTTTATGTGACCTTGAACAGATTAGTTCACATAGTAGCGACCGATGAATCACTCCCAAACATTCATGGCGTTTACTATAATACTATTCTATTTTGTTTCTTACTGAATTTGGTATATTTTGTCCCATTTTAAAACGACTCAAATGTTGTATTTATTAATCTTCCAGTATTTGTATTAACGCTGCTGGTAAGAACTTTGTTGCCAGATTACTTATATTAAATACCATGTTTATAAATTGACGGTTGTTGTCGTCGAGTTCAGTTTTTTTTTGTAAAAACAGCCTTTTGCACGAATTCGGCGCAGGCTCGAGTACGTTAAATATTAAAAAAAGCTGAAGAAACACAACAAGAGTTAGTTCAACCTAAAAGTGAATCCATTTAGCAAAAGAAATATAATAAAGACCGTCAGTAACTGGGACAGAAAAATATTGTAGCAGTAGTGTGTTTATTATATGCAACATGATGAAAATAAATTATTCTAGCAGTTAGATGAGTGTCCATTTTCATTTTATATTATTACTCAAAATCTCTATTGCATCTCATGGTTGTTGCCTATAAAATGTAGAGAAAATTATGGCCTCTTAAAATTCTCGTTAATAATATCCCAAGAGAGTTATGACCAATCAAGACAATATAAGCTTATATTAAATCAGTAAGAAATAAAATATACAGGCAGTCCTCGATTTACGTCGTTTCGAGATATGCCGAACAAATTTTTGTTACTATTCCTCAAAGTTACGTCCCACTGTTTCGAGTTACGTCATTTTTTGAAAAAAAAAACGATCCAAATTTTGAAAGAAGTTTGGACATAAACAATACATACATACATATAGTATTTTTAATACCTATTTAGAGGTAGCAGCCGTTTTAGTAACTTAACGTATGCGGCTTCTTGCACCATCTAAACCCGCATGAAAAAAATTAGGTTATGACCTTTGTCATGTCAAATGCTTGACATATTTCTTATTGCATTGGCGGAGTGACTTGAAATTTCATATTATCAGTGGCTTTGTTGCCTCTTTACTTTTTGGTTGTCGCTCTTAACTGACTTTACAATTCTTCTCCATTCCGTTCTATTGTGAGCTGCCTCTTCCCACTCATTCTGTTTGTTAATTCCCTATAAGTTTTCGTGGAAAATATCCTTGAACCTTTTGAGTTGTCCACCCGGCCTCCTCTTACCGTCTACAAGCTCACCGTAAAGCAGAGATTTTGGTATGCAGTTTTCTCGGACTTCAATACTCTCGCAGTAAGCTTTTTCAAGGACCGATACGTTTGAGACATGATGGACATAACCAATAAAATTTTAGCAGCATACAAGCAGGATTGACAGATTCTCATGGTGAAAAAGCGGGACAGTGTTGCTCATTACTTAATTAGCGACTTTTGACGACACCCACAATAAAAGTTCCGACCAAAAAAACAAATATCTACTTTATGAATATGTCTACTTTACTCTCTGGAAGGGTATTATATTTATTATGGATAGTTAAAAATACTTTTTATGACTAGATAGTGAAAAAGCAGGACTGTAAAAATACTCGCCCTGATTTGCTTTTCATAAAAAAATACTTTCTAAAATATAATTCGTTTTTTATATATTTTTTTTTTGTTTTGTTTTTTGTATTATTATAAGTTTAACTACATATACAATGCACTGTTTCTCATACCTCAATTATTTAAAAATACATAATATTAATATATATATAAACGCATATCTCTTTGTTTTATTTTATTTTTATCTTACGAAAGTACCTAACTTTTCCATTTTCTATAGATTCTTATGACAAAATAAGATTCGACTTACGTCGCACAGTGCTTCGAACATATGGCTTTAGAGGACAAAAATGCAAAACTTCTCTTTTATTGTAGGCAATTTATTCAAACTAGGTTTATTTGACACAAATGATCAGTACTCTCATTGTACTAAATGATGATGTTCTTAGTCCCACGTTTATGAAAAAAATCTTATAAATAATAAAAATGTTGAAGTTGTGTTCCATCTAAGGAAATAATAATTTATAGTATGAAAACGGTATTACTTATACCGTTTTCATAAATAAATCCCTGTGATAAAAAAGAACTGAAATAACATTAGAACAGGATTCCTACAATATAAGCCTAATATAAGATAAAAATGTTTTTCTTTAATGAAAAAGAAAAATTAATGTTATATTTAATTGAAAAAAGCTTAAGATACTATAAATTTACTTTAGGACAACAAAATGCATAGATCGCAACTATTCTGATTCAGAAGAATCACTGCTGACATAATCTTGCAAATTTATAGTATCCAAATCACAGGCAGATGAAGTATCCTCACATATAAGATATTTCTGTACATCATTTTCTAATATGTTACTTTTTCGCGTTCTTACTGTTCTTTTTATTGGTATGAGGGGTTGGGATGTTAATAGTTACCTCTTTAATAGACCACATCCATATATTATTTTTTCCTTTTCTTGGGTATGAGGTTTTATAATAAATTGAAAGATGGAAACTTTTTTTATGTGACGTTTCGCTCCAACATAGTGAGCTTTTTCAGGCATAAGTGGTGTCTCATTTGACTGGAAGGTTCATCAATATCTAATAAAGAACGCATTTTTTGAAATATAAATAATTTTGAGTTCTTATCCTTATGATCAAGCCAAGTATTAACCAGATTGGCGTTGCTTATCAATTTTACTCCATCTGAAAAGTATCATAAAATAAAGTTCGTCGCAAGCAGACGCAGGTGAACTATCCAAAAATTAAAAGTGTATGACTATGACAACAAAAATATTCAATAAATACGATATGTTTTGATATGTTTTTTTTAAATCCCTTTTTGAAGTTTGAAAACGTAAAATTTTTATACCCATTTAAGAATCATCTTAAAAAATAAATAAAAACTAAACAATCACGAACTTGTTTAGAAATAAATTTAAAGTACATACCTTGTTTAACAATATCCATAGTGGCTTTCAATTAAGTACGTACCGTTTAACTCCATAATATACAGAACTACTATGAATGTTATTCTTTTCACTGATAAGACAATGATCGTAAAATTTATTTTTAGTGAAAATATTTGGTAACAAAAAACGCTGTTTATGAAAAATAATATACAGGATGGTTGAACATTGCTATAAGTATAAAATTACATATTCAGGTATTAGTAAATTTTAACTTTTTTTTTGATTTTTGTCCATGGGACGAAGCACTGTGCGTCGTTTCGACTTAAGGCGCTGTTTTGAAGAACCTAACTTGCCGTAAATACGAGGACTGCGTGTATATATTTTTTTTAAATTCAAACCTTCTCCAAAGGTTGTCCTTCTCCATCAGCAGCGAGATAAACAGCTGGAATAGCCGGCATGGAAACGAAAGGTGACCCGGCATCTTCACCCTCTTGGAGGGATTGTCTTCGTTCTGCGTCAGGTGTCGTCCCAGTCGGAGTACTACCTTCTCCGCCTCCTCCCCCAGCACCGTAATCGCCTCTAAGGTAATTTTCATTGAAACTTTCCCGTCGCCAGTTGTAACACGCCTGTTCGTTGCGAAGGTACGACTCGTTGAAGCTAAAAACAAAATATTGCTTAATTTATCACCGCTACCAAAAAGATAATTCAGAAGCTTGGAACACTCGAGATTCATCTCATGATTTACGACCAGAAAAATCAAAAAGATTTTCCTTAATTTAAGTAACAATTTTTGGATTGTCACGGGATTTTTCACAGGACACTGTCCTCAAGGAACACCTCAGAAGATTGAAGTTCAGAAATAACGGAGAATGCAGATTGTATGGGTAAAATGGGGAAACACCAGAACACCTCGTCACTGAGTGCGTCTAGACAACAACCATTCGTTCCATAAACTTTGGTAGAACTAATATCGGAGATGGAGAACTAACCTCTATAAACCTTGTCAGATATTGGTTTTTGACAAAGCCCTGAAGCTAGATGATGAGTTAATAACTCACGAAAAGGTTACACAATAGATCTATAAAATCGCGGTGATTAACTTCCCCCCTTCCAGTGGCGGACTAAGCCTGTCGGGGGCCCGGGGCGGCGAAGCTAAATGTGGCCCCCGGTCTGTTTAGATAATGATATACTTCTGATGCACATTTTGTAAAAATTGAATGACGCATGTATAATGGTTGACAAAATTCAGTCGTTAAGAAAGATAAATCGGTGAAAGTTCATAAAACGTGACCACCCAAAAAAAAAGAAAAAAGAAAAGCAGATAAGTACTTTGCCAGAATGGACCTGGCAGCCTAGGCAACGCAACTCTCTCCTGAAAAGGAGAGTTTGAGAAGAAAGAAGAAGTATTTATACAGGGTGTCCCAGGCTGAGCCTGCGTTAGAAGTTTCTAGAGAACTACAATATCTAGATACGAGATTTTGTGCATATCATTGTTTCACAATGAGATCTATCGTTTAAAAATATTTTCAATATGGCGGCACTTTCGCAAGTACCGGAAGTTGACAGCAACTTTCTTATTTTAAAGGGTGACCCCATTTTTTATTACATACTTAAATTCTCTGCAAAATTTTATGAATTTTGATATTAAACACTCTATACCTAAGGTTAACCGTTTTTGAGAAAGAAAAATATTTATAATTTTTAGAGGAAAAAAACTGCCTGTTAAAAATATGTATATAGCCTAAACGTCAAATTTAATGATTGCCACAGCTACTGTACCATAAAGAGAAGACATGTGGCTATCTATGTCAAAAATTAAATTGTTCGAATGTCATATAATAATGGCCACAGCTGTCATGGAATTGAGCGATTAAAAAATTATCATAATCATTACCATCTTTTTTTTTCAAATGGAAATCCACTTTTTTTATTTCACTCGTGAAAAGGCTTTCGTCACTTTCGTTTTTAAAATTTGTTACTTTTTGACTATACATGTTCCTGTACCTAAAATAAATCGTTTTTAAGTTATTTAAGGTTTAGCTTTAAAGCGTATATTTTTCTTGATTTTAACCAGTAGCCTATGAGAGTATATTATCGATCATCATTTCTAAGCTAACTTTGCGCTGTTTTTTTTTTTGATCGTACGGTATATTATTAAAATATCAACTATTAGATATCACTAAAAAACGAAAATACGAGATATATTTATATAAATCTCTTTTTAAACAGCAGTAGTTATAATATAGGAAATTCAAATAATTCATTTTCTGACAGATGGAAATAAATTGTCTGACTGACACTAAAAGGAAGCTAGATAAAATCAAGAAAAATATACGTTTTCAAACTAAATCTTAAATAACTTAACGTAAACTAAAAACGTAACGAATTGGAAAACCTTTTCACTAGTGAAATAAAAAAGTGAGTTTCCATTTGAAAAGAAAAAATATCTATGATAATTTTTAATCGCTCAATTCCATGACAGATACCGCCATTATTATACGACATTTGAACAATTTAATTTTTGAAATAGATAGCGACATGTCTTCTCTTTATGTCACCACAGGGGCTGTGATAATCACTAAATTTGACTTTTAGGTTGAACAAATTTTCTTGACAGGTAGTTTTTTTCGTCCAAAAATTTTAAATATTTTTTTCTTAAAAATGCTTCCAGGGAAATACCGCGACAAAATATCGCGATTAAGTACTCCAAGATCCAAGGGGCCCTTTCGCTGTCTCAGGCCCGTGGCCCCCGTTATACTAAAGACTTCACTGCTCATCATCAGTAATGAAGCTAGAATACAAGTTATGCTGTGCATTGGTTGTAATTTAAAATGTTTATTCAGTAAAAATAAATAATGAAACCATTGAAAAATAACTTAAAAGCTAAAATAAATAAATTCAGTCTCAAAATATATTAAAAAATAATAATTATTCGATATTTTAAACAAAGAAAATTACCCCTTGATTTAATTTCCTAAATAGAAAATGCCATTGACAATTACTGGGGCCTGATAATTGATAATTAAGTAAATATCTGCTTCCATTTATACTGTTTATAGTTGGCGTATATGTATGGTTTGCATACTCCACCTACGAACTGCTTTATAACTACTTTATAACACATATTGGCCTGGTTCGCCAGTTGAATAAAAAATTACTTATTAAGATTCGAAGGCCCCCTAAAAGACGGGACCCGGGGCGCCCCCCCCCCCTTAGTCCGCCACTGCCCCCTTCCATGTAATTTACAAACATTAACCAGAAAAACAGATAAAAACACTTTATAAAATATTTATACCTTTCTCGCCTCCAATTGGGTTGGGCTGATTGATCCTGCGGAAATTCTAACCTATCTTCCGTCGACACAGGCGTCATAGAAGGACTCGTAGTAAGCTCTGAAGACAGTTGATCATTGTAAGATTCGCTACGTTCGTTGATACTGGAATGTCTGGTATGTAGGTATGAATCTGGATGCTCAGACGTCTGGAATACATCATTTTATTAACTCATATGCTAATTCCAAAAAATCAAATGTCGATTACCTTATGTTCTGCAGCTTCTGTGGCTTTCCTTCTCTGTCTGGCCACTTTGCTCTGAAAGTCCAGAGTTTTTCGTTTCAATTTGTCCAACAGTAAGTGATAGATGGCGTAGATGTGGTCAAAGGAATTGATCTCTAAAGACCGAGCTATGGCGGCTCTATCCAAACCAGGTAACTGAAAATAAAGAATATTATTTAATAAATATTCGACAGAGTATATATAAAAAAGTTTACTTGTAACATATGTTCTATGACCGTGTTGTTTAATCTCTGATCCTCTTCATCGTCAAGTTGCAAAGGCGGATCTGCGTCACTTAACCATTTGTGTTTGACAATTTGGGATAAGGTAAGTCTTTTCTCTGGATCAACCACTAACATATGTCGAATTAAATGCTCACATTCTGAAAAGTATAGCAATAAAAAAAAACACGCTCAATGGCTAATTAAAGAAGTAAGTACCGGGTGGCCAACCAAGAACGGACGCCGGCTTTATTTCAGAAACTACTTGTCGTATAACTTTGGGAGAAAAATTCTAATGAGTAAATCGACCAAGAGAAATCGCTGGAAATTATTTTCAAGTTCGAAAAATGTCCGCTATGGGGTGTTTCTCTGATAACCAATCAGAAAACAGGGTTTTTCTCAAAAATATGCAGGTAAACAGGTATTTTAAATATTACTATTGTAATCATCGAGAAATTTGTAATTTTTATGATATAGAGTGTTTTGCTCTATCTCATAAAATAAAGTGGTGGGGGAAGGTTAAACTAGCTTTTATTAAAATAATGATAACTCTGGTTTGGGTTAACCGATTTAAACAAACTAGGGCTCGTTTAAAAGAGCTTTTCTTCCACCCGGTACATAATATGCCAAAGTAAGTACATAAAGGTAATTAGCATAAAGGTAACACTAACCTTGTGACATGAAATATGGTATCCTAAATCTGCCCTCAATGACAACATTTCTCAGTGCTTGTAAAGTTGGCCCATCAAAGGGCAGTGAACCGCATACTAAAACGTATACAACCACTCCCAAACTCTAAAAAATAATACCAAATTATAGAAATATGTACAGGGTGAGTCAATAATTGTGTTAAATTACACTGATATTTTTTGTTCAACCTTATACCAATATAATTTAATCATCATATTCTTTTCAGAATTGTATTTATTGAAGGATCCAGGGGAAAAACATGATATCATCAATTTCTTAATTTTAGAGTTTTACAATATTATAGTGGGTCTAACTGGTCCCTAGCTGTTAAATCTTATGATATATGCGTAGTAAAAATATACATACAGGGGGAAAACCTGATAAAATGGCGCTTATCATGATTTTCCCCTGGACCCTTCAATTATTATTACAATTATATTTTATTATTGCTATATTATTATTTTTTGATTAAAGATTTAATCATTATGATTTATCATATGATATTAGTTATCTTTAAATGTTATTTTTCGTATGTCTAGGACGTGCATTAATTTTAAGAATCAACTGAGCTCATAATTTTATTGTTCAATGTGTGAAAAATAAAACTGTTTGTTTAAAATGGTGTGTATTAACCGTGACAACATGTACCACGATCTAAACGGTACATAAACGTTGAAACGAAGTAACCAAAATATAAATACAAAAGCACAATATCTGCGAAACCGTTAAACATTTATGAATACTTTAAATACAAAAAAATGTTCACTTTTTAATTCTGCATCTAAACTGAAAATAATATACAGGGAGTTGCATTTAGAAAAATTGAGATACATATAACATTTTAAATATTGCGATGTTGGCGACACCATAAAATTATCCTATATAAGATAATGTAAATTTCACTTCGCGGGTTTATTCTGTTATCCTTGGTGTTTAGGAAAATATGGCTAATTATTAATTCAAGTTAAATTCACTCTAGTTATTAATCACTTTTCGGATATACCGTTTTTAACAAAAGTTTAAGTAAATAAGAAATAGAATGGCAACACTGCATGGTGCCGGACATAAAAATAACGCCCTATATGCAGAATTTTATGCTGAATCCAATTCTGTACAGAAAAATGGAGGTGCGATTAAAAAAAACTTAAAACTTTATCATAACTTTTTCTGGCACACCCTGTATACAACTTTTTTTAGTATATGCCCCTTTATAAACCATGCAACATTTGTGTAAAACTTTTTTTTCATGTCTTCGCCAACGACGACTATATTGGACTTCCCCGCACTAATGGGCCATCCTGTATATTAAAATGTTATAATTCCTTTTATTTAATAAATGTTAGAAAACAAACCTGTAATTGACAAAATTGCTATGTAATATATTCAATTTAAATGTAACTATGTTACTCTACAATTAAAAAAATGTAAATTTAAAAAATAAAGGCAGTTATTAATTGAAATTTTTAGTATGCGAACAATCACGAGATGGCGCTTCATTTACTTCCATATCTTAACAGGACAAATGGAGTTCTAAAGGGAGATGTTATGTGGCATGAAACGAAGAAAAAGGGAATCAACAGATGATGGATGCATGAAAATCCGTCTTAAGCAGCCAACAAAGAAAAACATATTACCAAACCAAACACATAATAATAGTAATAACAATAAATTACCCATATATCGGCCTTTGGTCCATCGTATTTTAGACCCAGAAACAATTCAGGGGCGGCATAAGGAGGCGAGCCACAAAACGTTGCGAGCAAGTTGCCCTCTGTGAATTGGTTGCTGAACCCAAAATCGGCCAACTAAAAACAATAACACAATCCTTAAATTCATTGCAATCGCAAACAATAATTTCAGTTACTTTTATATTTGAATTATGATCTAACAGCAAGTTTTCAGCCTTCAAATCTCTATGTACCACACCCTGCGTGTGACAGTAGCTGACAGCTGACACGATCTGGTTGAATATCCTCTTGGCTTCGGGCTCGGACATTCGTCCTTTGGCCACCAAGTGATCTGTAAAGAAATCAACAAATTAGACAAATTCAAGAACTTTGTGAATATTACCGAAATTTCTTGTAGATTTAAAAAAAAATCATCTCATATTGACATGCAACTTTGCTCCAATATGAGCCACCCTGTATTTATTGCTGTTTCCTAGACACCGATGGTAACAATCGAATTTAAAATACACGGTATACATTTTATTGAAGCTGTTTCATTTTATTTGGTGACTTATTCCTTTTTTACTTTGGTGTTTCAATATAGTGAAATTATAAAATTATTGAATATGTGAAAATACGTAAATATGAAGGCATCGTGGTAAATTTTATTTACGTATACCGGGTGCGTTTCAAAAGTGGCCCACCCCTATAATTTTTTTATTGTTTCAGAAAAAAAAAACGAGATTTGGTATGTGAGTATATGACATAAGTGAGGATTGATTGACGTATTCAATTCTTTTCGGCCACTTCCTGTTTCACCGGAAATGACTACAACTTTTGATTTTTAAATGGCATCTTCGGTATTTTTTCGATAGAAAATAACATTCTGAATAGAATGACATATCATATGTCAACTTTTAACATTTTCGTTTAAAACAAAATTGTATTTTAAATTTCAATCTAGAGTGCCATGTTAAAAGCACTAATTTTTAATGAAGGAGCCTTGGAAAAATATATTTGATCGTCTAATGTTTTTAGTGTCTATCCTGACAGATTAAAAGATGCCCAAATCGTATTTTTAATAATATGTATCTCAATTTTTTCAAATGGAATGAGGCTGGCTAATTTGGAAACTAACATATTTGGAAAAAGCATTGTTTTACGAATAATTTGGTACCACACACTTGGTATTTCGAGTCAAATTGTCGTTATGAATCCAATAATGTTGCAATTGCAAATAAACCTTATGTGAAAATGTCAAAAGTTGACATATGATATATCATTCTATTCAGAGTGCCATTTTCTATCGAATAAAGTAAAAAAATATCGAGGGTGCCGTTTAAAAATCAAAAGTTGTAGTCATTTCCGGTGAAACAGGAAGTGACCGAAAACAATTGAATACGTCAATCAATCCTAATTTATGTCATATACTAACATACCAAATCTCGATTTTTTATCTGAAGAAATAAAAAAGTTATAGGGGGTGAGCCGCATTCGGTATAATCCATACAACTTTTTTCGGCCACACTGTATGCCGTGCACGCATCATCCGCAGCCAGCTGTATAATGTTTACGCATATTTAAACTAAAAAACGATGTTCTATGTGTAAGTTCTCAATTATTATCTCGCTGTCACCAGTCACATGAGCAGATAAACGTTGAAAACGCAAATGCGATACAATCGAACAGTCAGAGAAATAAGTAGATATAGATGCGCCTTAACCTAATGAATAATATTATTGGCTTGTATTAGCGCGGCACTTAATATATACAACCCTACATTTTCACCCTTCTACCATGAACTCCTATTTTTTAATAACTATATTAGTATTAATTTAATAATTATTGTAATTTAACAACAAATTGTTTTTAAAACTTGTGAGTATGATTTGGTAAATACCGGGTATAATTAGTGCAAATTTAAATTTTAGTTACAAATTTTAATATACCGGTACTTGATTACAGTTGAGGGTTGGAACCTTTGGTGTTACACAGCAAAATAAAACACTAAATCACCACAATACACCAAAAACATTTTTACTTTTACACTGGACGCGCGTTTCGCTAACCATGTTAGTATCATCAGCAGATGATTATAAACTATTTGATGATTATAAAGAGATGATTATAAACTCAAATAGAGCTTATAATCATCTGCTGCGCGCGTCCAGTGTAAAAGTAAAAGTGTTTTTGGTGTATTGTGTGATTTAGTGTTTTATTTTACCGGTACTTGCCCATCCCTGACCTTAACCACAGCAACGCGTGGCCGGGTTTGCTAATGATTATATACAAAGGGATATAAATGGATGTACAAAGCTTACCAAGGGATAGAAGGCAATGAAAAACCAAACGATCTAACTAGAAAAGGCGCGAACACTTCACTAACTGAATCAGAACCGTTCTGTTTCCCAAGTGGAAACCAACTTAAAGCGGAACTGAAGAACCTGGAAGAGGAATCTTCCAAAGGTCTAAGACACTAAAATTTTCTCAGAACTTACGTTTTCTGAAGCTCATTCTGACTTTATTAAATAACACTGGTTCTGGTTGACTCTGATCAAACATGATGATTCTGGAAAATCTGATCAGTTTATTGCTTATTCTATGTGAGTAATAATTTAAACCTTTGCCCATTCTATCTTTACTCATTTCTCTGAGATCAAACTTGCTTTTTTCTCGTATTCTAAATTCTAAGATTTTATCTTTTATTTGAGTCCCCGGGTCAAACGTTACAAACCACTTATTCCAAAATATATTATTATGTATCGATTCAAGGTCCCCAATAATAGGTATACACACTGTAAGTATGGCGGGCAAAATTTACATAATCATTATGTTCATTATAATATTCTTTCTTGCTTCGTTCAAATTGTCCTAATGAGCTCCAGCACTTAACAATTCTAATCGGAATTATTAAATGGTTCTCTCTAGTTTACATTTGTTGTTAGATAATGTTAACTTTATAATATTTAATTATGAGATAATAATATGGTTATTTATTGATATTTTCGAAATATTGTAAGAGAATTAAAATTTTTTTTGGAATTTCACACAATCTAGATCAGTATAATATTAATTTAATTGAATACTAATGATACATTTCTATAGAAGATGACAGATGACGTCCATACCAATCCATTTATTTATTTATTTTTTCATTTTATGGGTTTATATACAAATCCGTCATGGTATCTTGTTTTTGACCAGTCTTGTTGGGCTTATTTCAAAAATGACAGAACATATTTCAATTTGATTGGAGTGACGGAACTATGAGAGACGCACTGACGCAGATGCGTATGAACTCGACTTAATATTTTTGAAACTTTTCAAACACGTTAATATTTTTATTTTTAAATAATTTGATTAGATTTTGTACCAACTTATTTCTTTAAAAAATAAAATAAACTACTTTGAAATTAAAATGACAGACACATCCATCACAAGGATTTTGTCCTTGGACCAGACTATAATATCCATAATTTTTCGGTAGGCAACGAATTACTCCCTACAAATATAAAGCGAAATTTAAAAACCATTGTATAAAGCCCACACTCTATAATCATAAATCTCTTTAATCAGATATATCTTTATACGTCTTTTTGTAGTTCCACGTTTTCTTCATTAATATTAAAAAACGTGAATAATATTAAATTTCAATTTATGTAAATGATCCTGTATAATTCTAATAAATTTGAATAGCCAAAACATCGAGAAGTCGAAAATAAAGATATGTATCGCAATTTTTTTGATTATTGCATAAAATAGCCGAAATTTTATGTTGGATATGTTTTTGTTTTGGTCTAGACTACTCGAAAATTAATAAATTTACACTGAAATGTTATTATGCATAACTATGTCTAAACTGAAATCGACAAAATATCAATAGACAACTTTTAATTGACATTAATCGATTTTCCTTAGAAGAGAAAACATTTTATTTTTTTAAATATCCCAGTTATAACCCATATGCACGTCCCTGGTGAATCTGTCGACAATTTTTAGGATTAATATATGTATGTCTCGCACTTATAGTAACTACATTAGGTATGACAAATAAAAAAACCGAAGACACTCTGTGTGTTTTACCCCCCCCCCCCTCCCACAACTATGAAACAAAACGAACCTGAATCGGAGGAGAGTTGGCACATGTTTTTTGAAACACCCTATATATTAGATCTAGAAAATAAATTAAAATGTTTTTTTAATATGTCTTAAAAAAGCGACTACTCAAAAGATTATCGGTTAAATTTAATTTCTTTACTAAAAATCAAGTAAATCAATCGAGTGACATTCCGGTTTTTGAATAACAAAATTCCTAATACTCGTATACATAATACATAGCGCTAGAAAAGATAATTATGAAGTGGATCTACTTATTTGTGATGTAGCTTATTAACTATTTTATTGAGGCAGCACTTGAAAATGAATTTGTATACTAACTGTTGTAATCCATTCAGAAATGTTTAAAAAAAAACAGGACTATACATACCGGCACATATGCAAAACTAAGCTATTTGTACAACACATTGGGGACAATAGGCTCGTTCTTATTCAAGATCTGATGTAACCTAGCTTTAAAGTTCCGTCTAAACTTAACTGTTTACCTGTCAGTCTTACATGTTTAGTCTAAACGTATCAAGCAAAGCTTTGAGTGTAGACAAAAAAAAAACTGTCCGTTCTCCGTATACACTGAAAAACTTTTACAAAGTTGCTAGGGATATTTAATTATTATTACCAAACGATTCTTACCTGACAGGTAAAACGTTATGTTTAGACGGGGCCTTAGAATAGAAAGACTGGAAATTGTAAAGAGACAATTTAATTGTACTGTGTTATTAAAATAAGCTAAGCAAACCAAATAGTCGTTCTACTCTCGTGCTAGCCCACCAAAAGATAGAAGGTAATAAAAAAGCAAACGATCTAGCTAGAAAGGGAGCAAACACTCCAACTAACTGAACCAGAATCGTTTGGCTTCCCAAGTGGAAACTAACTTAAAGCGGAACTCAAAAACCTGGAAGACTCCATCAGTAACCTGGATAGGGAATTCTCCACCGGTCTAAGACACTCGAAGAAATTTCTCAGTACTTACAACAGAGAAAAATCAAAGATTTTCCTAGATTTAAGTAACAACAATCTTCAGATTGAGACCTCAGTGCGGAACTCAGAACTCGAATGGCCAGATGCTACGTCTTCTCTGTGTTACTCTATGGATGTGAGAGCTGGACACTGGATTCACAGAGAATAGAAGCCTTCGAAATGTATGTGTACAGACGGATGCTGCGAATCTGATGGGTACAAAGGATCATCAACGATGAAGTACTCCAGCGCATGCAAAAACAAAAAGAGATACTCAACACCATCAAGGAAAGAAAAATGCAATACCTGGGTCAAGCGATGAGAGGTGATAGATACGAAATACTGCGCCTCATAATAGAGGGCAAAGTGCAAGGATCAGTAGGAAGACGCCAGAACTCATGGATAAAAGATTTAAGGAGATGGTTTGAACGTTCGTCTGAGGAAATGTTCCGGGCTGCAGTTTCCAGAGCCACAATTGCCATTTGGATCGCCAACCTTCGGCAGAAGAGGGCGTGATAAGAAGAAGGATCTTTGTCACGGGGTTTTTAACAGAACAATCTCAAATACTGGCTATTTTGTCAAAGCCCTGTGACTGTATAATCAGTTATAATTAAAGAAAGGGGGACACATTAGATATATAAGGTTGCGGTGATTAACTGCCCCCCTCCCTTACAATCTACAAATAAATTTTACCGAATATTTCGCCATTACTGGCATATTCTGTCACCAGATATATCGTTTGTTTGGTCTCCATCAGCTGGTACAGCCTGGTTACGTGGGGGTGTCGAAGTTTCTTTAAAATAGCAGTCTCACGGAATATCTTAGTTAAGTTTTCTTCATCTAGGACAGTCTTATCTATTATTTTGATTGCCACCTGGAACAAAAAAAATAATCACCATCAATCAATCAAATGAAGTACTAAGTAAATAACGTATTAAACTGAATACTTAAAATGAGTGGTAATAATACCATAGAATAAAATTAAATCTAAAAACAAATGTGTTAATTTTGAATATTTCGATTATAAAATTACAACAATGAAAGTAATTTTATTCTAACCTATAAAACTGACCATCAAAAGTAATTTTAAAAATTTGGAATGTCTAGTTTAATTCCAACCGAAAAATACTATGCGATCGAAAACAAACGTTTTCGATCGCATAGTATTCGAGAACAAAATTTTTACATTGTTATAATATAATTTGTAGTTTAAAATTCTAGAAAAAAATAATTTTTTGAAAATAGATTCGTGTGTCTGGAAACGTTCTATCCTTCTTCTGCTGGGAATTGTCATTCCCCAGTCATCTTTGACGCCGTTTTTTTTATCATACAGTATTATGAGAGTATGAACGATGATCATCGGTTGTTAAGTTCGTTGAAACCAGTGATAAACATACATATACAGGGTGGCGCCTCTCATCCATGGGAGCTCCAAGGAGAACGGTAGTTTATATCGAAATGAAATTTTGGCAGCATATGTAGGTTAACTGAAAGCATTTTATAAAAATATATAGAATTATACAGGGTGTCCCCAAAAAATGTTGCACATCAAAGTTGTGTTTTTTCTAATGGAACACCCTATGTATTAACTGATTTTCGGATTCCAGGAAAAAAATAAAGGTGAGTTTTATTAAAGAAGCATATACCTAAAATCTAAGGATTTTGACATATTTCACATTTTGTGAAAATGAAGAGTAAATTTTAAATTTCGATAACAGCTACCTAAATTTTAGTTGACCTTGTATAGCCTGATATTTAATAACAGTAACCATTGTATGTTAAATCAAACTGAAATTTGACCCGAAAAGTTATACAGGGTGAGACAAAATTAATATGGAATATTAATCACTTTTAAAAGCAAGTTACTCTTTTATTTTAAATGGAACACCCAGTATAGTATTCCGGTGTTCAATGGGGAATTTACATATCTTCAAAATATTATTACGGTTTGGTTTGGTTGTGATTGATTTTAATTGTTATGATTTTGCGTCAGTAGATCTTTATTATTTGAAAAAATCTAGGGTGGCTGTGATATACCTTTTGTTAATTTAACAAAAATTAAAGTATGTAGAGCAAAATACTCAACGGTAATAAAAAGATACACGTTTAAAACATATTTTAATTATTACAGAATCAAAACTCGATATAAACCTATAATTATGTGACAACAATTAACTAGATGAAATCAAATGCTCAAAATGGTTTCTTTCCTGTTAACTGCATAAAATGATTGTCTTTTTAAAATATATTTTCATTTTAAAAGGCATTTATGTGGAGTTCTACCTCGAAAAGCAACTACAATAATTTCTCTCGTGTTGTCGACAATAGTTGGTCGGGTTTTGTAAACACTGTCTTTAACATATCCCCATAAAAAACCCAGACCAGATGAAATCAGGAGCATTTAAGTATTCTAATAATTGGTTAATGCACACTGCATTCACCAACTAATAGAATCACATCAATTCTTTCTGATGTAGGATAAGGTTGCATTTTCGGCAAATTTGTGAGACATTTTGTTTTGTTTTAACTGACACAAAATTATAACTAGTTGTTAAAGTTGGACTAATTAGACAGCTATGTTGAAGTAACGTCAGACATATCACAGCCACCTAGATTTAATCAAATAATATAAAGATCTACTCAGATCAAATCATGTAAATGAAAATATCTAGGAATATCTTTGTTTGAGGGGCAGGCAATCTTAATAGTATTTTGAAGAGACATGAATTCTCCATTGAATATTGGAATAATATACTGGGTGTTCCATTTAAAATAAAAGAGTAACATGCTTTTAAAGGTGACCAATGTTCAATATTCATTTTGTCTCACCCTCTATAACTTTTTGGATCAAGTTTTAATTTGATTTAAAGTATAATAGTTAATTTAACTACATATTAGGCTATACCGGGTAAATTCCAATTTAAGTAGCTTTTATTGTAATTTAAAAAGTGTTCTTTATTTTTAGAAAATGTTAAAAATTCCAAAAACCTTACATTTTAGTCATATACTTCTCTTATAAAACTCACCTTTATTGTTCTCTCAGAATCCAAAAATTAATTAATATATAGAGTGTTCTATTACAAAAAACACAACTTTGATATGTAACTTTTTTTGGGACACCCTGTATAATTCTATATATTTTTAGAAAATGCTTTCAGTTAACCTACATATGCTGCCAAAATTTTATTCCGATATAAACTACCGTTCTCCATGGAGCTTCCGCGGCGTATTAGAGGGGCCACCCTGTACAGGGTGGGTCAAATTCGACGCTTTTAAATGGAAACACCCTTTTCTATAGAAGATAGACGAAAACTAATATCGGTGTCTGGAGCTCAATTTTCATCAAAAACATGATGGTGAAAACCGCACATCAATATCTGTTACCGTTACGGGGTGTTTTTCAAAAATGTGCCTTTTTAACAAATCGCTGTAACTTTTTTGCTATCGAAAATTTTGTATTTCTATAAAAACATTTCCAAAGCACCTTTTTACCTAGAATTTAATGGTTTAAGTATATTTTTTTTAAATTAATAATTTAAGAGTTATCAACAGAAAATTTGATTTTTTATTTGGGACACCCTCTATATTTTTAATTAGCTGAAAAGAATTTAAAATTACCTTTCCAAAAATATAGCACACTTGATATTTTGTTATAATCCCCTTCGAAATACAGAATTTTTAAAAGTTCACCACTTTTAACTAGTAGGCTTTGGACCCTTTATTGATGATATGCCCTTAATGGAACTCGAAAACATATTTTTCCAGCAAGACGACGCACCGCCTCTGATCGCTGAATCAGCAATCAGCAAATTTTTGCATCCAATTTCAAGAATAATTGAATAGCCAACCAAGATTCCAGCCGTTGGCCGTCGAGGCCGCCTGACTTAGTGCCCATGCATCTAATCTGCGGATGCGCGGACAATTTGCGGAAAAATAAAGGTTCCTTATTCTTCCGTATAATCTAGACAAGAATTAGAAATACTTAGCAGTTATGAGAGGGTATCTTTCACCCCCACTGAGTTAATGAATTCCGCGAGAAATGTTCAAAAACTGCCCCGTCTGTCCATAACAGAATACGGTCGATATGTCGAACACCTATAGCAAAATCTCATGTCTTGGTTTGCTATTTATTTTTCTTGTTATTAGATATAGTTTAAATGTGTTGATGTTGATTAAATATATTTTAAATAGATATAAAATTCTGCATCTCTCATAGCAAATATTATTTTCGTTTTAATTGATGCTCACAGCTAGATTTTTTTGCATTACAGCCGGTGCCGTTCAAAGCCTACTCATTTAAAGCTGGCGAATTTTTATATACTCTATATCTCGAAGAGGAATCGAGCAAAATATCAAGTGTTATATTTTTGGAAAGGTAATTTTAAATTATTTTCAATAAATTAAAAATATACAGGGTGTCCCATATAAAAAATCAAATTTTCTGTTGATAATTCTTAAATTATTAATTTTAAAAAAATTATACTTAAACCATTAAATTCTACGTAAAAAGGTGCTTTGGAAATATTTTCATAAAAATACAAAATTTTCCATAACAAAAAAGTTACAGCGATTTGAAAAAAGTGCAAATTTTTGAAAAACACCCAGTAACTCCGAAACGGTAACAGATATCGATATGCGGTTTTCACTATCACGTTTTTGACAAAAATTGAGCTCCAGACACCGATATTAGTTTTCGTCTATCTCCTATAGAAAAGGGTGTTTCCATTTAAAAGCGTCGAATTTGACCCACCCTGTACATTCTATGAGAATTAAGGATACAAAAATGTTTCGTAAGAAACAATCGCGTAATGTCAGTGGTTTAAAACCTGGAAAGAAGAATATAACTCATCCTGTCATCGCTGCAGAACCAGCACTAAATTATATTTAAATCAATGACTAAAGAATCCAAGGACAAATAACACCCGACAGCAAATTGTGACGCTGGCATCAAACAGTGCCGTGGCACATATTTTTCTTAACCTAGCTGTTTGAAGCAATATTTATATTTTTTGATAATTGTTTTGACTACGCCTATGGTGTATCATCCTAATTAATTACGAAAAAAACGTATTAAAATGTTAACAAAAGGTACAAAACTAGTATCGACGTATAGCACATATCAAGTACATATAGATGTTAATTGAAATTGAAGAATAATTATCGAATTCAATAAGAAAACGCTAAAAAGTTGGAGTGGACTGTTTATTTACCTATGAACGTAACTCCTGGCTCTTTCTTGTCGCTGTGGCTTTTACACTTGAAAGCTACACAATTCACCATTGTAACAAAGTTTATACAAAGTTCACTACACACAACAAACTATTAAAAATCGCTAAAATTGTCGCTGGTGACTGGATGATGACTCACTGTTTGGCATCAAACGAATGGCGTCTAACGTCACAAATTCTACTACAGCCCGTACAGGGGCGTTACATGTCCTTATATTCTTTAGTCATTGATTTAAATTAAGTTACATAACCGCCAACAAGAATCAATTTATCTACGTAAGAATAACAGAATGAATTATTATTGATGATGATATTATGATGACATACTTCCCAGCCGTTGTCATGTTTTCAATTACGGATACTTTTTGTAGAACAATCATTTTATTATCTTGACAAATTGTTCCATTCGACGTTTGACACTGATGCATTTTTTTCATAAACTTATGCATCGAATTTGGAAACAGGAAATCCCTAAATTATCCAGATATGAGTATATTATCATAATTTTCTTCAATACTCTCGTGATTATCTACCGCGCTTACCAGTTCTTTACTGAGGATGATTTAGCTTCAGCAGCAATAACTTTTTGTATACAGGGTGCTACAAATTCGAGGTACGAGCATTGGTATATCTCGGAAACCGTAAT